AGCTTTTTATCCGATATAGGGTATAAGTTAATATTAACTAGTTATATATCCCTAGTGTTAATTTCGTAGGCGATAATACGCTCGGGCGGGAGTATCTCAGGGAGTTTATCTTTAAAGATATACTTAAACTTATATATAATCTTCCGGATATACCTATTCCTATAATCTAGCACTAATACCGATACCTCGTCCGTTTTCTCCTTTTTTAATACCTTTAGGACTAAAAGGACAGCCTCGGTACTCTTCTTCTGTACCGCCCGTAGAACTTATTTCGCTCTTATTAAGTTTAGATAACCGTCGTCTATTTCTAAGGTATTCTAGCGGTCGATTAATACGATTACGTAGGTTCGCTTATAATTACGTAATTTTATCTTCGAAGTTACTTAGTCGATCTTAGGATTTTAGGTAGTAAGGAAATCTTTACTGAGGATGAATTTATAGTTAGGAAGATCTAGAATCTATACTATTAGATATCCCCGCTATAAATCTATAGTAACTAGTAGGCGGACGGACGTATTAGTAGCTAAATAGCTACTATCGGGTATCTATACTCTTAACTTATCTATTTACCGGTAGGTTAGTCCTAGGCCTAAAAACCTTTTTATAACGTCCGTTAAGATAAAGGTATACGATACGCCGTAGTCTAGAAGAGCCCGTACTACTACGTTTCTATCGGTAGCTCCTAATACTATCTTATAAAATAATAATAAATCCCCTATAGTAAAGAGAGAAGCTTTAATTCTAGGCCTAACGGGGCTAAACTTATATACTAAGATATTTAAGTTAGCCTAATTAGCTTACTCCGGATCTAATAGGTCCTAATCCGGTAGTTTAGGTACTACCGAAGTTTTCTTTATACGGCTAACTACTACTTCGAGAGTAGTCGGCCTTTTTAGTTTTTCGAGTCCCTAGGTATTAGTAGGTTCTAGTCCTTTTTTAACTTATCGGTTTTAGGATTAGGGTATTTACGCTTAAAATAACCCTTTTTACTATAAGCGAAGTATTTAGTATTATTCGATTTCGATCCTTTCTTATCCTTCTACTAGGATTATACTATATTTAGATCTATCTCGTCTAGGTTACGCTTATCGCTAGTAGTCGTTCTACTAATATAGTTTACGATTATTAACCCTCGCTTAAAATTAATAAAATAGTTAATAACGCCCCGTAGATCGGTCGGAGGGTCGTATTCTTCCGCCTATCTCTTCTATAAGTTAGTATTCGTACCCGTTTAGAGGTATTAGATAATAATATCCTCCTATATCTTAGGATTATACTCGGATACGGCCTACTAGAGTTCGGTAGTATACTATATAAAAGTCTTTCGGCCCTATTTATATAATACGAAACGGTCCTATTTCTTCGTACTACTAAGATACTCCGAAAACTTATATAAGATCTAATCCTAGTAGACTTACTAGGTCTCGATCTTTTTACCGTATAAGTTCGCGAGCTATCGCTCCTAGCGATTATTAGTATAGCCGGTCAAGGCTCCGTAAGTATATATAACCTTATCTTTATTATTAGGTTTAATACCTACGAATCTAGCTACTTCCGCGAAATAACGCTTATAATTACGAAGATAATAGCGTACGGCTTTATCCGGAATACTACTATCGTACTCCTTAATCTTTCTAATATATTTTAGAATAGTTTTTTTTATCTCCTATCGGGCCTAATTAAAAAGTACTAATAGTCCTATAGCAGCCTACGGTAGAGATATAGGTACCTACGCGGCCGGTTACGCCGGAACGGGCGCTTACGGCTAGGTAGCTACTTTATAAATTACCTAGGCGGTCTCTTTCGCTATCTTTTTATAGATACTAGGATTAGCGTTATTTATAATCCGCTCCCGGTAGGAATCGGCTAGGTTCTTTAGTAGATAACTAAGGGCTTCCTCCGTAACGGGAGTAATCGGATATATCTATCCTGGGCTAGTAGCTACGGTGCTTTCTATAATAAGATAAGTTCTTTAAATAAGGGTTCTAGATTAAATGAAATTTAGATATAGTTAAGATATTTCTAGTCTAAACGTTTACGTTCGTAGCCGATCGGGGTCCTTAACGACCTCTTTTAATCCCTTATCTTTTACTTCCGATCCTCGGTACGGACTAAATCTGTATACCTAAGGGTAAACCTCCGGAAGGATACCTTATCGCAGGGTAATCTAAAGTGATTAGACTATTCTATCCGTTTCTCTATCTTCCTATTATAGTCGGGAGGTATCGTATATATACTAACGTAATTACTCGTAGATCCTTACGTAGTAGTAAAGGGTTTCGGTTACCGCTGCTTTCCTAAAGACCCCGAGGTCGCCGATATCGCCGACCGTAAGCTATCGCTCGCTAGGTCTTGATACCGTACTACTACGCTAAAATAGATAGAAGAAAGGTTCTTAGAGCTCCTAATTAACCTAATTTTTCCCCTACTCTCTCCGTTATATAGAGATCGCTTTAGGAGGACCTCCCGATAGTTAAGATTTACTATACAGTTAGGCCCTCCCGTAAGCGGCCGTAGAAGGCTACTCAGTTTTAGAGGTTTACTACTATATAAGATAACGGGAGTATAAGAGTATGTTCTGTTATTATCGTAAGCGAATATATCTATAAGGATATAAGTGCGGTCAAACATAGCAGAAGGTACCCGTAAGGGGCCGAACATGTAAGGTTAAAGGAAGGTAAAGTACGCCCAGGATCACATACCACTGCCTCTCGCTTCTTGCCTATCTTTAGGTCTGTTAACCGGAGGATGGCTATTCCTCTGCCCTTGATAACAGAGTCGCTATCACCGGTTTTAATAGTGAATTCTTTCTCGGTGAGGCTTTTAAAGCTCCCTCGGTGGTTATATATATAGACATTCGCTCCTGAGTCTAGTATCTAAGAGTCCTTAAGGGGATATCTCTTGGCTATTCGGTTGACCTAACGGGATACGTTAGCTATATATATAGCTACTCTCCTAATCGATCCCTATATCTCTTCGGTTACTACTAGCTAGGTAGTAGCCTAGGTAGTGCCTCTATCCTCTTTGATCTTCGCGATCTTCTCTTAGTCGAATTTGCTAAGCTTCTTGATAGCCTTCGCGACTAGTTCTTCCGTCTCGGCTCGTAGCTTCTAGTAGTCTAGCCTAATACTTTCGACGATATAATAGTAGAATCTCTAGGGATGGTTTCTTCTATATATATAGGGGGTCCTTTTCTTATCTTTCTAATGATTTTTAGTATCTTACTGACCCTTAGTATTTCCTTACTTAGATATTGCCTCCGGTTAGCTATCTAGTGTTAATATAGCTAGCTTTCTAGCCCTTTCCTTTCCTAAACGCTCTAGCAGACTTCGTTATGTACGGTATACAGATATAACCTTACTAAAGGTAGGATTCTCTATCTCTAACCTATTGCTCTAAGTTAAATAGAAGAGATTATCCTAGATCTGGATAGCTCCGAGGAAGTCTCTGATAGCGAATTTGGCAGGCGTTAGACCGTATAAGATATCTAGTACACCCGTAGCTTTAGCTTCTTCGTATAGAGACGTCTAGGCGGTTAACTACTTATCGATAGATATATTATTAGATAGGTATATTAGTATTTAACGCTACTGTCTTCGGAGGTCTTCTATACGGTCGGCTTCCTTCTATATAAACTCCTACCTTAGCTTTACTAACTTCTTACGAGCAGAGATAACGCCTATAAGTATATAATAGTACTCCGCGGCTAACGAACGGGATATAGCATCACTGAACCTATTAAGGGCTCGGGCGGTCCTCGCTCGTTCGGCCTCTTTACGGTCGTATCTATTAAGAATTCGTGTATACTTCTTATACTTATTATCGGTGAGGTCGACTTCGTCTGTCGTATTCTTATTAATCTTGCTAACCGGCGGTAGGGGAGCCTTCTTTAGAAGCTCTTTAATCTCTGTATCTATCTTTATAGGGTTAAGATACTCCTAAAGGTCGTTTTCGATGGCTTTAGTTTCAAAGTAACTAATCTAGACCCTCTACTAGGCCTTCGTCCTTAACCGCTGGTCCTATAGGATAGGTTGAATTGCTTAAGATTCAGTCTCATTAGATATCTTTATATATATCTTTTACCGTAATCCTGACGGTGTCTCCTCTGGTCTAAGTCCTTATTAATCTCTTCTAGGATTTTGTACAGTCGTTTAGGGGTATTCGGCGGTAGGAAGGCTCTTACTGTTAAGATGCAGAGCAACGGTCTTTGTTAATTATATCTTGATGCTTTAGTGTGCACTCGGGCTTATAACTGACAGAATAGGCTAATTCTGTATAGGCTAGTATGAAAGATGTCCAATGGGACGAGAGATAATTAATCAGATTGATGATGATAGAAGATCAGGGGGATTGCCTGTTGAATAGCTATCCCCTGGCTGTACGGACGTATTTCTGTCCGTGCGGCCGATACTCGGCTGTTACAAAGCCTGAGTTTCTCTGTAAGCCAGTATTACATACAAAAACATAAGAAACCTGGGCGCTTGATGAATAAGCCCGTTCTTAGTGGTAAGTTACCACTCCACATATTTCGACACATCTCCCCACTCGTTGGAGGGCTGTCCTTCCTTATTGAATGAACTCGAAGCTAGTTTCTGACAGGGATACCGGATAAATGGAATAATAGGCTAAATACCAGTATATCATCACGTCTTACAGGTTATGTGGATGCGTATATAGCCACGGACTTGTCGGAGACCGCCTAACCCGCCGGACTAGCGATATGGTAAACCGACCAATCCGCGTGCAAGCGTCATAAGGGCGGCATAGCACTCGCTTCTTAGTAAAAGTAGAGGCAAGCATGCAATCCCAGCTCTTGAATCTACTGTGGTACTTATTCACAGGAAATTAATCCATTGTCAGGGGAATAATTACGTTCCTAGCTGGCTGTCTGGCGCCTTCGGAAACCCCGCTTTATATAAATTACCGGATTTCGGATCCATTGGTTCATTACATCCATTTTCCACAACGCTTGCTACCCCAAGAATCTCCAGAACAGCTTGATGGACATTGCACCGGAGACTACGCGTCCTGATGGGTTAACCGCGGACATAACTAGCACCAACGAAAGTGAAGAGCAGCCTGCAACTGGATATATGCAAGGATGGGCTCTCGCTTGTTTGACCCTGGCTTTCATGTCCATCTGCCTCGTACTAGCTATTGATAATACCATTCTATGTTCGTGCTTCCTATAATCTGGCGGAGGGAGCATCAGACCCAACTGTCATACCAAGCGACGGCGATACCCCATATCACCAGCGACTTCCACAGCCTTAACGATATCGGCTGGTATGGGTCTTCCTACTTGATCGCGCAGATGGCACTGCTGCCGACCTGCGGCCGCCTCTACGCATTCTATACATCAAGTGGGTGTATTGCATCTCGCTGGCCGTCTTCGAAATCGGCTCCATCGTCGCGGCAGTCGCCCCGAATTCTATAGCACTTATCATAGGGCGAGCAGTCTCTGGCCTCGGCGCTGCTGGCTTGGTGAGCGGGACGACAACTATTCTGTCGTATTGCGTATCTTTGAAAAAGCAGGCGATGCTGTCACCTATCGTTCTGGGCATGTACAACATTGGATCGGCTATTGGACCACTCGTGGGTGGTTCGATAACCGATAGTAGGGTGTTGACTTGGCGGTTTATTTTCTAGATCAATCTCCGTAAGTCTCTGTCGACGAAGAAGCCCATATCTTCCCCAATAATCACTAGCTAAAAGGTTCAAGCCTTCGGAGCTGTTGGGCTGATTCTGGTCTGGTTCACCTTAAGGAAACCTCCACCCGCAGTACAGGGGGACCTAACCTGGGGCCAGAAGGTTCGTCAACTTGACCTTCTAGGGGCTACTCTGCTGCTCGGTGCAACATCGTGTTTGAACTTGGCATTGCAGTGGGGTGGCATCGTCTACCGATGGTCTGATGCCAAAGTGTTCGGGTGCCTGATCGGATGCGGTCTACTCATGATTACCTTCTTGTGTTTGCAATTCCGAGGTAAAGCAAGGTTTGTTCCTTCTCTCGCAATTCCAGTCCTTCGCCACATAGAAGCTACTTATTCAGCATGCTTGCTAACATCATCCAAGCTCGAATATCCCTCTTCGCATTTTTCGAAGTCGTACCGTATCGGCATCGTGCGGCTTCATGATGCTCGTTCAGATGGCTTTAGTACTACAATCGTACTTCTGGCCCATATACTTCCAGTCGGTCAGGAGCAAAAATGCCAGGGACTCTGGAATCGATCTACTCCCATTGATTGTGTCGAACAGCCTCGGCACACTCTGCGCGGGTTCTATAGCTTCGAAATTCGGGCACTATGTACCGTTCATGTGGTTCGGACCTCTTGTTTTAGCTACTGGAGGAGGTCTATATCAACTAGTCCGTGCCGATAGTCCGCGCGGACACTGGATAGGGTTCCAGATACTTTCTGGGCTTGGCTATGGCAGCTGTAGTCAAATGCCGATCCTGGCTGTGCAGGTTGTCCTCAGCAAGCCAGATATACCAATGGGTCTTGTAATGATCATGTTTTTCCAGATGCTTGGGGGGCGCTGGCTCCTAGCGTTGGGCAGAACCTCTTTACTGATGGACTTCTGCGAAATCTCAGCCAGGTGGAGGGAATAGATAGTGCAGCCATAGTGTCCGCCCGTGCAAGTGGTTTCAGGGAGATGGTTCCTCCCGAGCTGATGAATGCCGTCCTTAATGCATTCAATTCGGCTTTGCGGAACGTGTTCTGGGTGGCGTTTGCTACGCCAGCCCTTGCTTGGATAACAAGCTGGGCAATGGAATGGCGGCAATTGCCTGACTCCAAGATACAGGTTACTCAACCTCCAGCCGAGGAAGACATAGAGAAATAGCTTGATAGCCATGAAGAGGGACCTGAGGCTCAAGGGGAGTGTGCCATGAGCCCGGCTTCGACAGTGGATATGCCCGGCTCGTCGCATCGTAATTAATGAAGTACGAATCCACGCAATACCCAGGCGGTGACCCATTGAGAAAGAAAGCGTGGAGCGCCCCAAACGTACGCCAGAACTTAACTGGAAACAGCAATGGATACTTGGGCAGATTTGCGTGGAGGCCTGCACTCTACCCAAGGCGGGCCGTTGCTTATGCCGGCGACCAAAATCGGATGATACTTAGAGCTCCAATCCGCTGCTGTGCTCCGACTGCGCATAGCACTTTTGGCTAGTCTGACGGACCAGGATTGTCAGGACTTCGTGTCAACCCACCCTGCGGTGGTTTGTTAGAACCACTTGCATAGCCTTCGCAGTAGCGAGTGGGACCTACATTTGCTCAACACCATGCCCATTCGCAGGCACTCTACAAGTCACTACATCACCGTGTGTAGATAGTGGCAAGGTACTGTATGATACCATCGATTGGATCATCTGTCCAAGGGGCTGGTAACGGGCTCATATATGTATGGTGCGCGCATTGTAAGGTAGGTAGATATTATGTAAATAGCATAGGACGGGTATCGATCTGACTGTGAACCAAGTGTCTGGTTGTGGACCATCGGTGGTAGGAGGAAGAGTGTACAGTACCTTCAGAAGTTCCGTGCGCCATTTGAGTATTTCATCTTACGTACCTACTGCCAAAATCTACCACGCCTTTGGCTTTATATAATACATCGGTTTAGCTATACGGCTCCTTCTTGCTAAAGTGTAACCAATATCTACAAGGTCGGCCTGAGCAGAAAAGTGTGAAAATAAGAATGAGATCTAGTTGCAAATTTGTATATCTTATTGATAGGTAGCACTGGAAACCAGTAGGAGGTACATAAATACTTCGACGGAAAAATGTATTTATCCACATAGTACTAGCGAGACCTCCGCATGAGCTTTTCGGGAACCCAATCATATCTTCCATACCCAAGACATAAACAACATCCTAATCCTCAGTATCCTTCGTGTCCGCTGTCCTAGTCAACAAATTGTCGTTGTTCATGGCCAAGTATACGTATATGCCCACGATGTGGCCAATATAATCCATGAGCACAAACGTCCACACTTGACGTCCAGAATAGGGGTACAGTTCGAGGAGTTTTCGGTACGTTGAAAGCTATCCGTTCCATCCAAAGGCCATCCAAGCCATGTATGCGTAGCTGTTAATAAATGGGAGTGAGATAGAGTAATGAATGCAATATATGCATGCAGCACGGTGAGTAGAGTACTCATGCGATCTATGGCGCTGTGTACAACGCTTGAAGCCAAGCCCAAAGGTATGCAAGAGCCCAGATAGGGCGAGTGAGACGATCAACCATCTTGGACGTCGTGTATGGGTGTCTCCTAGAAAATTGTCTTCAACTAGTGAAATATCTACGAGCAAAATGCGACGATGCATACGGAGCACCATGCGTTCCAAGTACTGCTTTCTCTCCTTGTGATCGGAAAAGCTTCCTACAATTTAATGGACAAATAGCTAACAAGGGCAATTGTGCGTTTTATAAAAATGTAGAGGTGCCTAATATTATTATGGTGGAGCAAAAGTAAATTATGTTGCGGCTTTTTGTTGGCACGGATTGAAAGACTTGTTGGCGCAACACGTGTGACCTGAGGCACCACGAAGGTATTGTTGGTATTACATATGAACCTGACACCCACTGAGCCGTGCTTGTAGTATAATCTGCTCAAGCGCTAAGACTTGGGAACTCAATGTATCATTGGCCTGATTACACTTTAATCCACTGGCATAAACTCCGCTGGCCTATCCTCGAGCTAGTTCAAGGCAGTAAAGCCGGGATCGGATTGTCCGGAAAAGATTGTGACATAGCGGTCTCCCTCCTCATCAACCTGCCACAAGTGGTTCTCCACTACATCTATCTTGGACTGAAGAATATTATATCCACAATTTTGGCCATGACAGGTATGGCATGAGAGACAATGAGAGTGGAGGTGACGGTTAATTCGGCACGTGCAGCGATAATGGCCGCGAAAAGAAATCTTCCCGAACCCAATCGGCCCGGAGACCGGGTTTTAGGCCAATTTTCTCATAGCTCCGTGCGTCATGGTACCCCACTTCGGGGAAAGGACTTTAGATAACGAGGAACAAATCTCTGCAGGGTCAGCACTCAAAAACCTTAGTGGACCCGGATGGCTAGGCTGAAAGCTGATTGGGTAGATCGAGCTTATGTAAGAAGTTATCACTTGCATTGTCATCTCAGCCACTGAGCATAATTTGGTTTTCACTGGGAGCGGACATAAATCAGACTTAAGACCGTGATGAAACTCCACTCAGTGGACCGTGTGTATCCTTCACGATCGCTGAGAACCATTGCGGCCACAGAAGGCAAGCTGTCGAATTGTGCGAGAGGTTTCCCAAGACCCAGCGGGTGAAGAGCTGAATCTGGAAAATCGGAACTGTATAAATAGACACGATGGACCCCCAATGACAGGATCCACCTCTGCAAATCACTTTAGATTGAAAACCTCATCACACTTACCACTATGGGATTCACCGATTACAAGTTCGAGGGCTGGATGGGCCTCGACAAGGAGGCTGTCAATGGCAACATGGTCTGGCAAGAATTCGAGCCCAAGCCGTGGGAGGAGACCGACATTGACATGCGGGTGACACACTGTGGTATCTGCGGCTCTGATATGCACACCATGCGCAGTGGATGGGTATGTGAACCGTCTGTTGGGGGCTTGTGGCTTGAAAGTTGGAGAGCTGACACGAAGGATAGGGCCCTACCATCTACCCCTGTTGTGTCGGACACGAAGTCGTCGGCATTGCCGTCCGGGTCGGCTCCAAGGCCGAGGGAAATATCAAGGTCGGTGATCGCGTTGGCGTCGGTGCGCAGAGTGGTTCCTGCCAGAACGCCGACGGCAACTGCGAGGCCTGCGCCAATGGCCTCGAGCAACACTGCAAGCGCATTGTCGGCACATACAACGGCATCTACGCCAACGGCGGCAAGTCATATGGTGGATATTCTCTGTATAATCGGTCGCCGTCGCACTTCGTCATCAAGATTCCCGATGCCATTCCCTCTGCCGAGGCTGCGCCTATGCTCTGCGCTGGAGTCACTACCTATTCGCCTCTGAGGCAGCACGGGTGTGGTCCGGGCAAAAAGGTGGGTATTGTCGGTGTTGGCGGCCTGGGTCACTTCGGTATCCTCTTTGCCAAGGCCCTGGGCGCTGACCGCGTCGTGGCCATCTCTCGCAAGGCCGACAAGAAGGAAGATGCGTTGAAGCTGGGCGCCGATGCTTACATCGCCACCGATGATGATGCGGACTGGGCCACAACCCACGCCGAGTCTCTGGACCTGATCATCTCCACCGTGTCCTCATCTAAGATGCCCATCATGGGCTACTGCCAGCTGCTGCGCCTCCGAGGTACTTTTGTCCAGCTCGGTATCCCTGAGGATGGCGCCCTCGAGATTCCGGCCTTTGCCCTGATTGCGAAGAGCATCAAGCTCACTGGCTCCCCGATGGGCAGCCCTGAGGAGATTCGCGAGATGCTCGAGCTTGCGGCCGCCAAGAAGATTAAGCCGTGGATTGAGGAGCGGCCGATGAAAGAGGCCAACCGGGCAATCCAAGATATGGATGCTGGCAAGGCTCGGTTCCGTTATGTGCTGGTTAACGAGTGGTAAATTTCGGTTACTGTGGGTAAGCTGACTGCATGTTCCGGGTGTGGACAATGGTGTTGGAGGTGATATGGAGTTCATGTACATAGATCTCGGACCAAATAGAAGAGCATTTCACGAGCATTTAGTGCTTGGGTTTGACCAATAGGGTAATGCTCACCTGACTGCCGCGGGGTAAGTGAGTTTGGTGATAAAAAGATAAGAACGCCATGGCCAATGACCTCACCTGCTTCCGTTTACTTCCTCTTCAAACATCGACCTTGGGTTTTCTGTCCCTCCTCTTCCAAGCTTCGCAAATCTCATCCCACCCCACCGGATACCTATTCGCGCGTGCCAAAATGCCTTCCGACAACAAGGGATCGTCTTACAGCTACAAGAGCTCCGGTACCAACACTGAGGTGAGTGTCCCCATCAGTATCCTCGAACTGAGACTCACACAGCTGACTCTTCCAGGGCAACCACTACTGCGCTCGTGATTATGGATCCGCAGCTCCCAACCAGAACTCGTATCACTACTCCAACCAGTATGTCTTTGACCACTGACGGCCTGATCATTCAAGATGAACTAATCAATGACAGGGATGGTTCCTACTACTACTCCAACTCGGATGGCAGCAAGTACTACAACTCTGGCAAGGGGGAGGCTTCGTACCAGCCACCTAGCTCGTCGAAGAAGTGATATCGCTATCCAGTGCTGTTACCAGCGGTTGAAGTGGTGATACTATGAATGGAGAATGGGATTGAGACTTTTGCTACTTGCCGGCCCGCTCTAGAGATGGTACGAGGGTTGATGGAAGCTTTTTGCTATGGTCAGAGGGTATTAGCCTTTAGTTATTACGCCGGCGAATGAGTTTACCAGTCTCTCCTACCAAACATGCTACGTACACAAGATATAAATTGTGAGCAGACAAGACAGGAAAAGCTGGCGAATATCGCGATAGTGCTGCAAGGGAGGAGCTGGCTCGGTCGGGACGTCAACACGACCAAGGATAGCATATGGTATGCATATCATATCAATTACACAGCGTTGAAGAGAATCAAATTAGCCGAAGACACTGACAGTCCGGGGAACCAGCCTAGCCGAGCCTAAGTAGATTAATCCTGCCAGCTTCCCCGAACTACGCGGCATTGCCCCGACAGGCTTAGGTGAGCCTGGCAACCCGATTGTGGATGCTCCTTAAGCCTGTGATTCACACAAGGCACAAATAATCCTCGGGGTTAAGATTCGGACAATGCCCCTCCTTCATGGGCACTAATCATGGGCACCAACCCCTACTGCACTCCTTCCTGATTCATATTATGATCACGTGACTGTGCTGTTGGTGGGGCGTTCCTAGGAATCATTGGCTGGCGGTGGCCCGTCGGTATGTCACTGCCCCTCATACAGTTGGTGGTTAGAGTAAGTGCTTCTTCCCTGCAGTAGTAAGCACCCATGGGCCAGTCTGGGCCCTACCCATACAGCACATGGTACGTGGCGAGGTCTACTCCCCGGCACATTTCTTACGGCCAGAGCGTCTCCGAGCAAAATGAAAGCGTCATTTCCTGACCGGATTATTTACCCGAGGATTCCTTTGTTATATATTCAATGTCAGCATTCAGTCCGGACACCGTAAAGGGCCATCACAGAGAGAAAACTTGCTCCATAAACTTTGTCTATCTACTACTCACAATGTCAAGTGCTACACACAGCCCACACGTCTTGCTGACGGGCGCCAATGGCTTCGTGGCCTCTCACATCCTGGCCATCCTGATAGATGTGGGCAAATTTAGTTCATCATTCTGGGAATCCCAGATGGCTGATTAGCTAGTAGCGCGGATACCCCGTGACTGTGACAGTGCGCTCCCAAGAAAAAGCGGATGATATCATCAAAATACATCCGTCTTGGAAAGGCAAGGTGGAATTTGCAATCGTCGCTGATTTCACGTCGGCAAAACCTTTCGACCATCTCTTCGAGAGCCCAAAGACGCCGTTTAATTATGTGATCCACACGGCGTCCCCCGTGACGTTCCAGGTGTCTGATATCCAAAAAGAGATGATTGAGCCTGCAGAAAAGGGGTCAGATTATTATCGACAGATATCCACATGAGTTCCAGCTCACGATTTTAGAACCACCGAGATCTTGAAGGCTGCCCATCAGCACGGTGGTACTGCGTTGAAGCGATTTGTGCTTCTGGGAAGTGCCGTATCTGTGCTTGACTCCTTTGAAGATTTGTCCCGGCAAGGCAAGCCATACACGGAGAAAGATTGGAACCCGGTAAAGATTGCTTGCGCATCCCTTATCAGCACATCCGTTTTATCTGACCTGGTACAGGTGACGGCTGAGCAAGCCATTGACAAACACGATAACGTTCTGGGATATAACGTGTCCAAGATAAGAGCCGAGGCTGCTGCATGGAAGTTCATGGAGCAGACTCCTACCTCCTTCGACCTGACAGTAATCAATCCGGACATCGTCATCGGCCCAATGATCCACCCGATCTCAGGCCCTAAATCTATTAATGAGAGCAATAATTTTGCCATCGCGAGCTTTATTGATGGAACACATAAGGAAATCGACGGTGTCACCTTTCCTTTCTACCATTTTGTAAGTTCTCCGCCAGAACGTACATCCTAGTTGACCGGCACGGTGAAGAATGGAAAACCGAGAAGTAAGCTCGTGTGCTTATTCACATCCAGGTGGACGTTCGAGATGTGGCCCGGAGTCATGTAGATGCACTTGAAAACCCCTCTGCGGCAAACCAGCGCATTCTCCTCATCGCCGGTCTCATATCACCCCAACTGGTGGTCAACATTATCCGCAAGAATTTCCCGGATCTTGCTAACAGGGTCCCTAAGGGTGATCCCTCCCAGATTTTACCTCCTGGAGTTCATCCAACGGGATGGGATATGCGCATGAGTTTGGGAATCCTCGCCGACGGTACCAAGGAGGGGAAGTGGGAGTACATTGGCCTGGAAACCAGTGTCGTCGATACTGTTGACTCGATGATAAAGCATAAGCTCATTTCGTGATACCGTATTGGCCTTTGTTTACGCATTTCAACGGCTTGAGAAATCAGGATCGGAAAACATGAGACAGCACATCTTACGGGCTCGAGTGGTGGGAAATCATAATTTAGGAACGAGCATCAGTAGTTATTAATGAGCTGACACGTACTGGAAACGTAATGAATTAAGTTTATTGTACGTGCATTCTTTGCTTGTATGGTCAAGACATCCCATAGAAAAGTCGGAGTCACGTCAAGGTATAGGTTGGGCTTTTCGAGGTGTTCGATAGCATTACTGGAGTGATGCTTCGTGGTCGACCACCGTTATCGGGCGGTCCGTTGACGGAAAACGTCCGTATATTGGAAGAGATTCTCAGGATGGTACACCTGATGTAGCCAGCAGCCAGTGCACCATCTGCCATACAGATAGTCCCCCTACGGACCATGTTAGATATCAAAATCATGCTTTGTAGGGCCCAGGTTTGGCGCCATCTGGTATGATCACTTGCAATAGGTTGTTGAGATATCTCGCCTCCATTGGGATGGTTTTCGAGATGGTTATAGTGGTATTAAAACACAAATGAATACACCCCTCCATACTTTGGAGGCAACGCTTGTTAAATGAAGAGCTATGCATATAGAAGACTACAGAAGAGTCCCATGGGATCACGTTACGTGGAAAGGAGGCCGTTCGGGCCTCAGAAGTAGTCATTCCCAACACCAATCTCACAGTTTCTTACAATCTCGTTGTAAACAATATTCCTTCGGTGGACCTAGGTAGCGACGGCTGTGCCGGCAGTAACACCTTAAGTCCGGGAAGGGCCCCCTGCCATTTTGGGACGATCCATTATCTCCGCCCTTGAACAGCTTATATGTTGCGACTTCGCCTTTCTGCAATATTGTATTGCATATTTGGTTTCTATCACTTCAACGCAATCCAGCATGTCAGACTTTCACAAACGTACATGGCTTATCACGGGAGCCTCGTCAGGACTTGGTAAATCGCTCGCCCTGGAAGCCCTGAGTAAGGGCCACAGGGTTCTCGGTACCACACGTGAAATTCAAAAGGCGCAGCACAGCTTCCCTGAATTTGAAGTTAACGGCGGTACATGGTTATCTTTGGACCCGGGCAACCCAGTTGCGCATGAAATGGCCACAAACATCTTCGCAGCCCACAACATCGACGTTCTGGTAAACAATGCAGGATATGCGTTCATTGGAGGAGTGGAAGATACAAGGTAGGGACATATACCAAGCCCAGGCGAGAGATAGATATCCCGAAGCTCACATGGAATGCCGTGCAGCGAAGATGAAGTTCGCTCCCAAATGGAGGTTAACTTCTACGGCCCACTTCGTCTCATACGAGCGGCGCTTCCAAATATGCGCTCGAAGCGGTCAGGGAATATTGTTCTGATCAGCAGCGGAGCTGGGTAAGTGTTCCGCACGGGATATTCTACTCTACCTTTTGTAGATATGATCTCTTGACAAACGGTCTCATGGACTCTTCTCACAACCCATTTGAGCAGATTCACTGCCAGGCCGGGCCGGGCCGCATACTCCGCGAGCAAGTTCGCCATTGAAGCCATCCATGAGTCGCTATCCGACGAGATCGAGACCTTTGGCATCAAAGTTTTGATTGTAGAGCCTGGTGCCTTTCGCACGCCATTCGCCAGTCGCATAATAACCCCGGCCCAGTACCGGAGTAATGGAGGGTTCAGCCAGGCATATCAGGGCACTTCGGTGGAGAAAATGGTCCGTGGCATGAGCGATACTACAGGTATGCCGGGGTGGCTTAAGGGTGATCCCCAGAAAGCCGCAAAAGCGATATTAGATGCCGTGGAGAATGGACACGAGTACCTCCGAATGCCTCTAGGTGCCGACTGTGTGACGGCCTTAGAAAGCAAGATGAATAGTTTGCAACGCGATTTCGATCTTACCAGAGCAGTTGCCAACTCGACTGGTGTTGATTCCTAATTCGATCAGCCGACATGTGTGCGTTATACAATTCCAATTCACCGCGCTCATAGTGAAATTCCATAACCCATGAAGCCAGGCAACACCTGGGTATCTTCATTAAAGTCCATATCCTGTACGATGGATTGACTTGTAAAATAGCCTTGACGCAGAAACTCTGGGGGTGCTCTTCGATCCTGTCTCTCGTACCGATGGAGAAGTCGCGCTGCTGAGATGCCGCCCACGGGAATGCGCGTGGGATCGATTTTGAAATTGTCGGCGTCATTCGTGTAGATGTGTTGGAGCGCGGTGAAAGAGACTTGGACGTCAACCATGTGCGATTTTTACGAAGAGGGCCATTTTCGGGGACAGGGAATGAACGGGCGAATTGCCAAGGTTAGAGATCCGGCAACTTATGAGCACAGAATACAGTACGAAGTACACCGTAAATGAGGAACCAAGTCAAGTGTGACTCCTCACCCTGTTTCTCGAGCCCCAAGGCAGAAAATCAAGGAGGAGAATATGTTCAATTCGCTAGTTAAGGAGATAAAATATACCGACCAATCAGCTTCAGCTGCATCGTTGGGATTCGGAGAAGTCGAATGACCGTCTATAAGATCCAACATTCCCCACCGACACATGATAGAAAATAAAAAAAAGACAAGAAATATACGGTAGACGCCATTCCGTGCGGATTTCCCAGACCAGGGTTTACAGCAGGATCATGCCCAGACCGGTCAGGAAGGCAGTAGCCACGTACGCGCCGACCTGGAAGTAGCCGACGGCGACGCTCGAGTGGAGGTTGGCAGGAGCGCCGGCACTGGACGAGGTGGATGAGCTCGAGGACGAGTCGGCCGTCGCGGTCGCCTCGGTGGTGACGCTGCCAGTCCCAGCCGAGCCGGCCTCCTTGATCTGCACCGAGCAGGTGCCGATCGCGGCGGTGGTGGCCTTGGTGGTGGCCGAGCTGGAGAAGTCGCAGGCAGTGGCCGACTTGCCCTGCTCCTTGTAGTACTTGTTCAGGGCGAAGGCCAGCTTGTACTTGATCTCGCACATGCTGTAAGCACCGTACTCGCCCGTGGTGGCGTTGCCGTTCACCCCAGCGCAGTCGGTGTAGCCGCAGACAGTGCCCAGCAGAGTGCCGTACTTGCTGGTAGAGACGTCGCTTGACACGACACAGGCAGACTCCTCGTACACGCACTCACACAGGGTCGCATCCGGGGTGGGAGGCAGAGGGGACGCCTCGGCCTGCCAGCCACTGCCCACGGTCGGGCAGCTTTGCAGGGCCGAGTTGGTCGGGGTGTAGGAAGCCTTGTTGGTGCCCGTGGGGTTGGCGCTCGCGATCTCGCTGGAGTAGTATTTGAAGTCGGACATGGTGCTGACACTGGTGCTATCGACGACGGAAACTAGACCTATTGAGGGGGGAAAAGAAACGCGGGGTCTCATTAGCATGGCTCCCGTCAAGAGCGGACGCTCCGATGTCTTACCGTAGTTGTTGGTCTCCTGGAAGTACATGTACACAATACCACCGGACCAGACCTCGGACATGGTATCCCCGTACAGCGCCTTCACCTCCGTGAAGGTGCGAGGGGTTACTTCATTGCAGCCGTACTCAGCGAAGAAGACGGGGACGGTGTAGTTACGGAACTGCTCCGTGCGGTCCTGGTATCCGGATTCCGCGTAGGTGGAGTTGCCGCACCAGGAGTAAATGTTGTAGCCCCAGAAGTCAACGGACTCGTCGCTGCTCTGGCAGTCGAAATAGTCGGCCAGGTCCACCCGGATCGACGAGACATCGGCGGTGGCGTATCCAACACCCATCGACCGATAGCCCTTCTCCTTGATGTACGTCTTCATGTCGCGCACGGCTGCCTTGACAAAGGCGGCGGAGTCCGTGGTGGCCACGGTGTTGGCGACCTCATTGCCGGCGAAGAAGCCAATGGTGTTGTTGTACTGGGACAGCTCGTCAATCACGCTGGTGTAGCGAGAATACAGGCTGGTCAGCCAGGTGGGATCGCTCCGGTCAATCGACTGGGTGGGGTCCGACAGATCGGAGATCAAGTAGATGCCCGCCTCCGACAGCAGCTGCATACACTCGGAGTGGTCGGCGCTGGCGTTGATCGAGTAGGTGCGGATGACGTTGGTGCGCAGCTCCTGCAGGATGGGGATATCGCGCTTGCACGCGGCGGCATCCGCCAGGGGGTCCTTGTAGCTGCTGCTGTCGCTCGTATCCTCTGGTTGATGTTAGTGTCTGTCCGCATTCCCGCGGGTCCGGTCTGATCGTCGTCCACCTACGTTGATACGCCACGCCACGGAGGTAGCTATTTCCTTGTTAGCATCGCCCTCGTTAGGGGTCGCCGCCGGAACGTCGATCGGACTCACAATTGGGTGTTGTTGCTGGAATAGAAGAATTTGGAGCCCTATTCGCCAACCCATGGTCAGCATCTGTACACCCTTCCGAGGGTTCCAATCAGCGCGAACCTTGATCACAATCGGGTCCAGGTCAGCCACAGCGGCTGTGACCAGCGTCGCCAGCGACAGCAGAGACAGCTTCATGGCGAGATGAGTTGAGCGGATCCAATCGGTCCGGCAGATATAGATATATAGCGAGTGAACGGCGGAGAGGATGGCCTCCGTGGGGTCAGTTGGGGCAAAGAAAAGAGACAAGACTTGAGATAGAAGAGAGGCGTGGAACGAGTGAATGTCAGTCAATGTCTAAATAAAGCTAAGTGAAAGGCCGCCATGCGACGAAGAAGAACCCATGGTGGCTTCACCTCCGGTGGCCATTAATACTCTCTCCGTCGTGCCGTCCACTACCCTGATTTGCCCTTTGCCCCTGACACGAGGACGCGTACAGCCGACCCAGCGGGCATCCACCGAGCTAAGGACGTCAACCTCCAAGACTAGGTGACGACCCGTTACGGATGGCAACATTCCCCAGGCGAGAGGAGATGGACCGCGTCAACCAGCATTTCACCGGATTCGTGATGAGGGCTGCCGGGGACCGAATAAATAAACCATGACCAATTAGAAGGCTCCGCCAACGACGACTATTTTGGCTTCGGCGGACTAATACTCGTTAGTGCGCCACACTAGAGTCGACTTGACCGTGAGAAGGTGGCCGTGAGGCGCATAGTCCAGCCCCCGTCTCACCGAGGGCCAGCGCCAGTGCCAGCGCCAGCCGACCCCGAGTGCATGCGAGGCAGGGTCATTCATGTCCAGGAAAGTGCTACAGTGAGCATTGGGAGAGATGGTCTTGCCCGAGGGTTTTTCCAGAAGCTGATGGTGGAGAGTGAAAATGGTCCCAGGCTGACGCGGTAGGTGGGGCCTGGTGGGTGGGATGGCGTCCGCAGTGCGTGTCCTTCAAACTTGGCCGCCTAGGAGAGACCAAACAGGTCCAATGTGATCTTGTCCAGCCCTCAACCCATCGAGCATGGGTCTGTCATTTCCTTCCATGGTGTTGGTAGTGGGTACTCTGTACAGAAGGTCGGGGATGCTCGCTCGGAGAAGATTTCTCGGCCTGGTCAAGGTTCGGCACCATCACGACATTTCGAGAAGGCGGTGGCCTTTCCTAAATTTGGAACTGCGCCCAATACTGAGCGCGCTTGATTTTGATTACATGAGCAGATACAATGCTGATAAGATTGCCAAGCTCAGCGGATCTGGGGAACCATGATGCATCGGTGGGTTCGTGGCGCGCCCGCAGGAAGATTAAGTTGGTCATCCGGTTGATCTCCCTCTCCCTCGCATACAGTGATTCAAACTCCGGCAGTTGAGGTGGTCGTGATCGGGGCAGTTGGAAGAGCAAGTATATTCAAACTTCCGACGGGCTCTAAATAATCACGAGACAGGACTCATACACCCCGAACCCTGGATCAATACCACTGCATTGTTATCATTAACGTCCCTTCGTTGCGCTCAGCGCGTCCTCCCTGGATGGCTCTCCCTGGATGGTTCCCCCTGGATAGTCCCCCCTGGATGGCATCCAGATTTACACTCGATCCTACTTGCGATGGGAGTCGATGGCCGCTTCGAACGCTCGAATGGTCTCTAGGGGTCGCTCGAGACGATTCCGGGTCGGGTTGGAGAGGTCGGGGTCCGCTGGGAGCGAGTAAGCCTGTGGTTCGTCGGAAGGGACAGATCCTCTGCATATGTACGTACTGATAATTCTCCCCTCGCGGTCCTTATGTTGCAGGTCCCGCAGCGAGAAGGTATCCCGCTTTCCGGGCTCATTGTTGACCGCAACTGTGGGAGTGTCAGTCAATGCGGTGCGGAAGTATGGTGGATGCCAAGGGGGCGCTCACCGGGTTGCGCTTCATACAGGGCCGTGTTGGGGTCGGCCTTGGTGTGCAGCGTCGTTTTGGGGCTCTCGTGCGACTGGATGGAGCCGGTGCGCGCACTGGCCGAACTCGAGGAAGCCATGATATGGAGGGTCAGAATTTTTCAGGCAGGAATTATTGGAAAAACAACAAAGATTCGATATTCAATGACTGCGATACGTCCTAAGGAAGCTAAGCGTGGCTGCAGATCACGGGGGTGGCGATCGCCTGGATATATACAGCCGCCCGGGAAAGTGAGCTGTCATGCTCATCTGTCTGATTCCACGGCTAAGAATAGAGGCAAATCCACACACGGTGGCAAGACGGATCGCGGATAGTCATTGGGCCGATGTTGATCGACTGCCGGTCAGTCACATCCGCGCCCCAATTCCGTATGACGTGCCGCACCGTCGCGTTCCCAATGGCTGGTCAAGCATCCCTGAGGAGTAGAATGCTTAGCATGCGATGCTCCAATGAGGGGCCTGGGGCCGCGCAACCACTGGCTGAAGGCCGCAGCCACCGCACCAGGCTCAGGTACCCGGCGCTGGACGGACCCCAGACGGATTCGCAGGCAATCAGCAGCTCTGATACGCCCTGCATGCTGTTTTGCCGATATGGCGAGGTCCACCCGTCCACCGTCCTTGGAATGTGAGTTCTGGAATCGCGGGCCCCTTGCGGCGGAGACGCGGCAATCTCGCTGAATGTGACAGGAAGGTTCAGAACATTCTTTCCCCATGTTTTCTGGCTCTTTCCTTCGATGATCCTACGTGGGATTGGCGCAATGGTGGAGGATGCTCGAGATCCATGCCTCATATGGACGGTTTGACGGCCGAGGCTCTCCTCCACAGGAATGTTCTCCGACTCGAAGCAGAGCGAAACCCATCGGCGGTACCTCGTGCCTGGCATCCGTCCCAGATAATGCTGGAATGACGGTGATAATACATGAATGACCGCGAGGGCGTATTGTTTTAGGCCGCCGCACAGGCCCCCTTGGCGGGTCAGCACGGGGCGATTGATCTACGAGGCTTCGGCTGGTCGCTGAACAGCAGGCAGCGAAGTTTCAGAAAGCAGGGGCGGTTTGCGAACAGCGAGATCGTACCCAGTGGCTTGCCCCCGATGTCATCGCCGTTCGATGCGGCCATCAAAAGGCTGGCGCCGGAAACGGCGACTGCTGGCACTGACACTCGTCGCCACGCTTGGATCCTCCCCAGCATTCCGGTCTGCGAACATTCCTGGTCGTTTGTCAGGGCAAGGCGCCCATTGGGCCATTGTGAGATCCAGCGGTTGCGGTGTTTCCCATGTGACCAATGCCTGACCATGGCTTCGTGAGACCCCTCGCCTGGTGGTACTGCGCGGTCTCTTCAAACGGAACCTCACGCTTTCTCTTGACGCGCTTCCGTCAAGGGGAAATCATGTTATACCCACATTGACCAGGAATGAATCCGAACGAGGCACCCGGTCGAACAATTGTCACCCGGAAAGATGATGCACCCCCGCGCCGCGCCCCGTTCCCCATCCCCGACTTGGCTGGCCACTTGCGGGGGCCTGCCCCCTCGTGGTGACTATCAGACTGGGTTTCCATGGGGTTCCACAGATCTCAGGTGGGCGGCATCTCTTCAACCATGCCCATCGACATGGAAACGCGGTCAAACCAGGTATCGGGCCGCTGTATGGTCTGCGGGCCGGGAGGTTGGTGCGTGTGTTTGCCGTCGGCAATTGCCTTTGCAACAGCCTGGGCGTTGATGAAAGCGGGCACGTTCACTTGAAAGGGATACGGCGCTACAGTGGCCCACGGTCGTTGACGAGAAGCATGACGACGAGAAGCATTGGATGTCAGAACTGTCAACAACTGCTGCAAGAATGAGATCCCGGAGCCGATTCCTTCAAGTGAAAACCCTCCCAGGGTGTTGGCGGCGGCAGCCGTGATCATTCCAATAAACTCGCCTCTGTTGTCCGAATTCAGATGGGTCAGTATAGTGAGCTGGATTTCACTCAGTTTCTGTCGGCAGTCCATGATACGACGAGTCAAATGGGCTCGGTCTGTCTTGCTTGCGTGAGTGCTTGCGACCATCGCCCTTGTTTCTGCGAGAAATCCTGGACAGTGGGCAATCTCATGGAACGCATATTCGATCAGTTCTCCCAGGCGGCTGGCCTGACCCCGCCGTTCTTCCTCTTGGACGCCCTCGGGGATGATCTCTCGCCATTCCTGTGCCTCCAAAAAACACCTTTCGCCCTTCATGAGAGCATCGAAGACTATGAACCCGCGAAACGATAGCATCAAGGTCCGACCTAACCCTGTGGCATGAGCCTGGGCTCCTCGTAGTACGAGCAGACACGCGACTCCGCGCGAATGCAGCATCCACGCCTGCTGGCCCGTAGCGTTCACCATCTCATACGCGCCAAGCAAAATGGCTGTAGCGAGGGTTTCATCTGCCACGGCCAGAGATGGCCGATTCAGGGCGCCCATGATCTGCTGAAGTGCGTGTACGTACAGCTCGCGGCTGGCCATCACCAGCCGGTGATCGCCATGGTCCTGACCCAGCTGCATCATACCCAGGCTGCGTATGGCACAGATAAGTGCTTTGTTATTCTCGTCTTGTTGATAGCGGGCCACATGGAACCAATTCACTCCGACGCGGGCGCTATACCCGTAGAATTGACCTGAGAACCTGGCTTCCAAAAAGGCACAGAATCCTTCGCGGTACTGCTGGTCAAAAGCCTGGGCAACTAAGGCGGGAGCAACCGTTTCATCGAGGGGTGCTTTGGGAAGCAACGCTCGCGTTTGATAACGTTGATGTGCGGCCCTGATGGGCCCCGCATAAGGGTTGGGTGGGCTTGCAGTGTCCGAAGCCCGTCCAGGCGCGCCAAATTGATGATAAAACTTTCTTTCTCTGGCATATCCAGGACACTGCAGTCCTCGCTGTTGACAGGATTGACATCCTGGTTGTGCTTCATCGCACTGCCGGCAACAGCCAATTAGAACGTGCGATGATGGCCTGTAAGTGTGGGTTTGATACCTTGACTCGCCGTCGCAGGCAGGCTAGACAGCCTTTGCTACGTGGAACGCCCACCATCCACTCTTAGTCCCTGAATACCGGGGTTTGAGACCTGGCATTCCCTAGTGGCTAAGGTTAAATACGGAGTGAAGATGAGAACACGAGGACTGTCCACTCGTGACCGCCGCTAGGCAGGTCCGTGAGCACGCTAGTGACAAATTGGCGCGGAGTCCAACTCCGCTCGGCCAATCCAGCAGGTGCTGCACAATTAACATTTGTTCTCGTCAAGAGTGGGAAGTGGGAACAGTACGGAGTAGGGATGGCAGAATAATTATTTCGAGCCTCTCATAACTCTATCGCTCGTTGAAGATACTGGAACCTTCGTTGCTATTATACATGCCGGCCTTTCCCACAACGGTCGCCTCGCAACACATGCACCCGCTTCCTAACTAGTAGCTGCGAGGCAAGTCAAGGACCTTCTCACTGACGTAGTTCAAGATCATCTCACGGCTTACCGGGGCAATGCGAGGGACGAGACATTCACGCAAGTAACGTTCTACGTCAAATTCCATGGCATACCCCATGCCTCCGTGGGCCAGAACAGCTCGCTCACAAGCGGTAAAGGCAGCCTCGGCAGCGAGGTACTTGGCACTGTTACAGGCCACGCCAATTGCATGGAACGGCACTGACCCATCACTAGTATCATAAAGTCGAGCCGCATGGTATGTTGCGTGTTTTGCGGCCTCAAGTTTCATATAGGCGTCGGCCAATGGGTGTGAAACTCCTTGATTCTGTCCAATCGGACGGCCGAATACCACTCGCTCTTTGGCATACTGCGCTGCTTTCTCCAGCGCAGCATACCCAAGACCCAAGGCTTCACCTGCCAGAAGACAGCGCTCGGCATTCATGCCATGCAGAATGATTTTGAACCCCTGGTTCTCCTTGCCAATCAACGTATTGGCGGGGATTTTATAGTTGTCGAAGAAGACTTCATTTGCGTCCACCGCCCGACCACCCATTTTCTTGATCTTGCGCATCTCCAACCCAGGCTGCTCGCGGTCAAGATCGATGCAGAAAATAGATAGCCCCTCGCTCGTTTTGTGGACTTCCTCTAGTGGCGTTGTACGGGCCAGTAAGATCATCTTTGATGCCACCTGCGCGCAGGTGATCCAGATCTTCTGACCTGAGACGGAGTAGCCATCTTCCGTTTTGGTGGCAAGAGTCTTGAGTTTGAGGGTTTCAAGTCCCGTATTCGGTTCGGTCACACCAAAGCATGTTCGCCAGGTGCCATTGATGATATTTGGAATGGTGGTCTCCAGCTGTTCCTTCGTGCCGAACTTAGCCAGTGGTTGTGTGGCATAGACGTTGGCATGGATGGCCTGGGCTCCAGCCATCCCGGCGCCGGATTGTGTGATGGTCTGCATCATCATGGTTGCCTCAGAGATTCCTATCACGACCATTAGTGTACCTCATCTTTCTCGGGGTTGACCCATTCACCTACCTAGTCCAGCGCCTCCAAGAGATTCAGGAAGGGCAATACCAAGCCATCCGTCCTTCGCCAAGGCTGCATGAAATTCCTTGGGGTCTTTCTCCTGCTGATCACGCTCTTGCCAGTACGTGTTGGGGAATTTCGAGCAAATGTGCGAGATCGACTCTCTAACTATGAGTTGCTCCTCCGTAAAACCTGTCATTTCCATGAGCTCGCGTCGTGCAGAGGTTGAAAAAGTGGCGCGTGCCACGGGCAGACGACACGAAGCGCCCGCGGATATTCTGAGAGATGACGCCCATCGCGACCCAAGTAAACGTTGCCACTGAGGCCGAGACATCTCTATAATGGATGTGCTGTGCCTGTTTGGTCTGTCTAGACGGTCAATTAATATATGGGCTATGCGCCTTCGTCCGAGGTCCCCACTCAGAAGCATATAGCCGACTTGCCGACTTCCCCGCTGTTGTTCGGCGAGGCGGAAAGGGCGCCAAAATGGGATTATTCGCCTGGGGAGGCTGGAGGGACAAATAGGGCGTGTTGAACAGCCATTTACATCTGCATATAGTCTTCTCTGCATACTCCTGCTTGCCATCTCGCATCGGCCCTCTTTAGTGCACTATGAGATTTGCACTCCGTCCGGTCCGTGCATTGGGCCAGGCGAGCACATTCCGCGCTCCAACACATCTGTCTACTCGATGCTATTCCAGCGTAACTTCCAATGGCCATCGTTCTCCTCCGCTTGCCGGTATCACTGTTGTTAGTCTGGAGCAAGCTATCGCCGCCCCCTTCTGTACTCGGCAACTAGCCGATCTTGGAGCCCGCGTTATCAAAGTCGAGCGACCATGCGTCGGAGACTTTGCTCGTCAATATGATGATCGTGTCAATGGAATGTCCTCGCATTTTGTCTGGACGAACCGATCAAAGGAGAGCTTGGCACTGGACCTGAAAGATAGAAACGATCATGCAGTCTTGATGAGGCTTCTGGGGCAAGCGGACGTGCTCGTCCAAAACTTGGCTCCGGGAGCCAGTGCACGATTGGGTCTATCACACGACGTGCTGAAGGAGAAGCACCCATCTTTGATCGTCTGTGATATTTCTGGGTATGGGCAAGACGGGCCGTATCGCGACAAGAAAGCATACGATCTTCTCATCCAAAGCGAAGCTGGAATGCTATCCGTTACGGGCACCGGGACGGAGCCAGTGAAGGTGGGCATTTCTATTGCTGATATTGCTGCTGGTATGTACGCATATACCAATATTCTTTCTGCGCTATTGCAGCGTGGGAAGGACGGCCAGGGCTGCCGTATTGACATCTCGATGCTGGAGAGCATGGTCGAATGGATGAGTTTTCCGATGTACTATGCCTTCGACGGTGCTGCTGGTCCGGTGCCAGCGGGAGCCTCACATGCTGCTATCTATCCATATGGCCCTTTTGAAGCTAGCGACGGCCAGATCATGTTAGGGATTCAAAACGAGAGGGAATGGGCCAAATTCTGCTCTCATGTCCTCTGTCAACCGGACTTGACCTCGGATTCTCGGTTCTCAAACAACACATTCCGATCCAAAAATCGAGACGAGCTGAAAGCTGTTATTGATGATACCTTCTCGCGACTGACGGCTGCAGAGACGATTGCACGGCTCGAGGTGGCCTCGATTGCCAACGCGAATCTTAACGATATGCATGGAGTTTGGAAACATGCACAGCTTGAAGCTCGCGACCGGTGGGTTGATATTCAAACTCCCACCGGGGCTGTGCAAGCTCTCCTTCCTCCAGGGTCAACAAAGTCAGCAGACCAAGGCGGGTACGAAGCTCAGATGGGATCAGTCCCAGAAGTTGGGGAACACAACAAAGCCATCTTGGCGGAGCTGGGACTGACGGAAAAGAACGATTAGAGTATCATTTTTGAATACCATTTGCATACAAGGTTTTTGCCAGATATATACCTTGCATGAATAGTGAAGCGGACTTTCGTGTTTGGTCGCCTTGTATAAATTTAGTCTCGAATTCACGAAACTAGAGAAATCGATACAAAAATTCTAAGTTCTGAGGGTTCAGATAGTCAGGGTTTGTCAAGGAGCCCGCAAGTCCTAGAATATCTTCTCCTTCCACATTAAATAGCTCATACCAATCCATGTTGACGGTTGCACCTTCAGTTGGGTTCAAGGAGCCGCTGGGTTGCACAGTGGGCAAAATGCTGTCTGTGGAATTCCGTGATGGGGGCCGACTTGCAGCGCTGCAAGGGGTATTCAGAGCCAACGAGTCAGGAATCGGTGGTCCCTTTGCAAACTGGCCGGGAAGTGTGGACTTTGACATTCCACTGTCAGCCAACCGGAGATTTCTAGCGGTGCGATCATCTAAACAGTGGAAGAATAGATCAAGCACCCAATTCTCCAAGTCCCATGACTTTTGAAGCTCCTTCAGGCCAAGCAGACAAAGCTTCGCCCGGTGTTCTGCCAGCTTTTTAGCGGTGCTGGCTACGCGTCCAAAATGAATAGTGTGTATGCACAAGGCCGAAAAGGTGTGGGTAATTCTACTTTGCTATTAGATGAGATTGTCACACCATAAATCGAGTTTCGAACTCACAAGTGGACGGATCCATGTTGCACCAGGTTCTGTGACAGCATATCCTCCAGAATACGCGTACTTTTAGTAGCTGCATCCAGAGCTATATTTCCTTCCGAGCTGATTGATTCACTTGCCGGTTGCAAAAACATTGGCCGATATAGCAAGACATAAAGATTGCTAAAGGATAGTCAGTGATAAAGGCCGTCAAAATTGATAATAACTAAAACAAGGACCGGACGTACGCATATGTCATATGGAGCATGCCAACGAGAAACAACACGTCTCGAGTCATGTTTGACTGAAACTGCATCTCCGGCGGTAGGGTTGACTCCCAATCCAAAAGACGCTGATGGAGCACTGGACGTGATGGATTGTCCAACTTTGACTTTCCTGGTAGATACTGGCTAGAAATGACCTCACGTACTGTAGATAGTTCGTTAGTTGGCCCCCGTTCACAAGCTCAGGGCACCAATGCTTCTTACATAATCGGGCTAGTTGGGCCATTCTAATCACGTAGGAGACGTGTGCTGCAGGTGGCTTTGGGAATATGTCAGAAGGGGTGGCAGAATCGAGGTCCTCGAAGTCTGACTCTTCAAGTTCGACCACTTCGCAATCCTCGTCCCGGATTCGAGACGGTAACCCCAGTGCTGCGGATGTTTGCTGGTCACGAACCTACTGATGTGTGAGCTCGGATATGTGTGAAAAGTGGGGAAACAAGCAAGAGTACTCACATATAAAGCCCACCAGATCCTTTTCCAGATTTTCTGGTCACGAGTACCCAAAAATGTTAATTTTGACCTAGATTGTTAGCACTTAGACCGATGGAATAGAATGTTAGGAAAAAGAAAGATCCCCTACATTACATGCATCCCCTTCTTTTGGGCCAAATCAGTGGCCGTGCCGAGCCAGTATCTAACGTCACGCTCTTCTGTCGGCCCTCCCCGCCAAAAGCTCAACAGAAATATAGACTGTAACTTGATCATCGTGTCGGTTTCCCATCCAACATCATATATCTCCTTTGCACGCCAGTAGAAAAGCCCTTTGGCCTTATACCGATTGTTAAATCCCGTGGTGTTCAGGGCACGGTCTGAACACAAGCTCACCCCAATGAACAGCATCGCCTGCAGAAGTAATGGAGATATGGTGCGGGATTGATAATCATTTTGAACCTGGGAGCGATCCAGAATAGGGAAAAGGGGGTGGAACCATTCAAAGTATGCTTGAAGGAGCACATCGCAGATGGCGGGCAACGGGAAAACCAAGGCGCTCTCGCGAATAAGACGGTCGTGCAGAAACTTTCGGCGCTGTCCCAAAGTCTCTTCGCTAGTCTCTGATGATGTGTGGAGATCAGAGATGGAGTAATGCAGTCGCGCTTTTTGGATACCGCATGCGTATCCTTTGTCTGGTGATCGTCGGCCCTCGTCAACGACGCAGGTCAGAGGGCTCGACTCCCCGAAGAATACGGTTTTATGGATGGTATCTTCGGGCCTTGGGGGCGGGCCGATGGGGCGTAGTGAGGGCATCGGTCTTGCAGTGGCTCTTGCTGCAGAAGGCGGGCCTCCGATGCCGTGACCGGTATGCCAGTCGGCTCAAGGGTCTCGGAAGCGACCTTTCTCTTCCGACGCGGATATCTGCCGATGAGGGTCAGCATATAATCGAGAAGAAGCCTTCGGTAATGCTTACTTTCCGCGTCGTGACACTCCTAATTCGCAGGGCAGGTTCCATGCCACGCAATTACGGCACGGTTGCATCTCCAGAACATTGCAGCGCACACGGCGCGCGTTGCAGGACAAGCATGCCTTCTTCGCGCGCATACGCGGCCGATCGGGGGTTAAGGTCGCCATTATCTCAGATCAGATAGGCTGCCTCCCAAATAACTAGGTTAATGCATTAAAAGATAGCAGAGAAACAGGCTTGCTGTGCCAGCTTTGCTCGGTTATACAGGCTTGCTGAGAGACCGTTGGTGTGTTATTTCGGTTTCTTCGGCTATATGCCCCCGGCGGGGAAACACTTCCAGGCCGAGAAATTGCCACGAACACAGGCAACTTCGCCCTCATTCCATTCATATGGCTTTCTTCTTGACAAAATTTTCCTAGCATTATTTCTGTTCAACCGACTACTGCCTGGCTAGTACAAAGTACAAAATACGTGCTATACGCAGGTATCACGGACACATTAGGTGACGTCATGAAGGTGACAGCATATGAAATGGAATATATATGTGAAGCTATGCGTGGTTAGATTTGCAATAGCACAACTGGTGTTCGCAACTCGAATCAATGTAAAGAGCACCAACCATAAGGGTGCCCAAACAGGTCCACAGTCGTGATTTTTTGTGAGAAAAGAGGAATTCATCTTGGTTTTTGTTTTTTTCTCCCTAAAGAAAGAGAAATACAGCAAATAACAGAATTTCGTACAGAAGGCTTCCCGACATGATGGTTCATATTTATGTTATACCCATATTCATTCTCCCTTTCAATTTGTATCGTCATCGGAGACAGCCGCGTACCTACTTTGCAGGCAGACTTATTTTGTCTTCCCCACTGGCGCGGAAGAACGGGCATTGAGACACGCGATCAGGTCAACTTACAAAGCAAGGGACCAATTCCCCACCATATGCCGAGATCCGACCCAGAATTACTTGGAGCACAACTTTAAGGAGGACAAACCTATCGGGTTTACTGTCTATCATTTCTCTTTCGTGGAGATTCAGTGACCCCTGGCCTTTTAATTATCCGGGGTAAATCATCCTTTAGTGGCCCGGTCGGGCCAAGGAGTGTTCTGAACAGGCAGATGATTGACTGGGTTGCCACTGCGGATTTCGAACTCCATGCACGTTTCAGAACCGCGGCAAACAGAGTCGGATGTTGAGGAACGCCACCTGTGAAACCAGCGTAGTTGAAGGGGGAAAGCTAAGGTGGCGCCATCGGCTCGCTGCAACGACCGCAGCGGGTGAGAACTTCTCCGGGGCTCGGCATTTACCTGTATACGGCAACGCTTGTCGGCGTTAATCAGATAAGCCTAACCGCCGAACTAAAACCGCCCGACACTTTGGTTTTTAAGGGCGATCGGTCCCCGCGAACTGATCTGGGTTGGGGAACTTTCAGTTTGAATCCAGCCGAGTCAAGTCAAAATGGCAGGTCCTTCGCTTCGAAACATCATCGTGATCGGAGGCTCCTTCGTGGGGCGGGTGAGTGTGTCCATGCACCACTGCAAATGTGGCTAGCTAACTAACTCTCCGCGTAGTCGACAGCGCAGGAACTTGCAAAAATTATTCCCCCGACTCATCGAGTAAGCTTTTCACATACCTCGTCTGTGATTTCTTTGTAGCATAGTGCTGACTACTTGAACAGGTCCTCCTGACGGAACCCCACAGTCATTTCCACCATCTGTTCACTTTTGTGAGTGGGCCGTTCAGCTTCCTTATGACATTGGAACTGCTCTCACTGATGAAATTCAATAGCCCCGCTTTGCTATCGTTCCTGGGCAAGAACATAAAGCGTTCATTCCATATAGCGGACTATTCTCCGCTGCAACAAACCCGGCTGCCCATGGAGTGGTCCAAGCGAGGGTCTTGTCCATCCAGCCTCAGCATGTAGAGCTCGATCGTGAGTGGCAGGGCTCGAAAAGTATTCCATTTGATTATGTGGTGGTCGCGACTGGAACTCGGCTTTCAAAGCCCGCTGCCATGGAACACGACGATAAGCCATCATCTGTCGAGTACTTGCAGAAGCATCAAGGGGATATTAAGCGATCAAGATCGATTCTCATCGTTGGAGGTGGTGCCGTCGGTGTGCAGATGGCAACTGATCTCAAAGAGTACTATCCGGACAAAGAGGTGACGGTCGTCCAGTCGCGGCCTCGTGTGATGCCAAGCTTCCATCCTCGGCTTCATGAAATCGTCAAACAGCGCTTCGACGACTTGGGAGTCCGACTCGTCACCGGATCTCGCGTTAGGATTCCCCCTGGAGGGTTTCCGAGCGACGGAAGTACTTTTAATGTGCAGCTAACCAATGGTACCACGGAATCTACCCAGTTCGTGATTTTGGCGACGGGGCAAACCCCCAACAACCAACTGGTTGCGAATCTAAAACCCTCTACGCCTGAAGGCCAACCTGTGGTTAATCCAGATAATGGATTCATCCGAGTTCGACCAACGATGCAGTTCCTTGATGACAAGTATTCAAATCTGTTCGCTGTGGGAGATATTGCCGATACAGGAGCGCAAAAGGCTGCACGACCTGGCGCAGCCCAAGCGGCAGTGGTCGCCAAGAACATCCGGGCATTGATCGAAGGACGTAATCCGGAGGAGACTTTTGTCAAGGGACCCGGAGCCATCCACATTACTTTAGGCATGGTGAGTTGAAATGAATGCCTTCTGCCAGGTCTCAAGCTGTACGAACGCTAACGTGACTGAAGAAATACAATATGGTCTTCCGCAACCCAAATACTGCAGAGGGCCAAACAGAACCTTGGGTTAATGAGAAAAACGAGTAAGTGCTCCCTCCACAGGACCCGTGGAATATACTTGAAAGAGGTTTAATAAACTATGCAGTGGTCAAGAGGACATGAACGTGGAGGCCATGTGGCAGAGAATGGGGATCTCGGTCGAGAACTCGCGCCAATTTCACCTATGAGCGACGCAAGGAGAGAAGGCCAAAAAGATGCGGAAAATAGACATGTCCAGGATGAAATTTTACCCATGTTAGCAATTAACTTCGGTACTTGGATGAGTGAACTCGGAACGAGTGTGAAACAAACCTACGTTGAACCCTAGCTCTGCCTGGTGGGGACTGGTGTGCGGTAGATTGAATAATCTAAGTCACTATGTGATAACCAACCCTGTAAATTGTTTGCACAAGCTTTCGGAATGAAACCCAAGGTACAGTCTGGATGGCCTGGCCCCTTTTCCACCATTCCGTTTATAGACAGGATCATCAAGCCTGGATAATCTGATGTCCGGCTTGTTATATAGTAGACTTGCCAGTCTATTGTTGTGGGGTATTAATCTGGGGGTTTTTGGTCTTCATGACGTTCGCTTATGCTCGCAGGCAAGTGCTTTTTGAGGCAGATGTGGTGGGCGACTCAAACGAAGAATTGATCGTGGATACTCTGAAAGGGAAGATCTCGCTGTAATAAGCGGAGAATGTGAGCCTCAGCGCCACGCACTTGCCACCAGCTGTCTTATAAAGTAGGGTGAATAAGCAGAGTGAAGCGATGGATTGATGGGTAGAGTTTCTGCTGTCTCACTGAGGGCAATTCAGAATGACAAGGAAGATCAAATATTTGGACGGTACCGGTTCATCCAAGGCAAATATGCTAATATTATGTCCTACTTACTGTTCCAGCCAATGAATTGCCCGGTGTTCAGCTCCACGGAACATATGACCTTAACCCGCATAGTGGGTCGGTCGGAGCCGTGATGTAAAATTTTTACCCACAATCATCTCTTATCAACGAAGGTGGACCTACCAAAATCTTAGTTCAATTTCCAAGCTGGCAGTTTTGAGGCGCGGGGGATCCCTTGTTGAGCCAAGCTTTTTTCACACCTCCTCCCAACCGCCAACACTATCAATCTTAATTCAATTCTACCATGACGGTACCTATGGAGACAGTTGATGATTCTGAATTAAACGGTACCGCCCATAAATCTCCAGTAATCATTGTTAAAACAAATGTGGAGAACGGGCCTGGAGATTCTTATCGTCCAACAAAGTGGCAGAGTAATGTCACTCTTCTTAGTTGTGTATGTTATTATTTTGCATAGTATGGAGTACCCAAAGCTGAATCAGTTGATTGACCTGCACAGTATATCGCAAACTTCAGCGACGGTTTCCAAAACAACCTCGCCAACCCGACCAATATCATCTTCATACAGCTTCTTGGCGCTGATGGCTACTCGACTGACATGAAAACTCGGATCAGCAATTCCTTAATCATCGGTTCTATTTTGGGTGTTGTTGTGATGGCTTATACCGCGGATATGTTCTCCCGAAGGTCAAGCTTGCTCTTTACGTCATTTTTGGTAGCCATCGGTACACTGATGTCGACGCTTGCTCTACAAGTCCACCCCTCCCAGAACATGCTATGGTATTTTGTTGTGGTTCGAGGAATTGCTGGGTTCGGTGTTGGAGGCGAATACCCGCCGAGCGCGGCTGCCGGTCTTGAAGAATCTGATGAGGTGAGTACGTTTGTCGCTACTTGCTTACGAGAGATATCTAACATGCGCGCAGTTGATGAGAGCGTATCGCGGGCCACTTTTTGTGTCCTTCACAACGCTGATGGCTACCTCAGCTGGACCAATCTTGCAGGTCATCTACTTGGTTTGTCTGATTGCGACAGACAATAATCTCACGGTCGCCTTTCATGTCATCTATGGTATCGCAACCGCTTTACCAGTAATCGTTATTGTTCTCCGCCTGTTCATGGCTGATTCGACGCTATTCCATTATTCCAATTTCACCAACCAGCGGCGATCGTTGCGACTTTATCTTCTTCTTGCCCGTCGGTACTGGTGGCGCATCTTCACGACCTCCTTGGCCTTCTTCTTGTATGACTTTATCAATTTCCCAAACAACATCATGTCTAGTACCATCATTGCGTCACTGGTGAAGGATCATGATATCCGCAAAACGGCCATCTGGCAAGTCGTTCTCACCATTCTACCCGTACCGGGTGTGATGATTGGTGCCTGGCTCACTAATGCCATTGGGCGACGCAATACCGGTATTCTGGGCTTTGCAGGGTATATGGTGCTTGGCTTCATCATTGGTGGCACATACTCCACGTTGTCACAGCACGTTGCTGCCTTTGTGGTTCTCTATGGACTTCTTCAAGCATTCGGCCATATGGGTCCCGGGGCGACCATCGGACTGATTTCATCCGAGTGCTTCCCTACTGCCATGCGAGGAATGGGTTACGGCATAGCAACCGCCTTTGGTCGAACTGGCGCAGCGGTCGGTACCGAATGTTTCAGTCCTTTGCAAGATCATGCTGGAAGTAAATCGACGTTCTATCTGGCCGGTGGGGTGGCGATCCTCGGCATTCTGGTCTATTGTCTCCTTCCCGAGAGTAGCCGTCTGGATCTGGCGGAAGAGGATCGCGCACTAGAGGAATTCTTGGCGGAACGCGGATGTGCGATGTCAACGGGGCAGAACTAGACCAGAACAAGGGCCTGCTGATATTTTGCTGATCAGCACCAGATAGAAGCGAGTGAGTATAAGTTGGTCAATGGTGAGAATGCATTATCAAATTGGGGAGCCATGATATTACCTTGTGAGGGTGTTCGGTTGTGACCTAGATTGGTTTTTTTTGATGAAATTGTAGAGGGACTTGCATTAGACTATTCCTAGGCTAGGTGTGCCCCACCAACACGTAAAATCTCTCGCTAGCTGGCCATTCCCAGGCCTAGTGGGGTAGTGGTATCCTACGTGCTTCGGGCGATTTCCACAGAATTTCCACAGAATAAAAAATTCTTCTTCTGTTCTTGACCCCGTTTTGACTACGGGCTAGGCCCAAATCAATTCAGCGGTCTGGTTCGTTTTTCTTTTTGGTTGCTGTCATCCACTATAAAGACGTGCAGTCTGAAGACAGATATGACTAAGCTTGGCCGAGGTTCAACTGATTACAAAAATTGGCAACAGCTTGGGACCAGAGCCCCTACATTGATTATGCCATGCTACCGTGACAAGGCACACTGCACTGGAAACAGCAGACGAAGATGATTATGATGATGATGACGATAGTGATGATCATGATATGCTAAATGCGGTCGTACATAGAGATATGTTGGGTTGAAGCTCTTATAAATGTATGAAACGGATATCCCGCAGCAGCTACGCGGTGCTCGTAGATCATGGCCTTTCTTTTAATTAAGACGCAACTTTCTGACCATCTACCTCTACATCTCCGCCGTCCCTGCGAATACCCCTATGAGCCCCGTTAGCATGAAGCTAGCCTTCAATAGGAATGATTGCAGCACGAACATCTTGATCTACGATTACGCTGAGCACGAGTGCACCTTTCACAGCAAATTATAGAGCAGCCTTGGCTGTTAGCCTGGTATCTCATGATTATGAGTTTGTTGTCGTATCCTCTCACGTCCTCTTTGTTTACTGCTCCTCGCGTCACCATCCATCTCTCCATATGGTCAGGGAAAGCATTGTATGGGAGTCAGTTCTTATTAGGTCAGCTCCACATTCACGAGGGCTGGAGGCCGTAGGCATGCGCCGCATACATCGATTGCTAGCATACGGGCTGATCCTCTTTTAGCTCGGCAGGTACGTATCCACCCCTCACGCCGCTGACATGGTGTCAGCGGCATGTCTACGCTCTTGGGTTCAAGTTTGACTATAGATCTGGATCGAGACAGGACTTTTAACAGGCTATGAATGTGAAGGGTGGAGAGTATCACGAGCTGTCGGTTATGAAGGCGAGTACGCGCTCTGGCTACATAACGGCCCCATCCTCCAATGAACCAGGCTCCGTGGAGCGTCTTTCGTCAATAGGGAAATCGCACAGCCCGGCAGCAGAGCAGCCTCAATCTTGTCGGTCCCAGGCTACATCCTACATCTGCTATCGGGGTCTCAGATCCAGACGGGTTCTACCACGGTATCGGGATATGCGTCACACGGCGATTCACCGTACTGGTGTGAACATTTATGCGCAGGACTATTGACACGGCTGATGAGCGTCCCCATCTTAGATTCAGAGCATGAGCACGAGCATGAGCACGAGCACGAGCACCAGGAGCACTATCCATAGGGGCGAGGACGACCCTGTACAGGATGTGCTTGAACCCTTTTAAAGGATTCCCGATGGTTTTACCTCAGTATCTTCAGGTGTCTATGGATTTTACGATCGTCTCTTACGCCAACACCTCTATATATACGATTTTTGCCAAAGCACAACGCGGTCAGGAGACTGCACGCGATCGGGGTTCGATTCCCGGCCAATTATCGGCCCGGCCTCGTTTCTTTTTCTGTGTCACCTGCGTGTACGGAGTATTCTGATCCAGTCATGGTCCGTAGCTTCACAGCCCTTATCATGGTACGTCGATTGGGCCTGTATCTCCCTGTTGGAGTTGGCGTGAAATTGCGTCTTGGCCGTTATCTCTGGGCTTGCCCCACACAGCAGCCTCGTGTGACGGTGGCCCGTGCGCTCCCAACCTGTTGCGGTGCACAACCCGGCCAGGCGCTCCCGCCATTCAACCATCCACTCCCGAGTCATGGAACTTCTGTCTCTGCTTCGTCCAGAGGGCAGCCTGGGCTACGCCAGCCCTCTCGGCGCCTCTGGTCCCTGCTCGAACAAAGTCGCCAGGCGCGAGTCGCGGGATGGCCAGTGGCGCGACCGACCAAGGCACTCTTCCGGACTAGGGGTACTAGCGGGGGTGGCGGGCGTATGATTTGCCGGCCCCTTTCAGCCCCATCCAGCCCCTGACGCCTCTGACGCTTCGCAGGCGGGTTCGTCCCACCTGGGCGCTCGTTCCAAGGCGAACATGGCGTCCTGAGCGTCCCTCCCGCAGAAATGGCGACAATGTAACGCGTCTGGTGGCCTGGCAGATACGCTCGTGTCCGAAGACGGCCTAGCCGCCAACCCTCGCCGCTCTTGGCACGACAGGCCAGTATCGCCAATCGCCAGCGACAAGATCGCAAGAAAAACGTGGCTTAGACTGGCGCAGCATTCGCCTATCTCGGGCGCAATATCCGTGCAATCCGTGCAATCCATGCAATCCATGCAATCCATGCAATCCTCCATTCATCCCCGTCCGGCCTAGTCCATCACGGTTCTTGCAAACCACCCGCTTTGGGCCTCACTCCTCCCGTATATCCACAGCTCGCCCGTGCCGTTATGAGGCGCGGGCTACCGTGGGACCGAGAAATGGCGTACGGCGCCTGAGCCACCCCCCACCCTTCTTAGTGTCGTTTTTAGTCTCGGAGTCCATGGAGTCTCTTCTCGCTACTTGCTTTTCCAGATGCAGGCCGCTTTTCTCCATCCCCTCCCCCGGCCAAACCGCGCGTTGAGATTTTTTACCTCTTTCCTTCCCTGTCATACCGCGCCCAAAGAGATCGGTTTCCTCGATCTTTGGAGCTTTCCTCCTAATCCTTTGTGCCGATTATCTCTTCCGCACTCGTCGCTTTTAATCTCTACCTGGGTCTGTCGATCAATTTGCTTATCCTTTCACCTGAAAGTCTTCCAATCTCCTCTCGTCCTACCGGACGAACTCCCCGCATGGTGAGGATCACGGCACGATAGCTCCCCTCGACTCTCTAGACATCGAAGCTCGTTCCTTCTTCGACTTCCAGCCCACCAGCCCCATCTTCCATAGCGACACTCCTCTCCTGCCGCAACGCAACTTCTCCGCACCCGCGCGACCTTGTCGACTATTTGGATTTTGACCGTCGCAACTGACCCCAATCCTCTCCGGTGCTGACTGACCCCGCAACGCGGACTACGTGCCCTAACCGACCAACCCATGCGACAAGCAACCCGCTCCAGATTCACGACAGACCCTTTATTCGTTCGGTGCAAGCCCCTCTGCTAGTTGCCTATTCGTCGCCCGCGCCCGGCCCCATTTGTATCTGTGTGGTAGACACCATAGGCTGTTCGACGTGACAACAAGACCAAAGGACCACAGGATGGCTTTCTTAACCAGCAAAGACAAGGGGACGACCACCGGTGTCTTGGACACTCTGGGTCTGAAGTCGGAGGGTCCCCATGATGTCCAGGAGGGCATGATGGCAGACAATGCCGACAATCTCCAGCGTCATCTGGGGAACCGGCAGATCCAGCTGATTGCCATTGGTGGTTCGATCGGGACGGCGCTCTTTGTGAGTATTGGATCAGGCCTGTACCATGGTGGGCCTGGCAGCTTGTTCCTGGCGTTTACCATCCAAAGTATCTTTTTGGCCATGATCAATAACTGCATCGCCGAGATGACCACAGCTTTCCCGGTCAGTGGTGGCTTTATCCGCTTGGCTGGTAAATGGGTGGATGATGCGCTCGGCTTCATGGTCGGCTGGAACTTCTTGTCCGTATTTGATATCTCCTTACCACCCACCCAACTGCTATACTTCCGGACGAGTCACCGAACTAATGCCATCCCATAGCTTCTACGAGGCTTTGTTAATTCCATTTGAAATCTCGGCATTTACTCTGGTACTCTCGTTTTGGAGTGAAAAGGTCACCGAGCCCGGACCCGTCGCGGGTGTCTGCGCTGGAATTATTTTGTGCTATGCGTGAGAGCCCCACACCACACTGCACCTCCACTCCCGGTGGAACTGGCGTCGTTAGCCTTTTTACCCCCGCGATCTCCGCCTGCTGGTTACTAGTATTGCATTGGAATGAGGCTAAAATTCTGATCTAGATTCTTGAACATTTTGGCGGTCCGAGCCTATGGTGAAGCGGAATTTTGGCTCTCCGGCGGCAAGGTTATCTTGATCTTCTCCCTGTTCTTCTTCACCTTCATCACCATGGTCGGTGGCAACCCGCAACATGATGCCTATGGATTCCGCTTCTGGAATAATCCCGGCTCCTTCATGGAATATCTAGACACCGGATCGCTGGGCCGCTTTGAAGGATTCTTGGGATCTCTGTGGTCCGCGTGCTTTGCTGTGGTCGGTCCCGAGTATATCTCGATGGTCGCCGCGGAAGCGAGGCGCCCTCGCATCTATATCAAGAACGCCTTCAAGACGGTTTACGCCCGATTTGGAATCTTCTTTATCGGCGGCGCTTTGGCGGTGGGCATCGTCTGCTCTTCTCGGGACCCGGCCTTGACGAAAGTGGTCAATGGGGAGACTGGTGGCTCCTCTGCTGCAGCCTCGCCGTATGTGATTGGCATGCGCAACATGGGAATTGCAGTTTTCCCGTCCATTGTCAACGCGTCAGTAACATCACCTGAACATCACCTCACAACTACGGAATTCCCGAAAAGCTGACTGCCTGGTCCGTTTTCTTTCTAGACTTCTCCTGACTTCGATCTTTTCCGCCGGTAATACCTACACCTACTGCGCCATTCGTACCCTGTACGGCCTGGCACTCGAAGGAAGAGCGCCGAGGATCCTCACGTACACCACCCGCAAGGGCGTGCCCATCTACTGTTTCATCATCGTGATGATCTTCCCGCTTCTCTCTTTCTTGCAGGTTTCGAACAGTTCTGCCATCGTGATCACCTGGTTTGCAAACCTCGTCACGGCTGGAGGTAGGTGTTACCACTTGAATCCAAGTTTCCGACCTTGAAAACGAAGGCTAACCACCAGACTAGGCCTGATCAACTATATCACGATCTCGCTGACATATATCTTTTTCCATCGCGCATGCAAGGCACAGGGCATTGATCGGAGATCCTTCTCGTATTTCGGACGGTTACAGCCATTTTGCGCATATGCCGCGTTTATCTGGATGGTTCTTGTCACCATCCTGTACGGATATCCTTCGTACAAGCCATGGAACGTATCGACTTTCTGGTCGGACTATACGATGCAAATTGTGATCCCGCCTCTCTTCCTTATCTGGAAGGTTATCAAGCGGACGAAGTTTGTCAGGGCTCATGAAGCGGACCTCGTGTGGGAGCGACCGCTTATCGATGCGTACGAGGCCAGCTTTACTGACCCCCCTGTCGGCTTCTGGAGAGAAGTGGGCCAGGTATTTGGCTTCAGGCGAATCAAGGGTGGGAATGACAAGCGCCGCACTTCCGTTATCAACCCTTCCTCGAATGGCGTTGAAGAAGGGGTTATGGCATGATTTCTGAGCGGTGTCTTGTGTCTTAGACCTATCACCTCCCACCTCTTCTCCCCGGCGGTGGACCAGAGCAGTTGTGGCAAATGAAATTGGGCATCACCAAGTGATAAACCTCACTCGTTGAAACGCGATCTTTTGGGCATCCACCAAATCCGCGAGTTGCCATCGAGTCGGTCTTTGATCGGATGGTTCTTCCATGGGCTATACATGTATAATGTTCTACCTACCCTGAGGCGTCAATTGATCTGCATGTATTACGACCGTAAGCTGAGAAAATATGATTTTTTGTAGGCACGAGTGGCTGAAAGATCAAGGGCAGTTGCTTGTATGATAATTTCCAGCTGACATCCAATGGCCCACTTATCCCTTGGTTGGCGCCGCGAATTGGCGGCGTCCACTTTATCTGCCCATACCTGTATCTCATCTGTAGCCATGCCGGTAGAATACAGGACATGGTTGCGCCGAGAAATGAGGGAAAGACTAAGAATGTTGCCTGTGAAGCATCTTTTGCCTAGAGTGATTTAGCTCAGATTTGGCGCAACGTGTATATTGAATCATATCGGAGTCAATTTTGACGCAAGCTTTTGTTTCTAAGTGATTATTGATGCTGCCGAACGCAATCCTTCTCAGAAATGACTTTCCCTGACGTACTCACCTGACTGATTCTTCGTTGTGAGCCCGCAGGTGCCTACAACTGGACAGTTTCTCCCATAAGTATGCACTTGGCGACAAGAGAAGAGAGTGCACTATATCAAATATCGCAGCCACGCTCAAAGGTTCACCGTCAGGCATGCTTCTATTTCTCCTATCCCCGGTTACATGTCCCATGTCTTATTGCCCAGTGACCTGTTCTCAATCGTTTCCTATATTTCAAGCGCGCCTCAATTGTCTAGTATTGAGGCATGCGACACTTCATGGTCTTGATTATGTCAAGGGGGCTTTCAAGGAAAGGCGAGCCATGGTGGGATTGAAGTTAGGGCTGAATTGATGTCTGCTCCAGAGAAGTGGAGTATAAGTTCAATATGGAAACTTTCTATCTAGTACTTGCACGTAATCTATTCTCTCTTTACCTTTCTCGGTGCCGGCGACTAAAAACAGCCGGAATCTTGCTTCGTCGTTAAATCATTGCTTGCCATCCTTGATGATAGCCGAAAATTACAGACGTGGAAGATATATAACGGCTCGCCCGCTTGGGAAAAAAGCTATATAATCAAAATTACAGCGTAGAAAGTTCTTATGATGCTTTCTTCTTCAATAGTGCAAATCTTGCTGTAATCAGAGGAGATAGGACGAAATGCTTAGTATTTTCCCAGGGTCTCGGGACCATTCTATATTTAGGTTGGTTGGTCTCCACTAGCCCCTGAAGGGTCCATGCCGGGTCACCGACCGGATCATCTTTTCCGCACGAGGGAAGCAAGAAGGGGAAAAATTTTCTTTTGTCGGTCCCAAAGATTCCCCATTTTCCTTTCCTCGCAATATACGGAGTGTACACACAGAGTTAATATCTCCATATCTTATCATGGCACTGAAGAGCTGCATCACAGTTTTGGCGATTTCGGGCTTGGTAACCGCGAACAGCAGCGTTGTCTCGCTATTTATCCCCGGCGCCGACCCACAACCGCTGGCAGCTTCAATCGTGAAAGAAGTTCGTACTCTTGGCAATGATCTGCAAATCCTGGCTGATCAATCTATCTAGGGCGCTGGTACCACGACCTACAGCATTAATTGCCCACCCGGTACCGATGGCTCAGACTGTGGAATGGGACCAGGAATGTGGTACACCTCAGCCTCAAAATCCATTGAATGGTCAATGAGCGAGCCTGCAGTAGGATTGTACGTGCCCTTTCCCTACCCGGTGAAAATTAGTGAAGACTCTAGCTCATAATGACTGATAGCTGGGGTGGCGTGGTCTGTTCTGTGGGCGGCACTACAACTGCTGTTTGCACCGAGATTATGAGCGGCACCGGGGCCAACTTCCCTGGTACATCGACAATCGATGTACCCCAAAGCGAATTGACATACTTGCCCGTGACAGTCACTGCTGGCCCTGCTAGTGCAACCTCCGCCTCCACCACCACAGAATCCACCGGTTCAGCCCTTACATCCAGCAATACGCATAGTTCTGCAAACACTGCCTCGCCTACCTCAAAGGCATCATCTACTACCGTCGCTTCTCATACTAGCACCGCCGGCCTTTCTCGGGTTACTGGTAATCCTGGTGTTGCCTTGGGGGGCGCTGCAGCTGCATTCATTGCGGCCGCCTGGTGAGAATCTACGTGCGTCTTCTAGTGTAATTTTTTGTATTATTGGTGTTTCATATTTTCTTGAGCCCCGGGCAAATATCAAAAGAACTTATTAAACAAACCGTTCCTTTCTCATATACAGGGACATGCTAAGGGGGAGGAACTTGAGATTGCGAAGCATGGTGTGATATCAAGACACACTGTCCCGGGAAGAGAAAAGCACCACGGCTGCAACATTGCAAATCGACAGAGTGCTTTCTAATATCGTGAGATTGGGCATAAAGTAGGCTTGTTATCCACATAGTCCCTCTACAAATCTACTGTCCACTGGGGCTGCCACTAAGGCAGAAATCGTGAAAAAAACGTAAATCTTACACTTTATGCCCCATACTAAATTTATTGATCATGACTTCTTGACGGCTTCTCTCCCATGAGGGCTGAAGTATATTATCAAATCTATGTTCTGTTGAACTAGCGTTAGCAAAATGGAATTTGGTACGGAGAACACACTAGACCGCCCTATACGATGCGCACCCGTTTCTAAGATGCGCACAATCAACAAAAACCCTTGAGTGTACTCCTCGTCATAGACATCGTGTTGTCTACTGGCCTTCGGTCAGTGCGGTTACTAATAAAAGACAGAATCAAAAATTCAGTGAGTAGCGAGATATTTCTTGTGCGCAAGAGTTCCTCGAATTTACAAACACGAGCTATGCGGATGAACATGAGCCCAATATTTATAAGAAGTGGAAGAGTCTCGGAGACGGGCTCTTAGATTAAGTAGGTGAATAGATGTATGGCTCGGCAGATACAAGAGAGAAAAGATGATGACCCTAGAGATGGAGCAGAGCAGCCGGACTGTAAGGAATCGATATCTAGTTGGCCGAAGATCGTAACCCTATCAGAGTGCATTCTTGTCCAAAACCCTGGATCCTTCACATCCAAACACTGTCTTTTTCGGGTTGAGAGTCAAGCAGGCGCCTCAACTTGGGTTGGTTGTTTCCCAAGTGAGGCATTGTCGTCATTGTCATTGCCCAAAGGCAAGGCGGAACTGCCTTCTTTGTATTCAGGATTTCCATTTCAGGATGCATGCGTTTCTTCCCTCATGTTGCTGTGGTAGTCTCTGACATTCATCGCCCGGTTCTTAGCCCTCTTCCTGAGCGCCTCCTGATCCGTCCACGTCGGCGAATGAGGAGTGATTCATGAGTTGTGTTGTCCGTTTCCCATTGGCTTGAAGCCCAGCGACAGTGATGCTCACATATTGATGCGACAAGCCTGGGGCCCAATTATCTGCCAGTAGTTGGGCATCATAATCCTTGACAAGGAGCTGGAGTTGTCGACCATCTTACAAATAGACCTCGAAATAATCTACTGCCATGTTGAGGACTCATCAAGCGCCGTAGCACTTCCTTTCTGTTGACAGTGGGGGCCCTAAATGGAAAGCGCTCCTTAGGAGCATTCGCCAAATGTTCAAAGGTGTATTTCTTACCGTAGTCGATCGAGTTCAGGAACGATCGGGCCGTAAAGTCATCAGCTGAGCTCGTGCTCGCTGATCATCGGTCAAAGAAGGGTATACCAGCCACAATAGAGTACGATGAAGAATGTATTCCTCAATATCATCGAACGATTCTCCTCCTTTCTGAGGAAGCAAGTGATGCTATTCGATGGGAATCCCTCGAGGAATTAGCTTGTTGTGCATTTAAGTTTGCATTATCACACATAAACTATGCAGAGATAAATCCCATCATACCCGCAAGATGCTCATGTCGCAGAGTGGGAGGCAGATACTGATGCTTCTTGGATTCCTATGAATCCTCCAGCTTCCGTGAGAACCGATGCTGCAGGATTATCACCCTTTTACCCTACGGAGGCGATAGTTGGGCTAAGAATCCCGGACATGCGGATCAAAATCCCGTTACCCGTTGCCACAAGGCGCACCCTCCGCATGCTTCTTGCCGGCTATATTAGCTGCAACGTATTTATAGTGTAGACAAATACGAATCGGAAAGGACCCTATACGGCGCTTAGTCGGGAATTTTTGCTGGTAGTCGAGAGATCATAAAGTCGCCAGGAGTTCGGATGCCGCCGCTTAGCGGTAGGTCGAGTGCTGTTGGGCCGATAGTCCTGTTATCATAGACCGTCTTCTGGTACTAGTGGGCGGTTTCTGTTCAGCGCCGATCCAAGTTTCTTAACTCCTCACGTATCCAGTCTTATAGCCACTAAGGGTGAATCCATCCCATTATGAGAGAATAATATCTTCAAAGTCGTCAGCTCTCACAGTTTGCGGTCTGTCAATTCAATCTGCTTACTCAAAGTGATGCCTGTTTTTTTGGAGTAGTGTCCAAGCATCGCCGCCGAGTAAGCCCACGAATCTGCGAGTTTTAGATGGAGTTGTCTGATAGACAGTCACTGAGTCCCATGTTAGCGCTCAACAAGAACCAAGAGTTACCACTGCTCAATATTAGAACATTGAATGGTAAGCGAACAAGGAGGACTTACAGGAAACGTGACTTACTTTTGGTTATAGTAGATAGTTTTCTTTCGTACCACGGTGGTCAAACAAGCGGGGAGAGAAATCCCACATTCCCTCCAATTCTTCTCAATTGTAGAATTGCACTTGTGTTGACCTGAATCAACGCGCCCACGAACTTAAGATGAGATGGAGGACTCAGATGAAATGAAAGAAAAGAACTCGACTGACAGTAGCAAGAGATAATTATTTTCCTTCTTTGTGCTCCAAGCTGAGGGCAGAAGTGACAAATATATCATTTGTGCGGCCAGTTTGACGGCATCGATCGCTTTGGACGTGTTAGTTTGAGCTGTGAGCAGCCCTTGCACGTTCGTACTGCCGTCGGCCACAAACTTAGATGACTGGTCTAAGTCGTCTTAGTACTCGGACTTAGTAAATTGGCAAGAGCTTTATCCGGACCGTGTGTAATATTGGTCTGATACTTCTCTAACTTCTTCATCTGCAAGCGTATCGGATCTACGCCCTTGTTAGTTTTTCCGCCTTCATATGAAATATCAAGGGAAATTACTTTTCTAGCGCATTTGCAACCATATTGTGGGCAAATACAGAGCCAACAACTACTGTATTTCCGGCGAGGGAGGCTGCAATACGTCCGAGTCTCTGTCAGTGTAAAAGCTGTATGTTGCTTGCGACCTGCAGAGTACCTACCTGCTTTGGTGGCTACGGCACCTTCAGCCTCGACCAAGGTTTTGAAAACTGGTACTAGCCAATGCTGTACCAGCGAAGGAGACTTGCGGACTCCAAATCCAATTGTAATCAATGCCAATTGGGCTCTGAAAAGCGGTCATACATCAGAGCGACAGAGTCAAGTTCGTACATTAGTTCTTCATGTATCCAGACATGATCAGGAAAGGCCAGACACTGCAGTTTCCTTCACCGTGTAACCCGGGGGCACAGGATTTTCAGCGGCCAAGCTTGGTGGGGGCCGCAAATATTTCAAGTACGGGATTTATTGGCCTGAAATTACATTGGATTTTAATTTCTCACCCCGTCCACCTCCCTAGTCTCGTCCAACTGCCGCGACAAATTCCATTTGGTCGGATGGTTATTGTTTCAAGGAAGACTGCACGTTAGTTCGGTATATCTTCGGAGTTAGTTGGAAGGTAGAATACTGACGGCATGCATTCACCGTCCAGGTAGTCGGAGGCGGGAGTAGAGTCCATTCCCCAAGATCAGGTAGTTCAGGTCCGACGTCACCATCGTCCAAAACAGTCTAAATTACCTCGCTAGTCCGCACACAAAGCAACCGGTCGTAGATTAAAGTTCGTCCTGTGTAATACGCCGTCGGCCCGATTGTCGAGGATGGTAGAACTGACACCTTGTCAAGTCCTGTCAAGGCCAAGTCGTTGACACCCGTTGGCGGCTAGGGATAGGGCGGGCCCGCCCATACGCGTGGGCGGGCCGTGTCCATGTCTATCACAGCCCACTTCGCTCTTCGTATGGAGACTTGTCGCTCATCACCAAAGAACTGAAACGGCGACCGAAGATCTACCGAGGAGTAATCGTTATAATACCGTAATGCGCCGCTAGTGTGGAATCGTTCATGCACAAACGGGAAGATCGCCCGCTCATCTTCCCCTTTTCCTTGTCCCTTTCCGCGCCGCCTTCGACTACCGTCAGGCTAGGCCTAGGCCGAGGAGAACTAACCCTGATTGGCAAGAAATACGGAGTGCTCCGTACTATTTCTTCCCATTGCTTGTGTTATCTACTGTATTGCGACTTCCATTCGAGACCAGCGTCTGCCGAGGCTGATATCCCCACTTTTGCTTTTGCTACCATGGGTCGTCCAGGGGCTGCGATTGGATCCAGAGATGACTCCAAGTCCGTATAGTCCCCAAGGAACTACTTGGCTTTTGTGTGTCCGCCCACACGGCCATATCTCCACAATTCTCCGGACCCGATCTGATGGAGGAAGGGAGAGAACCGAGACCGCGAGACACGTTCCTCACGTGCGGCCCCCCTCACGTGACTCGGCCAAACTCGCCGGGGGTCCCGATTCGATTATCCATTCTTTCGCTGGAGTTCCGGACAGGAACCCGGCTTGGTGGCTTGGACCTCCTCCCTCTGCAGCGGATTTCCACCCCACCACCCCACCAGCTCCACCCAACAGGCACATCCTCCTGTCATTGGTGCGGGGATGTGGCACACACGAAATACATCTCCTGTCATGCTTTGACGGCGTTGCGGCCATTACAAGCGTTGTGGGGATATGAGCAACTGCCCGCTGCTCACTGATCCATGGAGGGGCTTCATTCAAGCGGTTATCGACTTCTGGATTTTCTTAAGCACCATCACTCGGCGATAGGGTGTCCTCCTGTTAGCTTCACCGCTGCCCCTGTGGGAGATACTGTCTTTCTTCACTTCGGACTCCAATCTGCCTAGCATTGCTGGTTTATTGGAATTATCCGTTCCCCTCCGACATCCACACTGCCTCATCAGGTCACTACGCAGCATGTCCACCTTCGACTTCATCATCGTCGGCAGTAAGTAATCGTCATTCCCACCCGATATTCGTGACCCCCGCCCGGCTTCCCGTCTCGCCAATAGAGACAACAATCCTCAATGGTCAAACCTCATCCTCCTACGAAGCAACTCCCCATCTACCCATTCCCAAAACCAAACCCCATCTCACGCATCTCACAGGTGGCCCGTCCGGCAGCGCCCTCGCCGCTGGCCTCGCGCAGTCAACCGCAAAGCCCCGCGTCTTGCTCTTGGAAGCAGGCGACAACAATGAAGATCGCAGCCTCCGCGTCGACGGTCAGCGATGGCTCACCTTCCAGAACCAGTCCATGAACTGGGGGTACAAGACGACCCCGCAGACCGACTGCGGCAACCGTGAGATCGACTACAGTCGCGGCCGATGCATGGGCGGGTCGAGCGCGATCAACTTTGGGGTGTACAGCGTCGGCGCGCGCGATGATTACCAGGAGTGGGCGCGAATTGTGGACGATGAGGCGTTTGCGTGGGCCAATATTCAGCGAAGGTTGAAGGAGCTGGAGACGTTTCATGGGGAGATTCCGGAGGGCGTAGATCGGAAGTATGCGGATCCGCAGATGGCGGATCATGGGAGGGAAGGCCCGTTGCATGTGGGCTATGCGCGGGAGTGGGAGAAGGATTTGACTGAGCTCTTGGATGTGTTCGAGCAGGCTGGGTTTCCGCTAAACCCGGATCACAATTCGGGGAATCCAATTGGCATGTCGGTGTTGATCAACTCGGCGTATCAGGGGCTGCGCTCGACGGCGGGGGATCTGGTGAAGGAGAAACTGGAGCATTTGACGATTGTGACGGGGGCGCCGGTGCAGCGAGTCCTCCTGGAGGGGAAGAGAGCTGTGGGCGTGGAGTCGAATGGCCAAAAATGTGACAACGCGCCTGATCCCTGCGGCGAGTTCGGCAGATGCTAACCATTGTGAACAGACTATGCCACGAAGGAAGTCATCCTCTCCGCCGGCGCGCTCAACGACCCCCGTATCCTTATGCACTCCGGCATCGGTCCAGCCGCGCAACTCCAGCAATACAATATCCCCGTCGTCCAGGATGTCCCCGCCGTCGGCCAGGGGCTCCGCGACCATTGCTTTGTGCCGATGGTGAACACGCGAACCGAAACCAGCACGGACCGGAAAGCCTTTTACGGCGACAAGGTCGCCATGGACGCCGCACAGAAGCAATGGCAGACAGACGGGACCGGACCCTGGGCGAAATTCGCCTGCGAGCTGGGCATCGGCTGGTTCAAGCTGACCGAGCAGCTCACCTCGTCACCCGAATTCAAGGCCCTCCCAGCCGACGAACAGAAGTATCTGCTTCAGGAAACCGTGCCGCACTACGAAATTATCACCCATTTCCCCGTCCACTGGTTTATCCCGGAGTTCCCGTCTGAGGCGCTGAACTACTCCTGTCTGCTCGTCTTCCTGTTCAACGCGCAGACTCGTGGCGAAGTCACCCTGCAATCGTCCGATCCAGACGCTCCGCTCTCCTTTAACCCCCGGTTCCTGGCCCACCCGTTCGACCGCCGACTCGCCATCGAGGCCTTGCGCGACTCGTTCCGCATCGCCAAGCACGAGTCCTACACGAAGGACAACGTGGCCGAGCTGGCGATGCCCAAGGGCGAGTCAGACGAGGATCTGCTCGAGTACTGGCGGCAGAACATCTCGTCGAGCTGGCACATGACGGGGACGGTGAAGATGGGCAAGAAGGGCGATGTGGATGCGGTCGTGGATCAGGATTTCCGGGTGACAGGTATCGAGAATCTGCGTGTGGCCGACATGGCGGTTGTGCCGGTGTTGGTGAATGCACATGTCCAGGCAGTTGCCTATGTCACAGGTGCAACCTGTGCGGAGAAGCTGGTGAGGGAGTATAACCTTGCTTAGATTGAGATCCGGAGAAGCGGCAAGCTGGTAAGATTCATATCGCATGGTATACAGTCACGGGTGGGCAGGAGATTCGAAGAAGATTAGAAATATTTCACATGAGCCAAGCCATGATGTTCGGGGGCAGAAGCAAGGACAGGATCAAAATTAGTTTCACCGTTTTTGTTTCCGTTTGTCTTCCCGCAAATACTAATTTGCGGGACGCCACCCGATCATGCTTAGTGCACCGCGGATCCATACTCTACGATGGATGTTATTTGACAGCTCCCTTACGCTAAGCCCGTTTTGGGTGGTGATGGGCCTAACCAAAAATGCAGAAATAGTTGGAAGAGAAGAAAGTGATGAAAATAATTTTGAACCGTCCTGTATCTCAAGAAAGATTGTAATAAAAAAATGGAAGTTTCGCATTCCCATGGTTCTAGCTGTCATCTCCCATAAAAGAGCCAGCATAACGAATAGCTCCTGGGTGGAAATATGTTCTCCACCCTGTCGTGCTAGCTGGGCTGACAACGGCAGTTCCTCATGGTCCCCATAGATCGGGAGATCTCTTGACGCCACAAATGATTTCAGTGTTGTATTGCGCCGAGGGATTGAACTTGTGAACGTGGCGAGATGACGCAGGAGTAATAGAGATTATTTCCGAGGCCCCGCTCGTATCTTTCTGCCGCCCTCCGGGCTAGAGCAGGCTAGGGAGCCAGCCACAGTGGACACTGGATTCGCATTCATTTCTGTGCCTTGCCTTGTTCGTTCGGGGGTGGAGCATGGTGGCTTCGAAGGTTAACTGTTGAACTGGAGAGAGGATATTTTAATGCTAAAATGTAATACGACGATCAGCCCCTGAACGGAAAGTAATCGCTTCCACAGCGTGCTCCAGCATAGCAGATGCAATCAACATTTCCTCAATTCGTCCAATTTGATAAACAGGCCTTAGATATTTGAGGAGACGAACTCACTCACTCACTCACGAGTCAACATACCCGATATGATGAGCAGGACCAGGTCACATTTAAAACCAAGTAACTCGAGCCGATCATAGGATTTGACAGATTCCCCATGGCTGGCCCAAGAGATGAAAGGATATCGAACCGCCCGGTGCTTTTAGTCCTTTAAACGAACTCGCTATTTAGGATGGGGCCTCTCTCTCTATGAAACCACGGCTCAGCCGATCTCTGCTTATCTTCACCCGGGAGGATTCGACGTTTGCCGGGTCCTGTGCGTGCCCCACGCGACACCCAAAACGCTTGCCGGCTCCACACAGTTATCCACACTCTGACACCAATGTAGCTTTTATATAGTAATCACATACAAAAGGTACTTTGGATGAAGTTTAATATCTGCACGTGACTGTATGGCCCTTAAATTCTATATTTCTAAGAAAAGCTTATGAATATTTAGGCTAGAGAGAAACTAGTCAATGATATTAGCGTTTATATATCTCCTTATAGGGTGGAGGAATTAGGAGTGAGTCTAATGAACCTTTTGTATGGAACTACCATATAAACGATGCATTCGCGTAAGTGTGTGGAGCAGTGTGGAACCTCGAATGACAGGATTTTTGGGTTGGACGGCTCGGGCAGGATACAAAGTTTACATTTGTGGATGCTCTTCCAAGATTTGACTATTCGCACTACCCCAACAGCTAGTCACACAACAATTTCCATGGGCACGATCCAGGCGCTCTAGTTTTCCCAGTGGGCCGCTTAAAGCCTTTCTTTTAAATTCACTCCAACTCCCGTCCGAATATCCCCGTTGTTAAATTTGCTTTGCTGTCACCGTGAACTTGCAGGAATGGCGGGTAACACCGAGGCCTGGACCTTATTGTCCTTGGCTCTGGCCATAATTCTCGTGCGGAGCTTTGTACGATGGAAGCTCGTTGGGCTGGCCAACCTCCAACTGGATGATTATCTCATGCCACTGGCGGGGGTACGTTGTCTCACCCGTCCTGCGAACGCCAAGAAAAACGTACAGCTGACCTAATCCTCTCCGACAGATCTTCTTCACCCTCGAAACGGTAGCGGCGTACCTCGTCGGTGCCAAATTCCAGGGCCTGACCAACAGCTACATGACGCCTGAGCAGCGAGCAACGCTCGACCCCCATTCGACTGAGTGGGCCAATCGTGTTGCCGGATCAAAGATCCAGGTCATTGGATGGTCGTTATACGTAGCTATTCTCTGGCTGGTTAAGTTCAGCTTGTCGATCTTCTACTCTCGATTGACGTACAACTCACCTCTCTTGTCGGATATAATCAGCCAATGCTAAGCATATCGCAGGACTGGCCTTCAAAGTCTCCCCCACCCGAGTTCGACTGGCATATATCATCCTAGCTGTGACATACCTTGCAACGGCATTGTCTATCCTGCTATCCTGCCAGCCCTTTCATGCGTTCTGGCAGATTTACCCAGACCCCGGCAGTGAGTGCCATGGCCATCATATATCATAGTCGTCCTATCTAACTATACCTGCACAGATGTCTGTCAGCCGACCAACTCTCGTGTCTATGTTCTCGTCGTCATGATCCTCAACGTCCTCACAGATGTCTATCTCCTCTCCATCCCACTCCCTCTCCTCTGGACTGTCAACATTGGCCTGAAACGAAAGATCCCCCTCCTGGCTCTTTTCTCTGGCGCTGCATTTGTCATTACAGCGACGATTATTCGGGCCGTGACTATTATGACTGTACGTCCCTTGCAAGAATAATATTCCTATACAGGCACAAGCATCTTTACACATCCGACATGTCTGACATATGTACTACAGTCCGGCCCCAACGGCGCCGTCGCCGGCTCCAAATGGGCCTGTCGCGAAACCTTTGTCTCCATCGTTGTCTCCAACATGCCCATCATCCAGCCACTTATCCGTAAGGGCTTCAGGAAGATCGGTCTCTCCCAGCTCTTCAGTACCTCGGGTAAACAGTCGGAACAGTCGTACCCGCTCTCCAGCCGAGGTCTACAGACTTTGACGAACCGCGGTGAGCGCGACACCAAGAAGAGTAAGGCGAACGCCGCGGCACCGTCCCATATGCAGGCCTCCGCATGGGGCAGCGACGAGCATATTCTCGCTGAGTCTGAACCTTCTTCGAAGGATATTACTGTTGTCTCGGAGACTGTCGTGCAGAGTGAGCCATGGACTAGGCAGGAGGAACCTGGCGCGCGACATTCGACGACGCCCCCGAAGGAGTGGATGAGTCGGTTGTCAAATAGGTGAGAGTGACATATTTAACATGAGATGTTTTACTTTTTATAATGGGTTCTGTCACGAGTCTTGGTCAGTATCTGGTGATAGGCCAAGGCCTATGTATAGTATTAACGGGATGGATTTGTTACGCATATTGGATGGCACGTGGGAATATTGGCATTGAGGAGTAAAATTGGGCTCGACATGTTGCTTCTGCTGCTGAGGTGCACCCTCTAATAATAGATTATTAGTACTTCGGACCACTAACTGGATAACTACCAAATACATAATACTAATCAATAATAATTGCTAGTGGGCTTATCATTATTGGTGTAGTTGATGATCAGGCAAATATTCTTGCAAGTTGGGACTCCATTGAACTTGATATGTCCTAGTACATGCGTGAAGGACAGTCACATCAAAGAGGTAGTGTGCGCAAAGTAAGAGGAGGAATCGAGAGGTAATGTCATTTCTTGAACCTACGTGATGACCTGAGGGATCACATGACTCTCGTGGACCACTCAACTGCCATTTTGTCTCCATTATTTACTCTGTACATCTCCTGTCAAGCTAGTGTACTCAAAGAAACGCCACTTTACGGGTTTAAAGAGCTGATTGAACTCGTTCGTGTTAGACCAGAACATGTCATAACACTAGCTTCTTTTTTCCTAGTACTCTTTTCCAGGTTTTCATAGCCTCCTTTGGCAATTTCAAGCGAGGATCTGCATGCCGAGGTTTAGCCATGGAGAATGGAAACGTTCCCGACCCAAATTTACCCGAGCTAACTAAAGATAATTACGAACCTCCAAGAAGACTGACGGCGAACCAGCATAGCCAGAGACAATAGTCTCTCGAATAAGGAGTCGGTGCAGATGGTGAGAGTCTGTCGCTGACTTACTCGCTTGTAGGAAACTGCCGATGCCGTCGAAGAAGGAAGTTTAGGCAAGGATGAATCCGTGCAGTACCTTAACGGTCTTTTGTTCACACCACTTAGTATACCCCGTCCTGCACATCCCATTTTGCTCACCTCGTTTTGCGTACTCCACTGAGTCTTCTGGACCTGCCAAGAGCTCTGTCCCTGCGAAACTGCCAGGGGTCGAAATCCCGGCCACCGCCCGCGGTCAAGCGGGGCGGAGCTTCTATCTAGCTTTCCGGCTACCTAGAGATCCAATCTCAGACCGAGCGGATACCGGGGGAGGGGACGAGGGAGGCGCTTGAGTGTTATTAGATGAGCGAGATTTTGAGAGGGTCATGGGCTGCGAAGCATAATGCACCGTGTCTTTAGGGGCGATCTTGCATCCGGATCGTATCGATACTGCCCTAGTACGCCGCCCTACTCCCAAGGATACACTATTTGCACTGTGGTACTTCCCGCATACACCGCCTTCTTTTATTAGTCATACCTTCCTTTATCGATAAGATAAACCCACGCTCCTCCCCCTTTATTCTCTATCCTCTACTTAATAACGCCTTATGGTATATAGAGCGCAGGGTATTGGATACGAAAGCTAGCACCCTATCAACTGGGAACTTCCTACGGGAAATGATGTGGAGGAACTTAAACAGCAGAAAAAATAGTGGGCCCCTTGGCATGCCAAGGTACTACAGTGCAAATTAGACCGCGGCATATCCTCTCTATTGGATATTAGGTTCAATACCATATCCGCAAATTGAGGATAATGGATATTACTTCTATACCATATCCTCAATGAGGATATCTGTAGATATCCATGGATATCCGCGAGGATAATAAGGATATCCGCACTAGCATAACTCTCGCTTAATTATCTAGTTTAGGGCTATCACGTGACTTTTATGTTATTTTATACCTTTAAATGCAAAAAAATCACCTAAATAGGTAATAATCTTGGCATATCTTCGCATGTTTGTCTTGTTTGATATCCATTGGATATCCTCAAATATCCAGAGGATATTAGGTAGTATACTATATCCACAAAATTGAGGATTGCGGATATTAGGTGGTATACCATATCCGCAATTTGTGGAGAGGATATGCGGATATCCATGGATATTGAGGATATTGCCGCAGTCTAGTGCAAATACTAATGCAATCTGACTCTAAATATCCCCCGACCATCACTATTGCCACTATCACTCGCCATCCTATGTATCTATCAAGCTACCCTAACCCACTACCTGATATAGGCCCATAAAACCCCCGATCTATAATACCCTCCTTTCTATTACTATTATTACTACTAGCACTGCTGCTAGTAGCACCAGCAGAGGTAGCATCTCCTTCGCAGTACTGCTAGCAGCACTAGCGCTAATACTAGCATCACTAGTACTACATCCTTGCAAGAAGTGTTAGACCTGGTTCCACCACCTATGACTACCGCCTACTCAATTCTACTAGTAGCCAGTGGTCTAAATAATAAATAAACATCACTATCAAAATAAACGGAATGTAGATCTCGTACACGTGCATAGAGGGAATATTTCACATATATATCAGAATAATACAGCTGTAGGTAAAGCCCTCTCCCCTCCAACACGCTCAGATATCTTTGGGCTTCAAAACAATGCTACATACTTATATGACCGCATTGGATAGAAATTCGTGATGGGTAGCTACTTGTTAGAGTAGAAGCTGTCGTTAAGTAAATGTTCGATGACAAAGGATAATCAAACAGAGTTGATTCAATTCAGTGTCTGTTCACACAACGTCTGAAGCGACAGATTCGGATTGAAAGGGAATGGGGTATAGTGTACTTCCCCGTGGGGTGGCACCGCGTATACACCTGCTCTAAACACCTACTATGCCACCAAAACGCGCTTAAAGACTAGTGAAAACCGATGTAACAGGAAGGCAGGATCTTACTGGCCATATAAGATATTAAAATAGCCCCCTCAATTCTATAGACATGATCGGAACGCATTTTTGTATACCTCACTCAACTCTTCAGCGGCGCCTTGATAGCTAACAATGTTTAGGTAACACATGGTATAGTCGTTATAAACTGACCTACAACGAAGAGAATCTCTAATATGCTGGATAATTAATTAATATGCAAGATCTAGCGTCTAGGCCTTGTGCTACTCGAGATGCGGCTAATATTATCCCCGTAACCCGCGGCTTAATATCTATAGTTGGTAAAGACTCGCTATCAGAATTTATATAGCGCTAGCTACAGCCTTAAACACGATTCTCTAGGCAGTATGCCTAATGACACGCTCTGAATAATAATCTAGGGACTTTTCGGAAGTAGTTCCAACACCCCTGGATGCACCAAAACAGCAGGCTATCCAATACTGAGACTAAAAAGATCCGTAATACCAACGACTGGGCGGAGAGAAGCTTTGATGCTCATAGTGACACCAATACTATGTCTGAAATTCCACCCAGTGGGTAGCCTACATGGACGATACCACCAAAGGTACCCGCAAGAGCTCCTACAATGCTGTGAATATGGGTTGTACTGTGAACTAGGCCATGGATCTGCATTCATTTATGGGAGACTCCAGCACTGGACGAAATTATCCCGGCTCCCTAATTAATAAGCAGATCTTCTTTGTTGATCCCAGGGTCTAGGACGTTGATAACCCGTCCATAAATTGCAAAGCACCTTGCGTTCTGGTTCTTTTGACTTCCCTCTTTTTGCAAGTGCTGTAGTGACGCGCCCACCGTATATCATGTCACTAGATGTGGCCTGGCTAGCAAATATAGAAGTGATGAACTAAAATGGTGATGTGCTGTCTAGTTCCCGTACCTGTATCCTGCACGAGACAACCCTCTCTACTCCGCCAAGTACGCATCACTCTTAGTAGCTCTTGCTTAACATCCTAATCTACGATATAGAACCTCCTTAATCACCATCAAAAATATTACAAGAACCAAAACCAACCTCACAATACCGTTTAGTGAGGATAAAAATTTAACGTTAATCCCGAAGGCATCACTGCCTGCCTAAGTCTTTACCATCACGCATGATCCTAACCCTCTACAGAATACTGGCGTCATGTATCCTCTAGTGACATGTAGTGCGACGCTGCCTTCGTGCCCTACTATATCAGCTGTCTATCTCCGGGAAGACGTCAATGAGAATGGTAATGACAATGATAAGGATGGGGATGACGACGATAGTCACTTACTAATGATCCCGAGAGTAGCTATTGAAGACGAGCTATGCAGACCAAAGAACCTTGCAGAAATAGCAGTCTCTATACAATCATTACAATCCTAGCGCGGAAGAATCGCGTGATTCAGCTGTCTTGAATTATTGTGGTTGTCTCGTAAAATATTACCTAGTAGCCTGGCTTTTCTAAAGAGAGACTACCTGGTGTTGCAATGGCAAATGACCAATATTTTCCGAGAGAGATAAAACTTTTCCGACTCATCTAGGACGTCCAGGTTGTTCTCCCTGCGTTCGACGATATAGAGGAAGTAGAGGATGTAAAGAATACCTTTATGGATCCCATATGGGACATGCAAAGATATCTCAAGATTATACCTCGAATTCTCCAGCTATGAGGTTTTAATCGACATCCATGTGAGTCTTATATATCTAGGAACATTCGTCACATCCGTTTAGGAAGTTAGGTGGTTACCTAGGTTACTTAATTCTCACTAGGCGGAATGTTGTAACTGCACACACTCTCTCTCATCTCTTTCTTTCAATAGAACCACACCCCATCTTCTTCCAGCTTTCCCTCGGCTTCGATCTTTTTCATACATGCTTTTATTCTCTTCACGACATGCTCCGCATACCCCGGTCCCAGCGGCGGTTTAGGCACCGCCATATCCATCCTCAACCAAGGTACAGAACTGAGCCCTTGGCATGCCTGACGCATCTCTTGGATTTCACTATCGCCGTACAAAGCCCCGGCAAACACAGCCACGGGCGGCTTGGAATAGTCCATGGTGCCGCGCTTGGGCTGCTCAGTAGGGGGAAGGGCCTGTCCCTGCAGCAAGAGGGGTATTTCGACTGCCCCGGAGGCACTGGTGGTGACATTATGTATAACTACGAATTATGTTAGTCCCAAGCCATGGCTGGATGATGTACTTCCCTACTTTCGTACTCAGGCAAGTAAAGAGGCTTGACAGCGTTGAAAACCTGTGGGCTGGTGCCGCCGCAGGCAATGACTGGCAAAGGTGCCATGATGGTGAGATGAAGTTATGACTGCAAGAAAGACTGGGGAGTAAGAGACCTTGTACATACTGGTATTTATATCATTGTAGAGTAGACCATGGCTGATATCGTGGCTGCAGCTGCCATTGGCTGGGCGAATCGATTTCCTAAACGGGTCAAGGGTGAACTTTGCTGACGCGGTCATTTCGACCCCTCACACCCCCTTCGTCAGAATTAATCGAGACCAAAAGCCAGAAGCATGCCGAACACCGGTCAATATAGCCGGAACTGTTATTCTTGTCGACAGCGACGCATCAAGGTACGGGATCCTAGGATGTACGAACGCATTATGTTCACTGATCAAGCTGATCCAGTGTGATCTTGCTCATCCGTCCTGTGGCCAATGTCTACGAGGAGGAAAATCCTGTTCAGGCTATCGGGATGAGGTAAGTATGCGCTTCCGAAATGCCTACATCTCGTCATTTCGACCGAACATGAGACATGGTCGTCAGAGTATCGGCTACTATGACCCACCGAAGGTCAAAGTGGACTCTACCAAAGACGGCAGCATACCATCTATCCAGATGATATACGAGCCTTCCCAGGTGTGGAACCACCATGTGATTCCTTTGGTCCTCGATAAGTTCTCAGTTAGCATTGTGGATACTAGCATAGACAGCATCATGTTTGCTACCATTCCACGTATCATATCCTGCACGCCAGAAGGGTCCCCAGTCTATGCAGTTTGTGATGCTATTGCATGTGCATATTTAGCTAGTACGACCGGGTCAGCAGCTGCCATTGCCCACAGAACCCAGGCGTATGGGGCGGCACTCAGGATAGTCAATGCAGCTCTCGATGATCCAGCTCAATGCAAGAATGACAGCACATTGTTGGCGATTTGGATGTTTGTGGTTTATGAGGTAAGAGCCTTTCATTAGTGGGGAATATTGACCAAGTTGGCTGACTTACCCAAGTTCCTATCGAATCCTCATCTCACATCTGTTGCTGGGTCAGAGGAAGGGGAGCGCCACTGCCGAGGCTTGGCTGCTTTGATTAACCTCCGAAACTCGGAGCAGTTCTCTAGACAGGATGGACGGAATCTCGTCTGGTATGTTTGTTATTGCACTGTAGGATCTCCTGAATGCGAAGTTTGCAGTCAGCGTCTCTGACCACACTAGCAAGCCAAAGCACTAATTGCCGGCCGAGAGTCTCCTATGGACGTGTTGGACTGGATCTACAACCTCCGCCAATATTTAAAGCCATCTGAGTATATCATGATTCAAGCATGTACCTTTGCCTACCATTGCACCCGCCTGTGCAGCCGGATTCGAAAGGTGTTAGATGGCGGTTCGGATTTCCAGTTGGCCACTTACTCTTCCATATTGCAACAAATGGACGAGACAGAGAAAATTTGGAGTTCTTCATATGATTCACCCCAGCAATCCATATCGTCTACCGGAGTGCAGGCATACCAAGGAAACTTCCAAATGCATCTCTCGGCAAGCGTTTTAACCTTCCTACTCCATGTCTGCCAAGCAGGTTGTTCACCTCAGCAGCTCACTCATTCCACCGCGATGCAAGAACGATGCATTGCGTCTTTTCGTGCCACAGCTACGAGGATCTTATACATGCAGGACATATCACAAGGCACCGATCACATGCATAGTAAAAATTTCAATCCCGGGTGGGCAGACGCGGTCATGATTTACGGATCGTTAAAAACCATCGCGATATCTTCCATTTCATTAGATTGGCAGAGAAACGGGGCCAACAAGGCCCGTGCAATGATTAGAGAGCGGCTTGGTTTTCAAATCTTGGACTAACATATCACTTTGTTATCCTTCAATCTTATATCATATTCGCTTTATGAATATTTCTGAAGTATACCTCATGGGGTTTAGTGGAATACATTGAATTTGATCTAAGTCCAACCAATATCAAAATTTGCTTTGTTTTAAGATAGCACCAGTTTAATCCTATATCTTAATATTGAGATTACCAAGCTAGAATAAAGGCTAGTAACAGGAAGATGTTAATTAGTTATTAGTTTCTATACAGGTAGAGGTCGAAGTATACGTAGTGGTATGCTACCACCAAAACCATGTTAATTCATCCCACTTATCTAAGCTCAGTAAGTGTAGCCTGATATACATCCATTGACGAACAAGATCAAGCGGAATAAAAACCAGGATGAAAAGATCCATTGATTGAAGGACGCAAACAGGGGAAAATTGTTGAGAGCATCCCTATGATCTGTACAGCAGATACTCGGCTGTTATAAATACAATACGAAAGAACGGACGCAGCACGATGGTTTCGAATATGACTAAACGCGCCGGCGGGAGCCGGCGCAACGAAGCAAGACCTTCACTCATATCCTAGATGGACGGTGTCGTTGCTGAAGTCGAGAATGTGAACGAATTGATTGAGAGTCTCCGCGCAGGCCCGGCAACCGCTTAGCGCATTGTTCTGAAGCGTCAGGATAAAATTCAGGGCCTACAGATCACGATTGAGGATATACGCCTTGAGCGCCTATATGGGGTGGTATACCCGAAGTAGAAGATTACCAGTATGAGGAACGAACATCCGTTCCACACAACGCGCGAATAGACGATGAATACACTCGTCTACGCGAGGAAAAGTTGGAATTTCAAGAGCAAGCTGGGCGAAGTGAAGGACTAACTACATGAAGCACTATGTGAGCGCGATAGCATAGTCCTCGCGATGTGGGTGATGGGTTCTATGCATGCCTGTGGGTCCCCAGCACCATCGACCACTATCTATGCCCAGACTACCAAGATATCGATTAAGAGACTAGCTCCCCCGATGCATAGCGACGCCAAGGATATCAAGGCTCGCGTTTAGAAGCACCACATACGCAGTAAGCTAGTATTTAACGCAGATTACTACCCCACCGCCGCTCATCGACTGGTGTACGTACGTACCCACTGCGAAGGGGAGGGTCTCAAAATATTGGCCCACATTTATAGGAGGATGCCTCAGCCGTACGACGATATGGCTAATGTCTTGCATCTCGACGGCATTTTTCATGACCCGAATTGTTACGATGATGGAAAAGAGCCAACTGGATAGGTAACCAGGTACATTCACGAAATAATGAAAGTAAAAAGAGAAGAAACTATAGAGGTAGTATCTACTATTTTATAGAGAGCTTCTATATAAATAGGCCCTATCTAGTTAGTCTAGTCAGCTACTCCCCTCTACCATACGTCCGTTAGGTAATCTCTAGGCCCATTATTCTATCATACGTCACATAAATAACCAGCAAGTTACGCACGACCAGCATCCTAAGCTTACCATAACTAGACCTCGGCAAAGACCGGGTCCGGTCCCAAATCTTAGGACCAGGACCGCCAGGAGGACCGCTATAAGGACCGCCAAGACGTATAATAATACATAAATACTGATTTATAACTAAATAGTTTCCTAATTAGGGTACTCTATGTATATTTATACTTGGAAAAATATCTTGGCGGTCATTAGAGCTCTATATTCGGACCGCCAAGAGCAGGTCTTGGCGGTCCTTGCCGAGGTCTAACCATAACTCCTAGGCAAGATTTCATTAATTCCTCACCCGAATTTACCTACGTAGCTAAGGAAGTGGAGTAGCCATCTACCAAAAGCTACTACCCTTATTGCAGAACAAGGTGATACTATGTTGTACAGTGCGAGCCCATACTGTAGGTGACCGCTCACGTCAGGCACTTGGTCACGTCGGACACCCCAAAACACATAGTAAACAGGAAAATACAACCATATCTCTAACATAGGAAATGCTAGAATACAACGTTTAAAGTAGGGCTTATAATATATTACATATATTACTATATCCCAGGGATATCATTCTAAGTGTTGATGGAGATATACATATTTTTTAATCAAAAGTATAAATTACATTGTATTCTATTGTAATATACTAAAATCTCATCTTCAAAAGACTCATATTTAAATATAGTATTCTTGATGCTTATGGGTATAAAGTATAACCCTCAAATTGATTTATAACCTGGCTGTTGAGATATCAAATTATAATTTTTCGCATTTACTATGTATCTTGGGGTGTCCGACGTGAACGGGAAGCACGTTATCTAAACCCTAGTAGCCCGCTTTCTTGACCGCCCCGACTATACCGCCCATATCTACGGTAGAGACTGCGTTGGAGGTTTTTGGTAATATTGATCTAGATATATCTGTTAATTTATCGGCAACAATGACAATTAGGCTAGGGAAAATCGTTAGGAATGGAAGGGTGTTATACTAAATATTAGGTAATGCTGGACAGAATGGAGGTTTTAGCATGACAGAAAAATATGGCAGAAAAATAGGAGGGAGTACTCGAGTTTACAGTACTTACTCCGTACTTTGGTCGGTCACTGTAGCGTACGGAGGTCAGCTGAAGTACTGTATTTACAGTGGGGTCTCGACGAATAGATCGAGGCGATAGGAGGCTTGTTTACACCTCGCTATAACTAGATCTAAACGAGAATGGATTGATACTACTGTAAAGCCACACAACCCGCCTGTAAGACTGTAACACTCGAACAATGTAGTATCGGAAGCCGCTACTCTTCACGTGACGATACATGTAGACTGAGAAGGTCCGAGGACAATTTTAGTAAGATTGTGTGCGTAGTGGTATATATAACACGGACTGGGACGACAGCGACTCGCCTACCAACACCCAACATAAATTTCGTTCCTATTCTACGAAAACCTCGAACCCCCGGCCTCCTTCACTTTTGTTGTTTTTTTTTCAAAAAGGTTCGACATCATTTATAATCATCTGAGGAAGATAACCATGCCTCCCAAATCTGGCCGCCTTGCTTCCATTCTCCGTCCATTGGGCCTGATCTGGTTCTCTATTTGCCGTAAGTCTTTATCACCCTGGCCAACAATTACCACAGCTCTAATAATCATCCTCAACTACAGTGCATTGGGAAATTTTGATACAAGGGGTTCGTCGAGACGGTCTCGTCGCACTTAGCCGCCCACGACAAATTCGAGATGCCGCTTCAGCAAAGCTGCTCAGTATAACGTGTAACTTATCCCACTCGCCATATCTTCCCTCACTCATCTCATGTACAGAGTAGACTGACCATCATACGCAGCTGGCAATTTTATCGCTTACGAAGACACAACAATTGTTCCTTCTCTCGTACAAGCCGCTGGAGGTTATGTTCTCGAACTGGGCCCTGGGCCCGGCAATCAGATTCATCGCTATGATACCTCTCTTGTCACACGTATCTATGGTGTTGAACCCAATCCCCACTTCAAAGACAAGATAGATGCCAACTTGGACAAGCATAGCCTGCGCGATAGATATAAGCTTATAGTTTGTGGCATTGAAGATAGCGATGTTCTGAGAGAAGAGGGAATCACGGAGGGGAGTTTGGATGCCGTGTTATGCATCCAGGTACTGTGTGCGGTAAAGGATCCAAAGAACGTGATGAAGGAGGTGTGGAAGCTGCTCAAACCTGGAGGTAAGTTTATATTCTGGGAACACGGATGCAGTAGAGACCGTTTGACTACTGTAACGCAAGGTATGTCTATCTCTGCCAACATTTCTTTTCTGGGTGGACTCTCTAGATGTTTGTCACTAGTGGAGGGGCCATGGTGCGGGGTAGACTGGCTAACATGAAGAAACCTTAGCTTGCTTGAATCCTGCTTGGAGCACGTTTGTCGGATGTCATTTGACCCGGAATGTGTTGGCGGACATTCTCAACAGTGGAGGCTGGGAAAATCCGCACGATGTCGAAGAACCTGAAGAACCGTTCAGTTTGCTGCCTAGGATTCAGGGTGTGCTTGTCAAGAAGAAGGCTTAATTAGTCCGGATTGGAGCAATTCTATTCACTATCTGGAGGACATATCGAGTTAGGAGATAAAGCGTGTTATGAGGAAGTACAATTTTTAAGACTCGGGCATGGCAGAAGAGACTGTTCAGTGGATAGGGTATATCGCCAGAATGTAAGAAGAAAAAGAAGTTACCTACTACATTATAGCAGGAGCAGCAGCTTAAACGGTCCAAAAGTCAATATTTCCCTTCAACTCACTGCATGGTAGCTATGTGGTAGCACTTGATACCTAGCCCAGCTTATGCCAATTCTTTCACTTCTCAAGCGTCCACCATCTCCCACGACTATTCACCACCAAGCTACAGTGTCGCCCATCAAGTATCACAAGTTCGTCCCTGCATTCAACTGTTCGATGGAATTGACGAGGTCATCAACACTAGCATCGTTAGGACAGTCTCTCCGAGTGCCCTTATACCGGATGCCATATATTTCCTCGTTAAATCGAATTGTGCCACATATACACGTACCCACCTCTTCAGCCAGTGATGTCAAGTTGAGCATGACAAAGAAACAATAACAGTACAGGAAGTTGTTGTCAGCAACGACATTGGGCAAACTTCTTTCACATCAATAGAAAATTGAACACTTTCCCGAAGTAGCTTTAAACCATAGTTCTCCGCCATTTCTGGCAACACAACAGCCGAATGCATCAAGAGCGCACTCTCCGTAGTATGTGCAGTTACATTCTCTCGACGTCGGTGTTTAAACACTCGAAGAGCCGGTCCTAGGCATGGGGCCCGAGTATAGTCTCGTGCGCGAAGATTAAAGATAGTAGCTTCGCATTCCTCATCGCTATGCCTACACTCAACTACACTATCCAAAAGTGACCTGGAAGACAGTGAAGTGAACAGCATGAGAATGGAACTCTAGCCATTATTCTTTGCTTTTAATACCACTCACTTGCAATGTAGCTCAGCCTGATGTCGTTTTATCGTGCACACGCTCAATCATAGGAGGAACCAGCTCGATCAAAGCAGCCTATCCGCAAATTTCTCGTCATAGCAATTGTTGGTCAGCTTTGTCGACATGTCGGCATGGCCCTCCTTGTTAAGTGGACCGTATGGGGGAAAAACACTATCAAAGCAAATCTCATCATAAAAACCACCTTATAACCCGCATCGAGAAGGGGTTGATTTTAGAGGGTTATAAGGACATGCCAGAAGCCATACGCGAGGAATTATACAGGGAAAAGGAAGAGAGTCTAGGGAACGACAAGCGCAAAAGAAGTCATGTCAGGACTGAAACGGGGTAGGACGAATAGCCACTACTCGCTCGATCTCATTATTTGACCACCACAGTTGAACGTAGCATAGAACTTTCAGACCGTTGCTTTCTACTTGGAAAAAGGGGTAACCTGGTACTTGCACACCTGGAGGAGCCGAAGTGCACAATCATTCTTGTTACAACCCCACCATATCATCGGGAATAGCCCCTTAAGACGGTACCAGAAATAAGGGCTTACTGGCCAATGCTTCAAATTATGGGGACACAGAGGCAAGCCTTACTAGATATCTCTGTGGGGGCTAAGACCATGGAGAGATGTAAAGAAGATTTGCTTGTGTGTCGAAGCGTCACAATTAAATACCTTTATAAAAAGCATTAAATCATCAAGATTTCCGGTCATATAATGGCTTAGAGACCATCATATGCCCCTTATTGCTTTCTGCATCGCCATCATAACCTAGTGCTTTTGGCCCCATTTAAAAGCGGCTTATTTTGGGACTGGTGCTGAATTTGACTTTATGTAGTCAGCTCACACCCCTTATACTCCGTGTAAGTCTAAGTAATGATCATGGCGTGAAGAAGAGAATGCGTGAACTTTTCCCCTCGCTTTGGAATTTGTTGAAGTTAGGAACCGAGAATGTCATCATTGAGCGTCTATTGTACGATAGAACAATCCCGCAGGTTCCTAACCATATATAATATGAGGTCATCATATATTGGATAGAAGCTGGTTGCGCAGATCCTCCACATCGCTTTAGAGATAATATCTATTATGCAAGTAATTAACCTTCCACTGCTGTCAATTTATGTGAGTTGACGCGTTGTGCAGCTCGAAAGGAATATACATAAAGTCGGGGCTTGATGTGGTACGAGGAACATTGTAGATGCTCGTAGCTTCACAAACAGTGCGACTTTATTATCTTCTTACAGCGAATATCGCAAGGAATGTCCTACCCTCTTTCTCAGGAGAGAATCTCGATGTTTTTGGCTGTTTTGGGTGGCATAGTGGAAGGTAGAAGATTATAAGATTTTAAATCACAATCTTAACGCGTGAGGTTACTAGATTCATTGGGACACACGTTACAAAATAATTGACGTTATAGTTATTCATATAACCTAGATATCCCGTCGCGGGGTTTGTGCTCTTTTTATCCGGAAGTTGTGAGATGGGAGTCTAATGCTCAGCCTAGGGTAAAGAGTGCACCTTTCCTATTGTTTATATGCCTGTAGCCACGCACTAAAGGCTGCATGCGGGGTCACATTGCCAATAGATAGAATTCTGATGGGTTGGAATCATGGCACCTGCCAAGCCGGTTAGAGCCCTATGGGCGAGTCACTGCGAAGGCTTTGGGAGCGTTGTTCCCCAGCCAACCTTCCAATTTTGGCCCCGGATAGGAGCGAAGAGCTCATCCAGGGTGGGTTTATTGCTTATCATTGCCTGGTCGTACAGAGCATCAACAAGAGCCTCGAGTGTTTTGCGGTTCGGCTCGACACCATAAACCCAGGCATCACCTCCGAAGATCTGGTCAATTTCGTCGATGTCGGCGGCCAGCCACGGCAGCATATATCTTAGAGCATCCAAAAAGCGCATGCGGACCCTTGCAGCCTCTTTTGCATCATTTAGAGCGTTGAAAAGACTTGATGGCAGCCAAGGATACTTGTCGACGAGCTCCCGCTTCACGACCACCGTATGCATAATGGGGAAAACACCTTTCTCCTTAAAGTATGTCTTCTCCACGTCCTTGAAATCAGGAAATAGCCTCTTAACATGCTCAGCGGTCCGAAAACACGGCGGAAGGTCCGCCCCGATTGTTGCAGCGATATCGCCATCCTCCAACATCTGGCTCAGCGACTTGCCGCTATTGTTCTGTGTAATATTCACAGGCTCTACCAGTGGCATCGGCGCCGGTTTACCATACCCTTCGGCGCTCACAAAGGAGCCCTGGACCCAATGGATGCTGTCAAGATCGACGCCATGTTGCTTGAGCACTGAGCGAATCCAGACTGCGGCCGTCATGGTGTAAAGCGGCACCCCAATCCTTTTGCCATTCAAATCCTTTGGTCCTTTGACAATAGTACTGTTCACTGCAATGTATCCATGCCGAAACGCTCTGGATGGAAAGACTGGTATTCCAACAAAATCGCGGAGACCCATCGCGTATCGGCAAATATACTCGCTGAGACTGAGTTCGGACGCATCAAACTCTTTGCCACCCGACATCCGATCAAAGATATCTCTTGGGTGATGGAGAGCCAGGAAATTAAGATCGATGCCCTCTGGCACGACCTCTCCTGAGTGCAACGGCTGGAAACGGTCGTACAGCAGAGCTGCAAAGGTGATAGGAACCTTGTGGGACCCCATGGCTGAACGTGAACTTACAAGCGATACACTCGGGCTGTTGAAGGTCATGAATAAGCCTTTTCGATTTAATACCCCGCTCCCCAAGTGGTGCAAATCCGGAAATCCGGCATTTTATCCCCCCGAGCCTTGTGTGGGGCTCCGGCCAACCCCACCTTTTTCTCGGGAACCTTATCTCACCCATGTGGGGTGCGAATCCAGAAATTCGGCAATTTGATTGTCCCCGCGAGCCCTAGGTAGTGCGGAGCTCCTACTAACAGGTGGCGGGTACACTAGGATTTGTTGAATACCCTAGGTGTTTCTTTCAGCGTCAATTCGATGTAAAGAGGAAGAGTTAGACTGCGCCAAAGCCCATGTTTGGGCCGGACTCCGGGCCCACAGCCCAACCCACATTCGCCTTGGGCTCAATCCCCCAGCCCGAGCCCGACCCACAGCCCGCTGTGGGCCCCCAATTGGCCCCCAAATCTTCATAGAATCTAGCATAAAGCTGCTAATTTATTGGGTAATATACTGTATGAGGTAAACTCTCCCCTTTGCTTGTATTGTTTAAGGCCCCCCATAGTGGGCTCGTGCGCCTAAGGGCAACCCCTCTAGGCCATTGTGGGTTTTGGCGCAGTCTAGGAAGAGTTGAGCCTTGAGCTGAAAAGCTGGACCTGGTCTTCCTACCTTGCTCTCTCTTCCGCAATCGCCGTGAATTCTCGAACCAACCACTCCTTCGCAAAAGACAGTGCTTTGTGAGGTCATCATGGCCAAGGAATCCGTGGAGGTTCGGCACCTCCATGGCGAGATTGCCGACCAAGACATTATCATGGGCAGGACATCCAAGTCCGGCGTCATCTTACGCCCCCAGCCGACGAACGACCCGAATGAGCCACTGGTAAAATAATACCCCCAAAGAGGCGACCAAGTTGTGCTAACAGACATAGAATTGGCCGCAATGGGAGAAGTATGCGACATATCTCGTCCTCTGCTGGTTCACCTTCCTAGCGTTTATGAATTCTTCTGCGTTCACGGTTGCCGTCAAGCCAATCGTCAAGGAATTTGGCAAGACGTCGACAGAAGCAAGCTACTTGAGTAAGCCGTCTACACATCCAATCACTGCCTGCCTTTTTTCTTTTTGGCACTGAGGTCCTAGTAGCATCGCTGCAGGTACTTGCGATGGGCTTTGGCGCCTTGTTTTGGGTGAGCTTAGCTCTCGCATCTACCCGTCCACCACCTGCTTTAACCATCTTGCTGCAGATGCCAATGGCCAGAAAAATTGGCAAACGTCCGGTGTACCTTGTGTCAATCCTCTTCCTGTGCATCACCAACATTTGGAGCTACTTTTCAAAATCATACGGTAATCTCCTGGCATCGCGAATAGTTGGTGGTTTCTTGACCGCTGCTTCAGACGCCCCTGTGCCCAGCGTAGCGGCAGACCTTTTTTTTTTCACGAGCGGGGCCATACCTTGATGATTTTCAATGTTGCTATATCGGCAGGCGCCTTTTTCGGGCCCTTCATTAACGCATACATCACCCAGTATTTGGGCTGGCACTGGATGTGCGGTGTGATGGCCATAGTATCAGCCGTGACCTTCATTTTCGCTGTTCCCCTTGTTAGAGAGACAGCTTATATTGTTCCTAATGGTGTACGAGAACTCGATCGATCCGCTGAGATGTACGCGCCAAAGAGAAGCTGGGCTGCTTCAATGTCCCTAACCGCAGGCATAAACCAAGACGCATCCTTCTTCGAATGGGTGTTTGAGACCCTACAGCTCATGGGTTATCCTCCTATCTGGTTCAGCGGACTGACCGTGGGACTCTTTATCGGGTGGTGAGTTTTGAATATTAAGTCCAAGGGATGAATTACACGCTGTTGCTGACTATGGATGCAAGCAATATTGCAATCCAGCTCACAGCTTCCCAAACCTTCACGGCTCCACCCTACTCCTGGTCACTGCATAGCGTTGGATTGCTGTCCCTCTCAGGCTTCACGGGCTCCGTGCTCAGCTTCTTCTTTGGTGGTTGGCTCATTGACTGGATCGCCACTCGCGCTACCAAGCGCCATGGTGAGCATGTACAGCCGGAGTATAGACTTCCGGCCATGATGATACCAGCTGTAATCGGACCAATGGGTTTGTTGACCTTCGGACTGGTGATTGCGACAGGGAAAGCTTGGGCTGGTGCCGCCATTGGATATGGCATGCAAGGATTCGGTGCGACGGCTGCTGCGAACATCGCCGTCACCTACGTGGTAGATGCCTATCGCCCAGTGAGTGGAACCTTCCTAATAACACCATCAAATAATGGCATGACCAATTGAGTACCGATTTAATACAGGTCGCTGGGGAAACCATTGTGATTGTATTTGTTCTTCGAAACGTGATCGTCTGCCTCATCTCGACTTACATTTCCAAATGGTTCGAAAGCCAAGGGTTAAAGAATGCTTTCGGAGAGCTAGTTGGCGTGGCCTATATTATCCTGTCGTTCACCTTGCTCATGTATTTTATCGGGCCCGGTCTTCGGCGATTTACTTTGGCGTATGGCCCGATGACCAAGTATACAGCACGCCGAGGGTAGAAGGAATACTGGTGAGCGACTTAATACCCCCTCTATTTTAGGGGTCTCCGATTTTTCTTACCAAAAATGTATTGGGATCCGTCTGGGAACTTCCTGAAGGACCGCATAACGTTAGGGCCAAGGTAGGAGTGTCTCGGCTGGCAGGAAGCAATAGAATCAAACGGGGTTAGGATAGCCTCCTTCTGGTCCGGATAGTAGACCGCTGAGTTCTGCGTACTCCCGCCGACACGGAATATTGGGGCCTTGCCAGATATGTCTTTGAGGGTTCTGGATAACTCGGCGAGAGAATAGATTGGGATGTCTTCAGGTCGAACAGACAAATTAATATTGAAACCATTGAGGATTGATTGTGTATATTACGTATAATTTCCAGCAGAGTCTACTATATAGCAGACTTTAATTGAGAATGAGTGATAGTGGGCATCATGCACAGGCTTCTCTGGCCGAAGCGACTCGGCAGGTGAAAGCAAAACAGTGCTTGTCACATTGACAACAGTAGCACTTAACGCCCATGTCCCGAGTTGCAGGATGTAACAGGCGATGAATAGAAAACTATTTATATAGTTCATTTTACAGTAGACTGGATATTTGTACTTTTGTAACTAAAATGCTGAGGAACCGTCACTTTACCTCGAACTCATAGTACAAACTCGGTCTATGCATGCCCGAAAACAAACTGCGTCCATTTTCTTTGTGAAAAGCTTTTCCTTCCATAAAATCCTTCCAGCCAGGATTGACTTTACCAAATAGCCATAGGCTGTGCTGTGAGTGCGACAAGGGAGGGGATTGTTGTGGGACTTTTCATATCACCCCGCATTAGCCCTGCGGGTTCCCCACATAAAATTTCGGCTTATGACATGTGCTTTTTTGTATAACCGATAGCCGATTCCTGCTACGCAATCGTATGCTATTGGTTGGGGTGAGTCGCTAGAGCTGTGGTCCCGCAGCCATAGTATCGCTAATGATATAGAGTTGCACCACAAAAGTCTATCAACCTCAAAGTATCGCGCTAAACTCCTCTGAATATCGCAAGATGCAATAACTGCATCCAGGTATAGAGTTGGTCTGGGAGTGGTATAAGGTTTTTGTTTGCTGGACTATGTTAATTAAGCTCAAATTAGTTTTCGAATACATTACTTTCTAAGCCAAGAAATAAAGGATTTTATGTAATCTCCTTTTATTGGGCATTTACCTAGCCCTTTGTGAGTCTTGAGTAAAAGTCGGGGGAATAACATAGTTCATACACAAGCCAGCCACCCTAAAATACATAGTACTAGTTCATTAGGCCACGCTTTGTGTGGCCATACACTACATACTAGCCACATAGTAGAGTATCTATTAGCTAGTCTCCCAAAAGGAGGAAGTTGAAGTATCGTACCTTCACAACAAAGTGGATTAGATATAAAAAGGACGCCTAGTGTATTACCATAGGTATAGGAAAGCGATATATATACGGAGTTAGTAATATAGTACCTAAATCTAGTAAGGTTTAACTATGGGTAGGCCTTCCTTACTTATAGGGACTATCTATACCTAGGTGGGGAAGACTATACCCTATCTTAAGAACCTCCTAGCTAGTAAACCTAGGCAAGGACCGCTTAGGACTAGACTAGACCAGGGACCTGACCACACTATGTAGGGCTTGGTCCTGGCTTTTAGGACCGCACTACTATGGTGGATCCTAATCCCCTGTGCGGTCATACAAATAGAATAAATATAGCAAACCCTATAATATATATATTTATAATTATACTAAGATTCTTTCCTTTTTAGGGATATAATCTAATAATTTAGCAATATTTATTAGTATTATTAAATACTATTTTAGTATAGGACGCGACAGCGACCAGTTGGTTCCTTCCCGACGACAAAAACCTGACTATTGCAGATCACCGGCGATACAAGGGCACGGCCTCGATCAGTAGCACACCGGGGACGGAACGCGTGCCTTAGCCATGCCAGGTTGGCGCAGCAAGAAGTTACAGAGAGGGGGGAGTCTTGGCAGGTCGCTGACCTTGAGCGACAAGGAGTCTGCTGGCCCCTTTGGTGACCTGCTTCAATTCGGTAGATCAGGGTACTAGGCAACGGAATTTTGGCGGCCGCGGGGGAGATGATCAGGAGCCTGAAGTCAGTGGCTTGACGAACAGAAAATAGGCGGGCATCTCCATTAAAAGGTCCTCAATCTCCTGTACAAGTTCCCTCCCAAATCTCGTAGTGCTGATCTCGTTCATAGTTCCCCTCAGGTCTTATAACACCGATGGCGGCAAGCGAGATAACTGAATCAGCTATAACAACCCGAGGCATCTCCTATGGTCCGCCCCTAGGTGATGATTCAGAACCTGATGAACCCCTATTTCTCCTATCTTTCGAAGAAATGCGTATGATGTCGACCACATTTAGGAACGAAGAGGCGGGCTTCCGGATATAGTTCAAGGAAATTATTGAATCACTTCCGAGATACCTTGCAGGTTCGTGGTAGCCAGCCTCTCCCGACTCCATTGTTCACGGCATCCGAGCTTGGAGGGTAAGGGGGTGGATGTAATCTGTGCCGTCGATGCTTCTGTTTTTCTGACTGGCTCTCTGCGCTGCACGTCTGGCTCCGGCATTCACCAATCACCGCCCAGCGCACGGTCCCAAATTTTGTCCCTGACAAAAGTTTGCTGGACAATGGCAGTCTAAACTCTCCTCAACCTCTTGGCCGAATGGAAAGGGGTATGGACAAATCAGGGTTCAAGTCAGAGAATTTTTCCTGCCGCTTCGAGCCGGTCTACCAGCCCGGAAAAAGCCTCGGTGATGTTTGTTTCATGGAACTGACCTCTGAGACAAGCAACGACGGCGTCACGGAATGCATCACCAGCGTAAAAGCCCAAACGGACCTGCGCGTGCTTGAGAAGCTTGTTCTGCACAGCGACTGGACTGTGGGCCATATTAGAGGCAACCAGGGCCCCGTTGTCGAGTTGGTCCGCTCGTGACCAGAGGCCAATTTCTAGAAGGATGACGCCGAGGGCTACATGCAGGTTTTGTCAGTAAGTCCTCGCACTGAGATCATCTGCGGGACAAACATACCATACAGATCATGGATCTTCTCAAATCGATTGGTTGGTTGTCCCCAGCGAGTCGGATGTCGGTAGACGTTCCGTTTAATGTCAGATTCCCCAAACTGGTCGGAAAAGTCCGACTCCTGGCGTGAGTATTCGAAGCCAACCAACCGCGGATCCTCCAATGCCTTCTCCATTTCGGAGAGGTCGTTGCCAGGCGGAAACAAAAGCACGTTTTCCGGCCGTAGTGACTTGTGCACCCACGAGTAGGTGTGCAGCCGTTGCAGACACAGGGCGAGTTTGTAGGCGAGGTGTATCCTCGCGGTGAGAGACGGGCGCCCGCCTTTATACTTGACATCGAGGATGCTAGCGAGCGTTGCAGGTGCGGGTGCAGACGGAAGAAGATAGACCAGTCCAAAGCGTGACTTTGGGGTTTCCTCAAAGTAGTGTGTACACTGCAGCACCCTCAGGGCGGGATCCGAGATGGGAGCTTCGTGGAGCAGGGCTGCCAACTGAAGGACTCGATGCCGGACCACAGTATCGCTGAGGGCACTCCTTCCAGGAGCGGCATACTGCTTGTATTCGGCCATGTAGTAGCCATCCGAGCCTTTCAGGGTTCCCAGCTCAAAAGCGCCGACCTGTGAAATCGGGAAAAAGTCTTTGGGAATTGCCTCCTTCGCTTGGGACTGGGAATGCATCAATGCCGGGCTAGTCACAAGCAACTTGCGCACCGCGATGCCGCGCAGCAAGCCGACAGTTTTGGCGTCGTTATCCTCTTCGAGCTTTTGCAGCCGCTCAAGCGTCTGAAAGGAGGAAAGAGGCCACCACGCAGCTTCCAGCAGTGTCTGTGTTCTCTGTGCCCATGCCTCGAACTCGGACACGAGTTTCTCGGTGCTGGCCTTGTCGAAGGCAACCCACATCATTTTCCGCGCCCACCCGACGGATTTTTGATGCGATGCGTCTGTTCTTTTCTTGTCTAAAGCAAGAAGCTTGATGCGGTCTTCTGGCGACAGGTCTGCCAGGCTATTCACATCAACTTTGGTTTCCTGCTGCTCCATTTTGTATTGGGTTCGTACAGCCGCGTATTCCATCAGCAGGCCGTAGAGTTGTCGTAAAAGTGCCAGCATGTCGTCGCATATTTTGCCTGGGAGGTGGTCAATCAGACGGCCCTTGATGGCGGGCGAGAACTTGTTCTCGTCAAACAAGACTCGCTCCATCGAGTCCAGCCTGGTCCTGGACACTACGAAGCGGAGCCGGAGACGTTCGGCGTCTTTTCCGAAGCCGCTATAGTTTTTGAGGATGTCGTCGATGGTGGTGCATATGGGTTTCACCAAGACGACAGCACCGAAAACAATGCCGGCTGCCTCCATTTTTCTTTTGCAAATTGGTCGGAATTGGGTGCTGGGACGACGATACCGAGGTAGACAGATCGGGTGGGAGAAGGAGGGGCGGATTCGATTAATTAAAGCCCTGTAAGCTGCGCTATTCCTAGTCGGGTGGTAAGGGGCATGATGCGGCTGAGCATCGGCGCCTGAATGTTTGTGCTGACCAGGCTCCGGCCGGTTGGTCAACCAACCTTAGGTTCCTTTTCTTCAAATCATCGTAATCTTTCACAGCTTCGAGATGAGTCTTACCTGGGACATCCGCACTGTGCTTGCATCAGAGGCTGCCCCTGTCTCTGCCGATGACTCGGATGGGAAGGCCGCTTCGGACGCCGAAGCACCTCTCAAGAGGCTGGAGCCCATCGATATCTGGAACTACTTGATCAGTCTGAGCCAGGATGGATCGGGGTCCAAGTCCGACTCGGAAACGGATTATACCAAGCTGCGGCATTACAAAGCCACTGACTTCAACCAGGGCTGGGATGGAGTAGCGAAATATGCTGGCGACGGCGCTTCGTACAGCGTCGACAAATGCACTCTCAACCAGATGCTAGACGGGAAACCCGTTGTTGTGGCCGTCAAGAAGCTCAAAATCTTCCAGGAGCACAGTTACCGCGACGAAGCCGAAGCCAACTCGGCTGCTCACCAACGCTCCGTGGCCACAGTTCTGAAGGAGCTCCGCATCCTCACGCATCCGCCCCTGCAAGGTCATCTCAACATCGTCTCTCTGCTCGGTTATCGATCTGAATTTGCGTCCGGGCCCTCAAGCTCTCTGTACAGCACCAATGTCTCTCTCGTCGCCGAGTTTGCTCCCTTCGGGACCCTGAGGGATTTCTGCCAGAGCTTGTCTCCTGACAAGAAGCTCGACCTCCTCACCAAAGCCCACCTCATGCATGACATTGCGAGCGGCATCGAGGCTCTCCACAAGTGCGCCATAGCCCACGGGGATGTCAAGATGGAGAACACGCTTGTCTTTGAGGGCTATGGCCGGCCCTATCTTGCCAAGTTGTCCGACTTTGGCCACTCGCTCGTCGATCTCCACACGCCCAAGGGGGAGAGTCAGGTCTACCTGGGTACACCGATCTTCAATGCCCCAGAAATACGATCTAGGAGTCATTTCGTCCCGATGGAGCCGGAATCACTGTTCAAGTGCGACATCTACTCGTTTGGCCTTCTCTGCTGGGAGTTGGTCTTGGGAGGCGTGCGATATTACAAGACTCTCGGTGAGTTGGTAGGCACCGAGGACATCACGGCGGCCGTGTCTCGACTCAGCACCCTACCAAAGGATGAGCTGCTGTTCCGGAGCATACATGGGAGCGAAGACGCCTCGCTTGTCCAAATCATCGTAAACCGCGTTCTCCAGGCATGTCTGAAGGACGAACCGAACGATCGTGAGGACATATACACAATTGTTAAATATTTCCGTCAGCAGCAGGCTTTCAGCAATAAGCTCTGGATGTTAGTGCTCCGGTCCATATCCCTGCCTTCTACTAACCACCATCCTAGGCGGCAAATAGGCTTCTCTTCCACCCAAGACAAAGACAAGCCGTGGGCCGCTCCCCTGAAACCATTTTTCGGGACTGACAGGCCATCCGTAGCAACGTTGGCAATCCCACAGATGCCGCTTGTGGTGCAAACTGATCTGGTTGACCAACTCCGCTCTGCAGTCGAAACGTCAACATCGAAGGTTGACAAGAGACGGTCCCTATTCGACCTCGCCACGTGCCATCTGTCTGGTATTGGGACAGAGAATGTTGATATCCCCAAGGCACTGGGGCTTCTCGCCGAGGCCGCACAGCTGGGTAGTTATCAGGCTCTCACCCTCGTCTTTCGACTGCATGTGGCTCTCCTGGGCGAAGTGCCCCCAGAGTTGTGGGAGATCAAACACCCCATCACCAGGCTCGAGAGTTCTCTGTCCCAGCTTGACAGCCGAGTGTACTTTCCCGAGCGGCTTCGGGGGCATGAAAAAATGCAGCAAGCGGATGCGCTAAACCGCATATTTGACACACGACAGAAGGGCGAGACAATTCTCCAAGGGGTTCATCTCCAAGATGCACACGGCAGATTGCAAGGATTTCAAGGGCTGTGCGCTGAGGACCTCGAATGCATTTCAAATCTGGAGGAAGACGACTCGGACATGCCCCAGATTCAAGGGAATTTACTGGTCACTGCAGCCCGTCTGGGTTTACTGCCGCTGGTCGAGTTTTTACTTGCCCGTCGAGTAGCAGATAAGGCTTTGAGCGAAGATATACTCACGGCAGCTTGTCGCGGCGGTCATATCGACATGCTCCGACTGCTACTCAGCAATGGAGTCTCGCTATCAGCAGACAACGACCCGCGGGCCACGCCACTGCACTGGCTCGGGGGATTCTCACCGGGCGAGACTGGCGTCGCTCTCGAACTTCTGCTCTCCGTACCAGGAGGCCAGGAATGCCTGCTACAAAGCACTCCCGATCCTGGAATCCAGATAGGTGACTGCCTGGTCTCAGGCACACCGCTAGAAATCGCCATCGCGACCAATAACACCCCCCTCGTCCAAGCTTTCCTCGCGATAAACCTCGCCGATATAAACCCCCAAGACCACCCCAAGTCCATCGGCTGGACCACCAGCACCTACCCACTCGCCGTCGCCCTCAACCTCCACCACCTCCTCCCCTTGCTCTTCGACTCGGAAAAAACCTACCGCTCCTCCCTCTGGACCACCCCCTCCTTCCCACCCCTCAACCTCTTCGACCTCATCCACCCACACGACCCCCTCCTTCCCCTCCTAATCCATAGCCACACCCTCCCCACTGCCCTCTCCTACACCATCACCTTCATCATGTCCATCGGCACCACCACCCTCAACTTCCCATCCCCCTCCGTCACCACCCCCTCTCCCACGCCGTTCGCCACGCTCCCTGCCGCTTCTCCCTCGAGCCCATCCCATCCCTCATCTCCCTCGGCGCGCGCTTTAGCCCCGCCGAAGAAGCCGAAACCCTGTCCCTCACCTCCACCATCCTCAAGCGCCGCGACGCCGCCGCCCCATCCATCATCTCCCACCTCCTCTTAAGAAACCTCCTCCCGCTCGATGTGACCGTCCTCGCCGCGGCGCTGCACGCCGGGAACACCGCGGTTGCGTCCGCAATCCTCGATACGCGTGTTGCCGGCCGGGGGTAGACCCCAACGCGCCACTGGTTGCAGGCGAGATGCACATCCCGCTGCTGTTTGTGGCGATAGGACTGGGCAACGCAGCTACGGTACAGCTCCTCCTTGATCGCGGCGCGAGGCTGGATATACGCTGGGATGATAAGGACCCGCTCGAGGCAGCGGTGACGGCGTCGAACTGCGATGGCGATACCATTGACTTGCTCCTGGAGCGTGGTGCGGCGGTTGAGCTGCGTGGGCATACTATCCTCCACCGCGCGGCGATGGGGCGGGCGACGGTGAGGGGGGTGCATGTGCTTTTTCACCTGCTGGAGCATGAGCGGGTCAGGGCGCTAGTGAATACCTGCGTAGAAGGGGTGACAGCGCTGGGCATGGCGGTGTACGCCGGGAATGTGTCGGGGGTGCATGCGCTGTTGCAGGCCGGGGCGGTGGTTGAGTCGGGGGAGGTGTTGGAGCGGTTGGTGGGCATAGCGGTGGAGGCGGGGCGCCGGCCAAGGACGGCGTCGCCAACGTGGACCGAGCGGGCGCCGGATGGGGAGGAGCTGTATCAGTGGCGGGTGGGGATGGAGGAGATTGTGCTGGCGTTGCTGGATCGGGGGGACCCAGGACATGGACGGACGAGGCTGCATGTTGCGGTACAGTTGGGAGATCGGGCGAGGGTGGTCGAGTTGGTGGAGGAGGGGGGATGCGCATGTTTGTGGGGGATCGGGAGAGGCTCACGCCGGGGGCATTCTTAGAGGATATAGAAGGGTTGGAGGAGGCGGGGGAGGAGGAGGAATATCTCGAGGAGCTGAGACAGCTGAGGGAGTACGTACAGCGGAGGATGATCGAGGAGGGTATCGCGGATTCGACTACCCCGGAAGGCCTCGAGCGATGGCTGGGTGATCATCCGGTTTCCCCCAATGACGACAAAGAGAACAGGAACGCCATCGCCGACCTGGAAGGGTCACTTCAAAAACTCAAGCTCGAGAGAGAAGAGACGGAGCTCTCCGGCGGCGACGGCACCGAATCGGTTGCCGAGCGGCAGGCAAAGCTGCGAAAGGCTGTCGAGCTACAGAGACAGCGGCTGGGAGACACCGACCTGGCGACCCTGCGCGCCATGACGAATCTGTACGAGTGCCTCGCCAACCAGGGGAAGTTCGACGAAGCATCCGCGCTACACCAAACCGTCCTCGAGCAACGCCAAGCCCAGCTCCCCCCAGACCATATCGAACTATGGGGGTCTCTGGTCGACAAAACGTACATGACCTGGGGCCTCGGCAGAGTCCAAGAAGCTAACGACTACGCCCTCGCCCTCTCGCTCAACGCCGTCGACACATTCGGGGCCCACCACCCCGTCACCATCAAAGTCGAGACCGCGCGAGCCGGCATCGAGTCGTCCCTCGGGAACCACGCCGAGGCAGTCCGGATCCAAGAAGCCGTCCTCGAACTCGACAAGCGCGCCTCCTGTTCCCAACCCATCTCCGACCCTAATCCCGACCTGGACTTCCACGAGCCGCTGTTCTATCTCCGCGCCAGCCTCACCCTCGACTACTGCCGGGCGCACAACCTCCCCGCCGCCACCGAGCTGTCCAACTCTCTGTCCTACCGTCTCGACATCGCCAAGCCAAAAGAATTCTTCCACATCTTTGACACCCTCCTGGGCGTCGCGGCCGGGCTCGATCTCCACGCGCAGCACGAGGCTTCCGAGCCGATCCTCACCGCCGTCGTCGAAACCTGCCTCAAGACGCACAGGAACCGCAAGTCGTACGCCACGCAGACCGCGCTGGAGCGGCTGGCCTCGCACTACGGACAGCGCGGCCTATGGGAGAAGCAGGCGAAGACGCTGGCAACGCTGGTGGACCAGCTCAAGTCCACCGTTGGCCCCGAGCACGCAGACACGATACAGCAGAAGCGAGGGCTGGCTACGGCGTTGGGGAAGTGTGGGGGTTGGGTCGAGGCGGGTTTGCTTCAGGAGCAGGTGCTAAAGGCTCTTGAGGAGGAGCAGCAGCAGGCTTCCTCCCCCAACAGCACCCCGTCCCCGTCCCAGTCCCTAGAATTAGAAATTGCCGCCATCAAAACTTCCCTCTGCGAGACCCTCCGGCACCAAAACCAGCTCACCAGCTCCGAGTCCCACGGCTGGGACGCCGTGCATTTCTACCGCGCGGCCCTCGGTGCAGACCACGCGAGGACCCTCTCCGCCGAGTACCAGCTCGGCCTCACCCTCTCCTTCGCCTCCAAACCCACTGAAGCCATCACCCTCCTCGAGCGGCGCGTCGCCTCCACCGTCCGTACGCACGGCGAGTCGCACATGCAGACCAGCGTCGCAGCGCAGGCGCTCTGCGGCGCGCTGCTCCGCGCGACACGGCACGCCGAGGCGGAGACGCAGGCGGTGCGGTGCCTAGAGATTGCGCGCGCCGTCCCCGAGGCTAACGACGAGATGGTGGGGATCGCGCTATATATAGTGGCGATGTGCAAGGCGCGAGGGGGGATGCGGACGAGGCGCGCGCGCTGCATGCGGCGTCGCTAGAGCGGTTAAGGGCGTTTACGGGGGGCGTGGTGTCGGCGGATATGCTGACGGGGATGGGCGAGCTGGCGAGGCTGCACGTTGAGGCGGGGGATTATGCAGCTGCGGAGCCGCTAGTGAGGGAGATGCAGGGGGCGGCGGAGGCGGATTCGGAGCCCGCGCAGCTGGCGAGTTACCTCTTGGGGCGGGTGTGCGAGGAGACGGACCGCGGGGGTGAGGCGGTGGATCACTACCGGGCGGCGGCCGAGTCGACGCGGCGGGTGTTGGGGGATGCGGATGAGACGACGCTGGTGTACGTGGGGGATCTGGTGCGGGCGTTGGTCGCGGAGGGGGTCATGACGGAGGCGTTCGAGCTGGCAGCGGACCTGCTTAAGCGGCGGAGGGAGACCCGCGGCGAGTACCACGGGGAGACGGTCGAGACCAAGAAAGACCTCATCTTCATCTACCCTGCGCTGGGGTTCTGGCCCGAGGCGGAGCGCGTGCAGCGGGACGTGCTGCGGTTTACGGAGACAAAACATGCTGATCAGGTGGAGGATGTGTGCATCCTGCTCGAGGCGCTGGTTGAGTCGTGCGGCAAGCAGGGCTGGACGACCGAGGCCGAGGGGTTCGGTCGGCGGGCCATGGACTTGCGGCTTGCGAGGGAGGGCATCGAGGACGAGGCCACGCTGCGTAGCATCGTAAACCTGGCGCGCGTTCTCGTCGACCATGGCAAGACAGACGAGGCAGAGGGGATGCTCGACCTCGTGCAGGACACATGCCAGCACGTCTTCGACGACGGCGACGATGCACGCGATATCGCCCTTCCAGCGCGGGCCTATCTCCTTTTCAAGCAGGGCCGGCTGGACGAAGCCGTTACCCTCCAGCAGAACGTAGTTGTAAACAACCGGGACAACCTCGAGGCCATCCTCTTCCTCGTACAACTGCACGAAAAACTTCGCGACTATGAATCGGCGCGCAGGGTTCTGCGCAAAGCCACCTCAGTTACCTTTTCCGAGTCGAGCGCAGCCAGTGGGGAGCTCGAAAAGAGTGGACTGGTCAGAACATTTATCCAAAGTGTCCGGCTCAAGACCGCCACGGAGGATGTTGGCGATGCCGTCGGCATGGGGAGGATGGCCTTGGCGCGGACCGAGGCGTGGTGTCGGCTGAACTATGCGCACGGGGAGCTCCATCTGGAGTGTCTGCAGGCGATGGAGGCGTTGTATGAAACGCTGGGTGAGGAAGAAGAGGTGCTTCAGATGAGGTTGAAGGTGAGTTGGCTCTTGTTGTCAAATCCGACGGCTTCTGCCATGCGTGTGAGTGGTAACTAATTGGTTGATTTGGAAAGATCAAGGAGCAGATCCACCGACGAGATGAGGGCAGGAAGCAGCATCTGAAGCAACTGCAGACCGAGGCGGATAGGTTCGAGGAGTTCAGGGCTGGTCATGCAAAACATGACGTTTAAATGTATCATGACCTGTAGGACCTTTCAGTTTATAACAGTGAAGAAGCAAAATGAGGGGCGATATACAAAGGGACAATGGATTGAAGCTCGAATTGGTTTTTTTAAGGGTCACCTGAGAAATCGCAGCTAAACTGACTTTTTCTTATTGCAGGCTTCTAAATATAAGCGCGATGCGACAACATCTCAAATTTAAATGTCTTGAGCTTAGGGATTCTGGCTCCAAGACCATGGTGTGCACCGTGAATCTCCAATGTGATTGCCGGATCAGACTCGACCGTGTAACCCGACCGGCCGTGGATTACGTTATGAGAAATAAAGCTTACTCTCCTTTGTGTGCAGAGGGAATCGGGACCTCTCCTGTTCCAGCTGATGTTCTAGGTTTTGAATTCTATCCTGAAGAGCGGTTGGGTCAATGCGATCTCTCTCTTCTTTCTCCCTTAGTTCTGGACGGAATGCGGGCGAGAGGTTGTCCTTGTCGTTCTCCAGGCTGGCAATCGGCTTGCATGTTGTGGTTTTCTTCAGAAACGTCTTATTATAATGGCTATGCCTTAATAAGGATAGTCGCGAAGACCTAGGGTAGGGAGCGAATAAGCGGCGCCTGCTTGGGAACTAAATGGCGCCCTTGCATAAATATTTGAGAAAGCGAAGATAGGCGTGCGGATAGCTATGGCGCTTACCACGGTGAATTTGCCACCATGCAGCACTATACGTCAAGTATACGTCAACAGTACGTCACTTCCTGATCTAGGTACTTTAGAGGCGGAAGCGATGCCCTACCCGCTGTACAAACCTAGCTTGCTACTTTACTCAATTTCCGTCGAGCACTGAAATGGGCAAATCCTGGTTCAGGAACTATTTGGTTCTCTATACCATTAAGCAGCATGGATGAGAATCAGCAGCCCCCAGCCGATGGGAACACCACCAATGCTACACCCCTCATCGTGTGTATATCTATCTTGTTGGTAGTAACACTGGTTTTCTACAGCCTTCGCATATACACGCGAATTTGGCCCACTTTTAAGCTGGCTGCTACTGATTATATAATCTCACTGGCTCTCGTGAGTACCTACGGCACACCTTTCATTAACGCGCTAACTGTTCTGGCAGTTATGCGATTTGATCGTATTCGCTGCTTCAATAATAACTGTTCACTATGGCTTCGGGCGTCACATATACTACATTTCACAAGCTTCCCAGACAAACATCCTCAAATGGTGGTTGGTGATATTCATCGTAGGGTTTTGGGCACCTTGCCTTGCGAGAATTTCAATAGCCGCCATGTTTCTTCGCTTCCCAATATCCAAGGCTTGGCGGGTAGTGCTCTGGATTTTAATCTTGATCCAACTTGCTCTTGGAATTTCGTCCACTGTGTGGCAATTGGTTCAATGCCGCCCACTACGTGCCTACTGGGAATACGTGCCTGATGCGGTTTGTTTTACGCTCCATTATTGGCGAATCTATACCTTCACATATTCAGGTTAGTTGCTAATAGAGATTCGGGGTTTGTATTGCTAACTTTATAAAGGGATGGCTCTTTCCAGCGACATTATATTCGCTACCATACCTATTTTTTTAATCTGGCCATTACACCGGCCACTTATAGAAAAGGTATTCATCATGGTCTTAATGGCGCTCACAATGGTTGTGGCTGTGGTCTCCGGGGTAAAACTATACTTTATCATCCACTGGAGTGTAACTGAGCAGGTCAAAGACCCATTCCGTTACCCGATGACAGTGTTTCTGTTGACCAGGGTAGAAGAGATTGTCCTCATTGCTGCAGCTTGCGCACCATTCTTAAAGGCGCCCATCGAGGGTACCTTCAGTCGACTCGGCTTTGTCCAAATACGCTATCAGTCCCCAATGCTCCCCACAATCCACTCCGATCAAGGGAATACAACAAATTCTTCTACACCACAGGAGTCAGGAGAGGTAGTTTGTGATCTACCTCAAATGAGCCAAGTGAGAAATGGCATCCATTGATCATAGTGTGGATTGGCCCCACTACGCCCAAATAGGGTCAAGGAAAAGTGTTTGGGAAAGAATAATGTCTATCTTTTGTCTCTGGCTCCGGCCGGTGGTCCTCCAAAATAGTCGGGAGCGAGCAGAATCTATGTTAAGTTGCTGCCACTAGGTGCCCCATCTCCCTCTGAAATTGGCCCGCTAATAGTTCGACAAAATCCTTAGGCATCTCCGATCAAGCAAGAAAGTACTGCTTCCTTTGTCTCCGAAGTAAGAATGACCACTACGCCGCTCAAGTACCCTGCAGTAAGCCGCGCTGTGTTGTGGGTAAGCGGCTATCGAAAGTGACCGAGAATGGGTACGTGCTTTTTAAGGAAGTTATTTAAGGAGAAATCTACGAACAGCTTACCGCCAAAGAAAAAGCCTTTGAAAGCGATACTGTGATCTGGCACAGGATGAAAGAGATGTATTTCAACAATAAGGGCAGGTAGAAAAAGTGGCTTCCTTTCTATGGCAGCGTCGCCATTGCGATTTTTGCGTGGGCAGCAAGCTGGCCTATAAATTGAGTCTTTACCGCTTGAAACAACGTAGACTATAACAGATAGTATGGAGGACAAAATGCTACGAATCATGTCCTCTGCAAGGCTTGCGGTCGATTCAACACCCATCATGGGTATGCTTTGCTGTGCAAATAGGAAGAGAATTTCGGCAATTACAATTCATTACCCTTTTCTATAGGTGATTTGGAAGCGGTACGGGAATAATACTTTCCCAGGACCGAAATCGAACTGCGCGAGATTGACCGCCGAGACGAAGGATATGAAAGTAGGATACAGCTATTGCGACATCCTCGATGAGTACAATAAGATCGAATAAAATGTCGCTAGGCGACAGCGACATCTGATTGAGACAAGTGGTAGATATCCGAACGCGAGAGACAGGTTACAGGATCGCAGATGAATATGTTCTCATGCCCATTCCACACCTACTTAATCGGTAGAAGGGTATGACAACATCAAACCAAGCGGAACTACGACCAAAGTTTCAGGTAGGCAAGCCGGCAACAACCATGGAAGAGCCGAAGCTGCCTAAAACGACGTTTGTATAACCTTAGGATCTAGACCAACTAAAGATGTAACTACAAATTGTTACCGAAACAAGTATATAGCACCAGCGCCCATAGTAAAGAGCCACGAGGTTCCAACTGCTTCTTTTCGGAAAGGCTTTGTGGTGATATGATCTGTATGGGTAATAATAGTATTTGAGTCATCTTGAATAGCATTGTGTTTCCTAAGAATAAATAAATAATACAGGAAGAGCATGTCTCTACCATATTGCCATCCAAATCCCTTAGCTGGTATGGATCTAGTTGAATCTGTACTTCCCCTCTCGGTCCTGCATGTCCGGTGATTAGCATTCACTCCTCAAAGAATATTCAGAGATACCCAGTACTTGTTGAAACCGACACCTTCGCACACCTCATCATAGGTAAGAATCATCGGTGGTGCTCCCACGGTCATACTTCTCTTCAATCCGTCCAAAGCCTCTCGAACACTCTTGAGGTGAGCAGCAACCAATGTCCAGGGGTATGCCACGGCGCTGTACCCAAGCTCAGCAAGCTCTTTCGCCGAAAATTTTTGTCTTGCCTCCTTGGATAATTTTGGCAAAGACAGGACAGCTGATTTCCTCGACGCAACGCTTCATCGCTTCTCGATCGGGTAGAGCCTCGACAAAGATCGCATCCACGCCGATGCGCATGAATTACTTGGCCCGGGTCGTAGCTTCATCCCAACCGTACATCAGCGCATTGGTTCGAGCAAGAATGAAAACATCCCTGACTTCATAGCGTGCGTCGACAGCAGCCTGGATACGGGGCATAGGCCTCCTCACGGGAAACAACGTCCTTACCTTTGGTGTGCCCACATCCTATCAAAGTTAGCCGTCGACTCTTTTGCAATCCAGTAACATGGGAAGTGCAGGACCAAATCTTACTCTTCGGCCAGCGCGGATTTTCAATCATAACACCGGCTGCCCCCGCAGCAGCAAACCTCTCAACAGTTCTTTTGACGTTCATCTGACTTCCATATCCAGTGTCTCCATCCGCCATAACAGGAACCGAGACTTGACGAACAGTGTCCTGAATCTTGGCACACACATCTCTGCCATTGCAATATATCCAGTGTCTGGCAGATCATAGGAACTAGCCACGGCATAGCCTGCAAGGAAGACCATAGGGAAACCTGCCTCTTCCACAAGGCGCGAAGACAGGCCGTCATACGTGCAGGCATGGGCCATGATCTTGGTGGTGGGATCATTGCGAGCCTCCAGCATCATTGTGCGAAGACGTGCAGCCTGACGAGAAGGAATCTAAAAATAACAACTCCAGCGCCAAAACGAATTCTTGAAATATCTAAGGAACCAGACCAGTTAGCAAGTAACAGACCACGGCAAATTTCATCTAAGTCCCTGCGCTACACTTTTATACCGGCATTGACCCTGTCAGGCCATGCTGAGTGTCATTACCGAAACCGGGTTGGAAGAGCTTTCCCTAGACGCGACTAACACCATTACCATTGAAGGCGGCAACAGCTATATATACATCAACGCCCTGGCCGATCTAGGCTCCTCCCACGTCCTGTTCAAGTTTGTTCTCAATCCGCTTTGTGGTCGACACGCGCACCGGAAACAGGCTTATCCAGGCTAAGCGAGCGCTGGTCACTGTTCCTACGATACTAACCAACGATATGACCCCGTTCGACCTGGATGCGCGCGAAAGAGACATCTTCTCCTAGTTCTAGAGACTAAGTCTTTGGGTCGGCTTGGTGACGGTGAGCGGGCTGCCGACGAGGACGTGTTACACCAACGTCGGCACCCAGACCTCCTATGATATACTAACCCTGCCGGCTGTGACAGTCCTGACTCCTACCGCCCTTGGCGGGATCTACTGGTTTAAATACTAAGATAATGACCTCTCGTTGTCGATTGCTAAGCTAGGGCCTCGCTCGTTAGCTATCACCCGGAGATTCGTCTAGCAGGTCGCGCAGCACGCCTAACGGCAGCCGGAGATGGTCGCGTGTAACAGCCATACCCTATTCAAAGTCAGTCTCACGGCAGAAGCCATTACCCAAAACTACTGGAACAAGATGTCTGCGCTCTAAGGACATCGCAACACATAGTACACTAGGGTGCAGTTCCTGCTGGGCTGATTACAGCTTTGGAATTACATAGCCACACTGATTCTGGATATTGTGGCGGGTTATAGTCCCTAAAACTATAAGGGGCTATGGTGGACGAAAGTAGTATTATAAGTCCTATCATGCGTAAGAGCTATTAGAAATTATACTATTTTACTAGAGTAAACTAGGATTTCTTACCAATATACTTTAATAGCTATTTAAAAATTATCCTTCTTACTATATTTGAAGCGTCGATTGACTTCGAAGAGTTAGTAGGTGGTAAATTGCAAAAGGCGTAGTAACATTCGGACTATCTACTATTCTTATTTTATACCTTTTTACACTATACAATATTTTACTTACCACCTACTACTTGTTTTCTTGAGAAGCAAAGGACCTATCTCCTGTATCAAAGCCTAAGAAAACATCACTCTCCATATTATAGCTTGCATAAAGATGTGTTACGTGACGAGGGCTGAGGGTCTCTAGTATGCTAGCAACATGCGGGCTACATAGACATTCAAGAGTGAGCTATACTCCATTGTCCAAGAGGTTTGGCCCTCAGTTGCAACTATCGAGCCCCGTAGTTAGTCCGGCTGGTCCTTGCAGAAACTCATGGCCTAGACTATGGCGTGGTGCGTGGGGGTATGATTATTGTTTAGCCAGATCTCAACGATTTTGGCTAAATTCCTCAATGACCACGGAACAGTGTCAGCTTGGCAGCTAACAGGGCGCTTACATGCACGTCTTCCCTGGCGCCAATGGGAGGGGCCAAGCCTTGTGTTGCGCGGCCCGCAAGTGCCGATGAGTACGAGGAACTTTGCGCCTTACATTGGAATCGGAAGAGGTCGGCACGTGTTAGTATTGAGGTAGCCGAGGGTGCTTGACCGAAGGTCTGTCAGGTTGAAGACTACTAATTGAGGAAATACTCGTGCAGATTCCCAATCTGATTATGCGATCGACAAAAACAAAAAAACAAACCACGGAACGCTTCTTTGGAGAGACGAGAATAACACTCCATTTCACACCCTCTCTTTCCGACCACCAAGTTGACATACCGGATACAGTATCTTTGACAGATAACCGTCGGCTAATGACTCTTGTAACTTCCGGTAAAATGAAAGAACGGGCCTGTTACAAGCCTTCAAACCGGGCCTCTGGTTCGCACTGGCGTTCCTCCCATAGTGGGGAAAACGTGCGATTTAGCCTACAGTAAGCTTCTCCACTTCCCCGGACTCATGTGGGGGCCCGTCATCTGGGGACCTGCCGGCAAGCCTTGTAGACCATCACGAGCGTATAAATGCTGAGACACACTTCCTTGCCGGCCGGCCGCCTTCAGTCCACAACAAGGACCTGTCTCACTTGTCGACCCCGTTACTACACTTGAGATACAGGACAAAATTCTATTTCGTTAGCCTCGCTCCTGATACCATTAGGCATCATGCCTCACGAGTCCAAGCCCGAAGTCGAGCATGCCGCGCAGGTCGAGGTGCCGGGAGATGTTGCGGGCTGGATTGGCCTGGCCGAGGATGCTCGAAATGCGACGGCCGAGGAACATAGTATGACGATCACGAAAGCAGTCAAGATGTACCCGAAAGCGTGCCTTTGGTCTATGGTTGTTTCGCTGGTCGTTATCATGGACGGTTACGACACTGCGATAATGGGGTCATTCTTCGGCTTGCCCACCTTTCGAAAGCAGTTCGGTGTACCCGTTGGCGATGGGAAGTATCAACTTCAAGCCAAGTGGCAAACCGCTCTCGGGCTCGCAAGTCCTCTTGGGAATATTGTTGGTATTTACATCAACGCGATTGTCACTGAGCGATGGGGCCATAAGAAAGCGGTCCTGGGAAGTCTCCTCTTTCTCACTGGTGTTCTCTTCATACCATTTTTTGCCAAGACAGTCGAGATTCTGTTTGCCGGCCAGCTGCTCTGCGGCATAGCGTGGGGCGTTTTTACTACTTTGGCGCCTGCCTATGCCTCCGAGGTTGCTCCTCTCGTCCTTCGTGCCTTTCTCGAGACATTTGTCGTCCTGTGCTGGGGGATCGGCCAGTTTGTTTCATATGCGCTGATTTACACTCAAACATCGCGCACTGATGAGTGGGGCTGGCGTATCCCTCTGGCCGTTCAGTGGGCATGGGTCGCCATCATCATCCCACTCATTCTCTTTACACCAGAGTCCCCGTGGTGGCTTGTCCGCCATGGACGTCTTGCCGAGGCCGAGAAGTCGGTCAAGAGACTTTCTTCGCGATCAGACAACTACGAGACACATGTCAAACAAGCTGTGGCATTGATGGTGGAGACTACGAATATTGAGAAAGCCATGACAGAGGGCGCCTCGTTTATCGACTGTTTCCGAGGGTCCAATCTGTGGCGCACAGAGATTAGTTGCCTCATCTGGGCTTCCCAGGCATTGTGCGGGTTTGCTATCAGTAATTATGCCACCTATTTCTACGAACAGGCAGGTCTACCAACACTCAGCGCCTACAAGATGACTGTAGGACAAGGCGGCATCCATTTTGTGTGCAACCTTCTCTCACTGCTTGTAACCAAACGTTTCGGCCGCCGTGATATCGCATTGACTGGATATGCCGGCATGACCCTCGCCATGCTCCTCCTGGGTTTCCTCGCCCTTGCTCATCAAACTACTGGGCTCGGCTACGGTCAGGCAGCCATGTTCCTGGTGTGGTACTGCACCTACCAACTTACCATCGGACCTACCGCATTCATCGTTGTCGGCGAAATCTCTTCAACGCGACTGCGCTCCAAGACCATCTCATTGGCGCGAAATGCCTACAACGTAGCCAATATTTTCAGCGCGACCGTAGTTCCATACACCCTCAATCCAACAGAAGGGAATATGAAGGGAAAAGCCGGGTTTCTTGCAGCAGCATTCTCCCTGCTCTGTCTTCTATGGGGCTACTTCCGTATTCCTGAAAGCAAGGATCGGACCTACGAGGAGTTGGACATTTTGTTCTCGAAAGATTTGAAGGCACGCGAGTTCAAGAATGCATCCGTGGATGATGTGGATGTTAATCAAGTTGCTAAGATGCAAAACTAAGAATGACTTGGATCTTGGCCAATAATGTATTTTGGTGCGTTTGGGTTCTATACGATGGCTATAACCCAGCAACCTAATTTGAGAAAAGTTCAGTAATGAACTCTTTCAGGAAGCATGTTGCCCTGTAACTAGGAAATTAAAACAAGTTTTGAATTACCTCACGTTCTTATTAGCCATTTAGCCGAGAATCAAATGAGGACTAGGTTTCTCTAATCACGCCTACTGTACTATAAGGCTAAGGTAGTCCGAAAATACTCCAACACATTGACTCCTCCATAGCTTATAGAGTCTAGAATCATGGACATGCCTGAGTCTGAGAACGATCACTGGGTGCATACATGGACAAGTATGCCAATGGTCCTAGCGAATGACGATTTTCCGTCTGAAGCCTTTGTACGCACTTTCCAGCCGATTTTAATTGAGCACTCCGGGGCTTGCTAATGATCATGTCTCTTCCGAGCAGGTCGAGCAAAATATCGTCTTCGGAAATTCCACTCTCCGCCAGACAATGCGGATCTCGATCGGAACAGAGAAATGCCTACGTATCCGACTATCCAACGCCTTCGGAACCGAGCCTCTCACTATCACTAGGACAACACTTGCTCTGGCGGGCGGGAATAACTCTGGAATTCCGGTCGTTGAGCCGCGCACCCTCCAAAGAGTCACTTTCAGCGGAGATTTATCCACAACTATCCCTGGTGGTGCTCACATCGTCTCCGATTCAATTGATTTCGGATTCTCTATAGCCCCACATACCGCTCTGAGCATCAGCATTTACATCGAATCTGGCCACCAGTTGAACTATATTACCTCGCACCCAGGGAGTCGGACTACCTCCTATTTCACAAAAGGCGACCATGTCACCCAGGAAGACTTCCAAAATCTTGCTGTCGAGCAAGCGGACCATTGGTATACTCCCGATTAGCTCGGCTACTATAAGATCTGGGAAGGGAGGGAAATGACCCGATTCTGACACCGGATTAGGTACTACATTAGCGGCATTGAAGCTCTTGTCCCGCAAGATACACATGCACTTGCACTCCTGGGTGATAGCATAACAGATGGTCGGTGTAGCACTACAAATTGTGACACACGGTAAGGATTCATGTACCTTGAGGTTAGCAAACAAGCCTTAGGAGATACATAACTGATTGTATGTCTTATATGATCGAGAAGTTGGCCGAACCTTTTCTTCCAGCGACTTCTCTCCTCACCAGATTCATCACACCTTATATCGATCGTGAACCAAGCAGCAGGCGGCAACCGAGTCCTAGCCGATGGCATCGGACCCAGTGTGCTTAGCCGAGTTGACAGAGACGTTCTGTCCCTCTCTGGAGTCCGCTATGTCCTCATATTCACCGGTATAAATGATATCGGCAAAGAACCTGCCGATCGGACCCGCCAGCAGACTCTGAATAATCAACTAATTGCCGGATATAAGCAACTCGTTACGCGATTGCGTGCGCATGGATTGTGGGTCTTCGGGGCTACGTTGACACCGTTTTGTCTTCGCAACGGAAATGATCCGTCGTCGTATTCCCATCCACAGCGGGAAGCTACGAGACAGTCTGTAAATCAGTGGATCAGGACAAGTGGAACATTTGATGCTGTGGTTGATTTCGATTCAGTTCTACGGGATTCCAAGCACAGCGCTTTCTTGAAAGAGGAGTTTGATTCAGGGGATGGGCTACATCCGAATGAGTGGGCCTTTGGAGCCATGGCAAGTGCGTTTGACGTCAGCTTGTTGAGTTTGAGTGTTTGAGAGTGATATAGTTGAAGTGAATCGAGCGAGCTCTAGAATATGAATATTTCTAGAGAAGAACATAGGGCTTTGGGAAATTTTATATTGCTATTTACATAATTTTCTGCTACCCGCCCAAAGGAGACTTGTGTACGGTGATCCGATATGGTCCCAACTAGCAAAACCGACGAGGAGTTATAACTAGCGTCATCTACTTGGCAGATACCAGCGAGAGCATTGAACGAGCAGGGATACTGCCTATAAACTCCCTGCCATTTTGAATAGCGAGTACAGGTAGAGGCGACAGGTCGTTATCGTTATCGGTCAGGTACGGCCGTACGTGGGAGCCCTTCCTGATTCCTTGAATGGCCACTTTGAAATTGTAGGGCTCTGTGCCATTGTTGATCAGCTGGGCTGCCACGACGCCGTCTGTGTTCACAAATGCGCTAGTCGTGATGGCCGATTGGGAGCTGGAGGAGAGGACCCGTCGAGCACCGGGACGGACGAATTTGCTGAACTGAGCAAATGCCCAGAATCTCTTCGACGGGATCACCTCATTGTTGATCATATTGATCAATCCACTATTTGTGGTCGAGTTCTCAGCGCCGATCCAGTACAGGAAGGCACTGACATTGGCATCTGTAAAGGCGACTTGAATGCGACGAGCCCATGTCAAGCCCTCGCCCTCGGTACCATTCTCGAAGAAAGTGTAGGGAGTGAATTGCCCTGTCAAATCGGCCCACTCAGATTCCCAGACCTTTACCTCGGTGTCGAGTTCAAACGTGGGGGCGCTCTCATAGCCATGGCCTGTGATGACGGATAAGTGGTTGATAGCTGGATCAGGCCCGGCTTGTAGCTCAGGCATCATTTCTGCCTGGAGGTCCCACCCCATGCCATCGCAGCAGGTGAGCTTGACGTTGAGTCCAGCCTTCTTGACGGTCCGGGACAAAACACGAATGAAGTCAGCCGCCTGGGTACCATTAGAGAGCATGCTAGCGTAGGAGGGAGCCAGCTGAGGCTCATTGAGGAAGCCTAAGTGAGTCACCTCGACGCCGGACTGCTTATAAAACCGAATATACTGGACGAGATAATTCGCATACGCCTGCATCCAATTTCCGGAGGGACAAGAAGTACCAGTAACACCGCAGAGGTAGCCGCCCTTGTTTTCGTCGAGGTTGGTCTTCATATACCCCGGGGCGCTCCAGGCGTTGGCGTATAGACTCGACAGTCCGCGAGAGTAGGCTTTCTCGGCCAGCGAAAACTGGGCACTATCGTACCCATCCCATACGTATTTGGGCCTAGCAGACGGGGAGCCTGGACTGAAAGGCTCAATAGAATTCATATAGTTGCTTGCGGATGAATTGCTAGAGCCAATTCCATTTCTGAGAATGGTGAAGCCCGCCCCGATTGTTTTGTCGAAGAGAAGGTTCAGTACGAAGGTTTGATTGACTGGAGGCAATCCATATTTGCCGAATATGTCCTCAGCTCGCTGAAAGGCTTGTGAACAGCCAAAGCCATCCACTTCTTGATATTTGACGGTCGTATCAACAGTCACGGTTGCGGAGGTAAGGTCTCGTCGTGGAAAGGCTTCGACCAAGTGCCCAAGGGCAAGGGGAAGGAGGAACTTTGCCGTGACTTGCATCTTAGTAGGTTTTGCGGCAAGAATCAACCTGCGCCTTTATTTGAATAGCTGATCAGAAGACCGGGAACGATGGATATGCCTTATATCACCTTTCTTGCCGCCCTCCAATCAGCATCAAAAATATGTACCCCGGGAAGGGACTTCAGGTACTCCGGCTGAAAGGTCTGTAGCAGACTTCATCGGAACTTCTCCCGTTTAGCCGTCCTCTTGCTTAAACCCAATTAGCCTTTTGCAGCAGCCAACCCCCTGTGGGCGTATGTTTATTGGCTGTGGGGGACTCCTCCATGTTACCCCGCGTTTGGCAAGCAATACTCGGCTGAATAGTCTCGAAATGATCCGGTTGGGGGGTAATCACACATACCGTCAGCCAAATGCCGACATTTTCTAAAAATTGAATCTTGTATGATGCTAAGTTATTACACGAGGCCTTGCCACTGAGTTGTAGCAGCGGCCGGTCACCTAAGCGAGAACAGAACCTTCGCTCTCTTTACATGAATATGAATACCATCGGAGATACGGCTATACCTTTTTAGACAAGACAAGCGAGGATAGAACATTGGTAGGGCAATAATACTCGTTGGAAAATTTTACCTGTCTTTACGTGGAAGCCTTTTTACCTTGAAAGGTGGAACTTGGTTCAGACAATGTACAAGTCTCAGAATTGAAACAATCAGTACATCGGTAGCTCACGGCAAGTTGCAATCCATTTGTCAAGCTACGATAAATGGCGATGGGAACCAGTAGAACATTAAATATCCCAACAAACAAGTCTCGAAAGTACTAATCCACAATCCTTCCGGCAAAAACGACACATAGTCTATCGGCGCACGTTCAGCTCCGTCTGGTTTCCCAAAGACCCGCAGTCGATCGCCCTTGCTCACCGTTATATGTTTGAAAGTGATCCGCGTCGCGGAATGCCCATCAACGCCATCTGAAAAGTCATGGCCCAGATGCTTCTCCAGATCACCTGCCCATGTACCAACGAGACGGTCATTCAGGAAGATTTGGTACTGCGACCTCCCGCCCAGATGATCATAGTTGTTAACAGCAATATCATAGACGCCGGAAGGGAAAAGGAACGGTGGACTGTGCGGTGGCCATTTGCACACCAGAAACCGCCACGATTACTCGACTGCCAGATGCTGCCTCAAACGGCGTCACAGATACCACTTCAAACCCGTCTAGCCCCATAGCCTCGGCCTCAATTCGCCAGGGATGATTTCTCACCCGTCCCTGCTCATCCTCAATTCCACATTTCGCATGGTAGAATGTATTCACTGAGTCTCGCCAGACAACCGCATGGCCCACCTGAAACCGCAAGCGAAACAGCACATGCTTGAACCTCGCATCATCGATCAACCCACGCAGAGCTTCCCACTGCTTTGGGAAGGTCTGCGCTACACGTGCCCCATCATAATGCGCGTCGTAGAAGTGCTGGATGACTGTCTTTCCGGATTCTAGGACATGCTTGTACGGCACATGATGAAACCAGAGCAAGAGCTCGCTCGTCAGGTGTGGTTTCGATCTTCTCAAACTGCACTGCAATGGCAGATGGATATTGACCCGCGTTGCCAGTGCCGGTAGCAACGGTGCGGTCCATGCCGAGCGCGTGTGTATCTGCTCGTGTCCACTGGCCCCACCCGTTGCCATCATGCGCAGCGGGCGAGGGCCCGAAGTGGCAGGTCTTGACAATATCGCAGATCGTCTGTATACCCAGGTTACCGCTGTAATTTTCTTATGTGGGCCAGGATTGCATAGAAATGTTGGTGATGGTGGATTCAACAGTTTTGTGCAGGCCGAATGTCAGGCAGGACCAGTCTCGAATGAGCTCGACCTCGTCGCTTTGAGGGTTCCAGTTGTAGCGGCCGTACGCGTAGAGTTGGACATGGCAAGGTGGCTTCCAAGCCAAGTCGGGTCATTGCCGATATTGACAACTGCAGCGTAACCAGCCCGAGACCGGTTGAAACGTTCGCCGGAGACGATATCGCAGACAAGGGATGGCTTGTCGTCGATTTGGAAGTCAAAGTCGAGAATTGTGCGCCAGAGCGGGGGGAGATAAACAACGTGGTTTTGTTGACCGAGGTATTCCTGAGCGACTTGAAGCTCTAGAATGATTGGCGTCTTTCGAAGATGCGCGAGAAGAGGGGACGGGGGTTCTCGGATCTGGAAGTCGATAGGGCCGTACTTGATTTGAACCAGCACGTTGTCTTCGTACTCTGTGTCCAGTGGGTCAAAGAACTCCACAGCGGCATTTGCCCTGTCATTCTTCCAGTTTGACTCATCGAGATGGTAGTTGTATACAAAGGCTCGATACATGACAATTCCGTCGCCATGCTTCTGGAGCGCTCGGGCAAAGAGATTGGCACCGTCGGCTAGAGTGCGGCCGTAGGTCAGGGGGCCTGGCTGTCCTTCCGAATTGGCCTTGATGAGGTACCCTAGCATATCGGGAACATGTTGATATAGCTTCGTGGTGATGTAGTCCCACCAGGCAATCACGCCAGGATCGAGAGGATCAGATGTAGGCAAGCCACCGAGACCTTTCGGGGTGTCAAAATACAATGCAACGCCGATACGCACACCCCACGGTCTCATGATGTCGGCGATGCGGGCGAGGCCCTCCATGTTGGTAGGATTGAGCAGTTCGGCATCGGAGTTGACGTTGTTGACGATGATGCCATTGAGTCGAACGGACGCTAGCAGGCGCGCATATTGGCCGGTGCGGGTCAAGTCGTCCACCACGTATCCGTCCTTGAAGTAGATTGATGGCCCAGCATAGCCTCTTTCGATAGTCCCATCAAGGTTATCCCATTCATTGACCCATCGCACTAGCGCTGGGACTGGACGCATGCAGCTCTGGCAAGCGCTCATTCTGAGACAAGAGCATGAGGAACTCGAAGGCACCATACAGCGCACCGCACTCATTTTGCCCAAGAATCTTCACAGCTACACCCTGTCGGCAACTGAGACAGAGGCCGTCTGCTTTCAGGCCAGGGATATCTTGTACATCGCCCCCCGTAGCAGCCCACGCGTCAACTGTCCCCACAATGATAGAGAAGCGAGTGTCGGACGCGGCGTGAGTTTGGTTTCAAGATTGACATCTTGACCAAGAATCTTAGACAGTCCTAATTGTAACTCCTTGCTTGCAGTGTATACTGGACTGCTCTGGTTGTCGGTAAGAGCAATAATCGCGGAGTACCGCGGGTGCTGGCTAGCGATCTCGGCGGGGAGAGCGGCATACCGCAGCCAGGCTTCAAGGCCAGTCTCGTCCAGGAGCATATCGAACAGTCAGACGTGTGGTGCCTCAACCATGGGGTGAAAGAAAGCTCTTCAAACCCCCTCGGAAACAGGTAATTTTCAAATTTCCGCAATCGAACGAAATACGACAGCCTTTTGATATCTGGTAGAAAATATCGACCCCACGATCAAGCTTACGGCGAGCTGTATTGGTTGTTTAGGCTAATGTGGCATGTAGGCCACGCATTTTCCCGGCGCTTCCCAGGGCACTCTGTCAAGCTGTGTGATTACCCACCAATAAAAATACACTGGCCTTTGAACTAAGAATAAAATCTACATCTCAGGTTTCCACGCCGATGTGGGGACAGAGTCACGCCAAGTGTGCGGGGGATGGAAGCCTTAGGTTCGGGGGTTTTGTGTCCCCGTTCCTGTGAATTCCCAGCCCCTTTCAACGCGTTCAGAATCCCTACGAACCGTGGGCACAACTCGAAATATCTAATAGAAGCGATCGAGGCAGTTATAGTAATTCTCACAGCACGGAAGAGTTTGTCACCGCCATCACCAACCAGGATTGGACTATTGTCCAGACATGTCTGGACTTCCGCACAGCCCAATCTAACCCAGACCCAACCTGATGACACAGCCTCCACCAGTGACGTTTCTATCCCATACGGGTAAGTGTTGTATATATATCCCAGTAGGCTAGGGTTTTGTTAACTATGGGAGCCTATTTCTAGATCCTAGTAGAAACAGTAGTCTAGAGACTATACTATGAAATATAGACCTCGGCAAGGATCACTTAGGACGGGACTAGGACTAGGACTGGACCATACTTTACAGGGCTTAGTCCTTACTTTTGGGACTACTAGGTGTCCGAACTATTTTAGGACCGCACTATTGTGGTCCTAGTCCCCAATATAGTCCTATAAATGGAATAAATATAGGAAGCTATAAAGGAAAACTACCTAGGGCAGGTATTAGCGATAATATTATAGGGATATAGTTTTCCATGCAATGATTGTTTAGAATATCTACTCACAGTGTCAGAGAACCGGGATATAGAAAGCTATCTTAAGGACCTAGATATAGGTTTCTCAAAGATTATATATATACCATCGTTCTGTACGCAGGATATACTGTGACTGTGATTGTAAAGATATTTTCTAGAAACAAAGTAAGCAGATCAGTGAGCTTTATCTAGTCCCTGATAGCTTCTAGAACCCAACCTGTCCACCAGAATATCATCTAAAATACAGCTGGATGAGGTGTTCCATCCTGTTATGGCCTTGGGAGGGCTACGGTTGTCCTATAGTGCCATATTCTATAGCGGTTCGGTAGCAGGGTTTCCCCGCAATTGTTACCAGGGAAGTTAGGGCATACATCAGTGCCTTTTTACCCCCAGAAATAAGTGTTGATTATTACATGTGAATAATATCACCCTTCATTATACTTCCTGCACCTAAGCCGGATCGGGGGCCAAATCCTTGACCAGACCAGATCATGCTCATCCCACCTACAAGTAAGTCGCACTTACAGAGCGAAAGTAGCAGTAAAAGTAGGTAGATAATGATAGAGTATTCTATGGGTGTTGCTTGAGCAGTTCCTTATAGCTGATCGTAATGGTGCTATCAATGTAAAATTCTAGCTGGGTCAGGTCAATGACCAGCCCGCGGTGACTGCTAGTCCTGAGTTTTAGGGACCAGGCTAGTATTCCAAGTAAGATTAGGGAAAGCCTGAGGCTGTCATGTTACAGTTCTGTTTACTGCATTCATGAGATAGAATGGAGTCGTGTTGATGAGGCGCTATGAGAAAACAATGGACACGCAGCCGAAGGCACCAACAGTAAGGCCACTCACTGTCCTATGTGTTACGGGAAGATTGCGTTCTCTGTGGCCAATCCGTTAGAGAAGGAGCTGCAGTATAAAGTATAAATGGGCTTGGATTGGAGTCTTGGATGCTTGACTCTGTATGTACATACATAGATACCTACACACCTGTTTAATGGTTGTGTAATGGTCGTAATGGTAGTCTGCATCCCTTACTCGCTCGGCCCGAGCTCAAAAGTGAACTGCTTCGAAAGAGGTGACACCCTCCAGCGTGCAAAGAGCTGCGCATTGTCCACCAAGATCCGCCGCAGCATCTCCCCCCTCTCCTCTGCACCAGGCTACACGCCCTGCCATACACGTACATACGGCTCCATGATCCCCAAGGCCTCCCTGGCCCACCTCCCTGCCCTCTCCTTGCCAATTATCCCCTTCTGCACCATCCGCCTCTCTAGCTGCCCCAGGAAATGCTCCATATCCTGCCTGTCCTTCACCGCAGCCTGCATAACCGCTCGTAGTATATGTGACCGGATTGACAAGTCCAACTAATCCATCTCGATTCCTTCCAGTCCTCGTCCAACTGTCTCCTCCACCGCAAAGGCGGCTAGGAACTCCACCTCATCCTCACTCCCGACCTCTTCCTCTCACCCCCTCCACCACGCCTGCTCTCCAATCCCTCCATCCGGCAACCCACACCACATCACCTGCTCCGACTCGCCATCTCCCTCGGCAACCTCCCCCCCCCCGATATCTGTGCGAGGTACTCTGCTTCCAACCCGTGTATATCATACTTTCCCTGCGCGACCAATATCCCAAAGCTATTGCGCCCCCATGCTTCCCGGGGAGATACATTATCCAGGCGAGATGGAGATGGCTCAGGAGTAAAATAGTTAAGCCAGAAGCGCGCATGTGATTCGGAATGGGGTAGTGCGCTGGGGAAGGCCGTGTGCAGGCGGGTCATGGTTGCCTCCAGCGTGCTGAGGGCTACTGTGGTAAGAGTCACAAATGGCAGAAAGGGCTGCCTGCGGCGCGTGCACCCGACAGTGTAGGCCCAGCGGGGGAGTTTCAGGACGTGTGCGGACACCGGATTGTGGCGCGGCTGGCATAGCGGTGAGGAGGAGTCGGGGAGGTCCTGGAGGACGGGCTGGCGGTAGAAGCGCGCTGTGGTGCGCTGGGTGAGGAAGGGGGTGGAGTAGTAAGAGCACCAGGCGGAGGAGTGCAGGAGGGCGTGGTGGGCTGTGTAGAAGGCAGGGAAATCAGAGAAGGAGGAAGTCATGTTCCAGTTGGGAGGAATAGTGGTAGATGGCTGCTGCTAGCTGTGCGAGGTAGAACATATCCAGGGTGCTGTTATTTATTGTTTATACAGTGCTATTAGGGATTAGCATAGTAGGGCCGCATGAGGTGGGAAAGTCTGAAGAGGGCCCTTGAATAGACGTCCGAGGAGAAAGCGAGGGCGATTGCCAAAGTCCGACAACGGTCATAATCATAATACCGAGAAGAAAACCACCAGCGGTTGGCAGGACATACTTCGTGAAGCCGTGAAAGCGCCGCTCCTGTTCTGGACTGGGTGGTTCGTCAATCTCGCTGGATTGATCGCTGCATGGCTCATATGTATATGGTTTCGGTCTGAAGCGCTGCAGCCACTGCGCTGGGATAGAAATTGCCATGTCTTGGTGTGGTTTTGAATAGGAGACGGTCTACCGAGGATAAAAGACCAGGGGGCGATCAAAAAGTATAGGATAAGAGAGGTGGGCCGGGAGAACACTGACAACAGAAATCCATAAGAATCAATAACCGACGTTAATGCTATACACCGTTAGACTTTTAGGATATTTATCGGCCTAATTTGCACAAATGTCATGCGCATTAACCCTTTGCGGACAGGGCTTGGTCGGATCTCACCTCGCATGATATTCGTAGGGATACCGAGGCCAGTGCTCAGCTATCCTTTTCAGATATTACATTAACCATGGCAAACTCTTCATCGGAGTCTCGAAGGAAAAGGAGTAGCGGGCTTTAGATCAAGCTCTTGATACTACAAGTATTAGAGATTATAGTAATCGTAAATTTGTTTGGTAGTCTGTAGGCAGCCAAGATAAAGCCCCTATTTGTCAACAAACAAGTCAAGACATTGCACAATTTGCCCGCGCCAAATCTATGACCCGGCTTGTCCACATCTAGGGATGTGGCCTCTTGGGCTGCCTGATGACATCCGCGTCGAGCACGACATCTGAACCCGTCGCAATTATATCCATCGGTGTCTTTGTCATAGAGATCATCACGCAATGTCTGATATGTCCCTCCGTGCCGAATCTGGCCTCCATTTGCACACCGGTCTCCCCCTTCTGAATTGTTTCAACCAGTTATAGTAGCAGTGCGCCACATGCCATTTGTGTGTTGTGAAGAAAGCTCCATTGGGGTCCTCTGCCAGATTTCCAACCTCCTCCATGTTCAATATGTTCGTCTTTTTCATGTCCGAGTAGTAGAGCCAGGTGCCGTTCGGCCCGTCTCCGGCATGATCAAACTGCTGAGAAAGTTCTGCATCAATGCAGTGAGGTGGAAGCCATAATGCAGCAATTGCATCGAACCGGCAGTTCATTAACTGCGCCTCTGCTACAGAGGTCCCGCAATTACAGGACACTTTTCTCCAGGAGCGGAAGCTTGTGTACGATTGGTATGCGAGTTGTAAACAACCCCATATCGCGAGCCAGATGATGATGAGCTTGCACAATATAGTGGTCTACTTGTATGGCTTCTGTCTTTTTATCCGAGCAGCGTTGATAGCCTCCGAGCCTTCAATCCCTGATTCGATGCTCTCGCGTTGAAGTAACAATTCAGAGCCTGTTTTTCCAAACTTGCCGCTTGCTGCGGGCATACTATAAATCTGTCGGCACCCCGTTACATGGTATAAGCATCGCCAGTTCAAGAATCATACCAGTTCATTAACTGAAAGTTACGCCAAGTCATTTCTATCAATCGTGGATAAGGCAGCACTGTTAAGCCAGGTGTTCTAATGGTTCACAATTCCAAGTGCGAAGGAGAAAAAAGAGCCCCTAAAGAAGGAAAATTTAACGACCCGAGGCGGTTTGATAAGAGAAGGAAAACCGACTGCACAAATCTAACCTCGATCGAGTATATATCCAGTTGTAGGATATTATAAGTGGGGAAGTTCAGAATGCTTTGTTGGACCACTGACAAAAACTACTTTCTCGGCTTCTGCTGACTGCTAGAAATTTAGAACTTATGTTGGACGCTACATTTATCAAACCAATAGCTCACTTATCTTTTTATCCCAAAAAGAAAAAAAAGAAAATAAACGGACGCTGTCAATACCAAAGGTAGACATTTTAAGTGTTATGCAAAGTAAGACGCTAACCATGTGTTATGAGGCAGATCCCTGCAACTCGGGGAAATCCTTCTGCGCCTGTCTGCGCTGGCTGCTCTAATGAAAATTTGCCCTGTTTTGGACGAAAGCTAGCGTAATCGGAATACTCTAAACTGTGTGTACATATTACTATGCAGCTGTCAATCTCACACCAAGATCCACAGCATTAACCATCTCAATGTAACCCCTTCCCCTCATTTTCCAAGCGTCGAGATCGAGGCTTCGAAATTTCGGCCGGCTTCTGCGCAAAATGTGTAAAAGGTGTCATAGCAGGTCGTGCACGACAATCCCCATCACCAGGATATTCCAAGTCATCCACTGTGCATCATTTGCGACGGAACTAGACAAACTCAAAACACAGCAAGCCAGCCATCAAATCCTTCTATCCTCAATATGGGTTCCATCCCCTTCCAAACAACAGCCGGACAGTCTTATACCAGGCACCCTCCAAAAAATACCATGGCCTCTCATGTGTTCTTAATCATCATGCCCATCTTTTCGATATAACTCTGACAAGACCGAAGACGGATCTGCCAGAAGGCTGTGTGGTGTATCACACTCAATGATAAGACCTCGGTCGATCACCGCTACTCTGTCAAAATCCCGAATAAATCTCAGCCTATGCGCAACATGCACAATTGTCCACCCACTAAACTCAGTGCGAAGCAGTGAGAGAATCCGTGATTCCGTTTTGTGGTCCACACTGAGCATCATTGACGGACGGTTAGTAGAGGTTCCATCCGAGTTGGATCAATCTTGAATGCTTCGCTCAAGGCAAGGGATCTAGAGAGCATACCTGCTTGTCGCCTCATCCATAATCAGTAGCTTGCTTCGTCGCATTAACATCGCGCGGGCCAGGCAGAACAGCTGCCTTTGGCCTGACGACAAAATGCCTCCCTCCTGATCCATGTCTGCGTCCAACCCACCCATGGCTTTAACCTGTTCCTCAAGACCAGTCTTTTCCAGTACCTTATAGATCTCCTTTTTATCTGCCGTGTCTTTGAAAGGATCTAGGTTATCACGCACAGTCCCACATCCTCCAGGAAGAAACCAAGGCTCTTGTGGTAGGGTCACAAGACGGCTTCGAATCGCCTCTCGACTATAGCAGGAGATATTCTGATCCCCAATGAAGATAGAGCCCTTGTCAGGGTCCATCAAGCGGAGAAGGAGTGCGATCAAAGTAGATTTACCAGACCCACTACGCCCACAAATTGCCAATCGCTGTCCTGCTGGAATCGACAGGCTTACGTCGGTCAACACCTCTCGACCGGCATTTCTGACATCATGGTTAGGGATCGACAGTATTCGGAAGGGAAGTTAGGGGCAAACCAACCTGTAAGAAGCTGAGACATCACAAATCTCAATGCTCGACTCTGAGGGCCAGTCTGGAGGAAGATTCTGGGCCCCCTTCACCTCCTCTGACGGTGTCTCCGCCATATATTGCTTGGTCCTGGCGATAGCACCCAGGGAGGTCTCCAGCATGGTCCAGTAGGTAATAAAGTACGATAGTGTCTGCCCAAAGTTCACAATACTGACCATTGCAACCCCAAGCAGACCTGTATTCATGCTATGTCTGAGTGCTACTGCCAGAGACATGAGAATAATGGCCAGGGCCGCAACTATCAGATCAAGAACAAGATTCAACCACCGCTGCAGACACAGAAGAAGGTAGAATGGCCGTTGAGAGATATCTAGGTGCATTGTGTTTTGAGATATTAGATGTTCCGACCATGCAAAGGCTCGAATGGTATGTAATCCCTGCAGTGATTCAGTGAAGTGCGTATAAAGAGGAGATTTGGCCTCGAGGTCGAGCAGACGAATTTGACGTGATGTTCGTAAGTATGCATTTTGGAGATAGTAAAGAGTTGCAGCAAGAAAAGGTAGGGAGATCGCCATATATCCGGATGCGACGCAAGTGAGAACAGCTTCTGCAATAGAATTGCCAAATCCTATCATCATGAGTATTACGGGACCGATAGAATAGAGCTGCGGAAATCCGATACTCACGTTCAGTGGCAAGGAGGAGAGCCATGGGTAATGACATGTCCACTAGCGTCATGTCCTGACTGAAGCTGCTTCATATTCAGTATCCTGCTTTCCTGTCACAGACTGTTTGACAGACCGGTTGACAATTGCTCCTGTGTCCATGAGGGTAAAGAAATCCAGGGGTGCCCTGTAACTAGTGAGTGAACTTAGACTGAGAGCAGACGAAAACTGAAGTCACCAACCGCATGGTAGCGCGTAATATGCCATAATGCAAGTTTCTCGACGACTTTGGGATGATGGATATCAAGAGATATCTGATCCATAGTAAGTATAACCTTCCATACGGGGGGAGGATTTCTCTATTCACACTAACCCTCCGCTCAGTCCCAAAAAACACAATCCTAGAACCCCAAAAAGGGCATATACACCGGCCCACATGCCCAGGTCCAGATTGGGATCTTCTTGGTAAGCCTGTACCCACCAGTTGAGCCATAGGGCTGGAGTCTGAGTTAGCCATGATGAGGACACGCTTGTGTACGAATGGGCGATACCCACGTTGCAGGGCTGTGAGTACCACTTCAACCCCAACTAAGGACACGAAAAGAAAGAAACTCGTCCTGCCCATTGAGGATATATAGAAGTTGAGATTTGAAAAGTCTCTTTTGCCTCGGTTCTCTCCGTTGGTAGCGCTGTTCGACTCATTCGTCTGTGAGGCACTCACTGGTTCATTCTTTTCTGGAACATGGTCTGTTCCTGATGGTGGTGCTATTTGATGAGTCTTCTGCAATTGAAGATTTTGGATATAACCAGGTTCTAAAACAAGCGTTTCATATGAGCCAGATTGTAGTATTCTCCCTTCGTGACTCATCGCAATAACTTGATCCGAGTATGGCAACCATTTTACTACAGAATAAATGTCAGTCACCGCCAGCAATGCAGGAAGTATTCCATCTCACCAGAGTGTGTAACAAGGACGATTGTCGCCATTGAACGCCGAAATAGCCCATCTGGACCAAGAAGGCGACCGAAGCATTGATGCTCAGTTTCAGCATCCAGTCCACTCAACACATCATCCAACAAGACAATGTTCTTTCGTGCATAGGCAGCTCTGGCCAATGCCTAACTCCTGGTATCAGCAGGAATTTGCGAATCAAAGGCCGTGCCAACATACCAAGCGCTGCTTCTGTCCACCGCTCAATGCAATGCCTTTACTTCCGACAACAGTATTGTCACCGCTTGCAAAGCGCTTGAGATCCACATCGAGTGCACATGCATGTACGCATCTATGGTACCATTCCTCATCGTACTCCCGAGCCCCAATAATACTTTTCCGAATACTTTGGTTGGTGAGGAAAGGTGTCTGATTGCAGTACGCGATGTCATCTGTAGACAGAGTGACAGATCCTTTGATAAGGACAATTTCGCCAAGCAAGAGCCTCAAAATCGAGGATTTCCCGCACCCGACATCGCCAACGATCATGGTTAGTCTAGTCGGCCTAATCTGTATTAACAAGTCATGCAAGACGATAACATCTTTCGACCAGCCAGCATCGACATGGTCTATTATAATTGCCGGGTCATTTTGTACGTGCACTGCAGGGACTTGTGTGGTCACCATTGTCTCAGCATTGTCCTCAGATTTGGGGGATTTGGTGTTGTAATCAACATCTGGAAGGCTCGCCGTATGGGAATTATCGGCGAAGATATCAGATCGACCAGAAGTAGTGGATTTTATGGTCCGATAATCGATGCGCCTATCGGCCATGATGTATTCTTGGATCCGGTTGAAGCAATCCAATGCCGCAGTCAAATTCGGTAAAGCAGCAGTCAACTCATTGACTGGGTTAATCAAAATCGACAGCAGGGACAAGGACGAGAAGATTGTTGCTGTGTTCGGCAGGTCGCCATTTGAAAGCTTGATAATTATAGCGAAACCCATAAAGGTGACAACAGGAGACAGCAGACCGGGTGCGTTCCCTAAAGCGAGAAAATACATTAATGTGTGCTGGAAGAGATGGGTGTATCATCACACATCACTCATACCGAGGATTATATTGGTGATTTGAACCTGCCTGAATTTCTTGGAGTCATGCAATTCCATCACCCTTAGATTCTGCACAATCTTTGTCATTTTGGCAGTGAGTCCAAGCATTTTCATACTCTTGATGGACCCTATCACTTGGGATGTGACCCCAACCCTTTTTTGTATTGCCTGCATCCATCTTCTCTGTCGCGGTCTTATAAGCTTGGCAACCTGGGCTGATGCTATAGCTGAGACTGTGAGTTTAGGCAAAATCAGCCGTCGTCTCATCCATATATGAAGGAGAACTTCTACTTACTCAGTGCCATTATTATGGGGGCAACACAAATGGGACCGAGTCGAATCTCCAGAATCCACACCGCAAGCCCTACTTGAATAAAATCAGGGGCAATGCTGATGACATGTTGGAGTGTTGCAACAATTCGTTCCACTTCTGTGCCCATAAGAGTGACAGCGGACGATTTCTCAACACTGGTGTCCATGATATCCAGCATCGATCTATATGTTATGCTAATAAGACCAGCTCGAATCATCGTAACGGCCCGTGCTGTTAAGTATTGGTACCAGGCAGTCGAGATCTGGAGTGAGGTTAGGACAATGCTCTAAATTGGAGTAATATTGGGTAGGATGGACTTGCAGCAATGCCAATGTACGTCAGACCATACGCTCCGATCAGACCATAACCAACGTAATTGCCAGTATCTTCCGTGTTCTCTACGAAATGGACTGCGTTCTCGATCAAGAATGGCTGTGCCAACAAGAAACCGACAAGGAAGAACCGAGGAATCATCGTCACACTTAGAGGCAGCCAGAGAGCTCGTGTCATTGCTAAAGCAAGAGAATAAGACTTATTCTTCGAGCCTATTAAGGGTGAGTTCCCAGTCGCCTCAAGAGGACCCTACTCAGCAGACTTACTCAACTTCCATTCGGCTTGTAGTTTCGTGTCAACCGCGACAGAGGCAATGTGTTCGTCCACGGGGAATAGCTCTAGTAGGGATATGTTCCCCCGGTTTCCTAAGACAATCAGTGGATTAAGCCAAGCGAGGAGACTCAGCCCAAAGATGCCACTGGTCACTTCCGGCGTCTGCTTGTCACTCGGCGGCAACACATGATGTCTTTTGGGAATCGACTCGAATACGAGAAGGAGAATCTTGACAATAAGAGAGGCAATGAACATAGAGGGAATTAGAACCGAAGCTTGCTGGAGAATAAGCCATTCTGTTCTCGCCCTAGCACCATCAAGAAGCGCTGTAGAGAGTAGAAACACATTAATCAATGGTGAAGGTCTCGATGATTTCGCATGCTCGACCGGCGAAAGCAAACCCGTCAGAATTGCTGAAGCCAGGTCGAAAGCCCCAGCTGCGATCGTAGCTTTTGACCGAAGATCCGCATGAAGCGTCCATAGTATCAGCAGGCTCAGTTTTAAAAGGCAATAGACAATGATGGTTGCCTGCAGTCATTTAGTATTGGCTTGAGTATGGTTTTCTGGTCCTCGCAAGAGAGAAAGAGATAATCGGTACCATTTTTATTGCCTTTAGCGAGAGCCATCGTATCTTGTCATTCTTCTTGTATAGCTGAACGACTCGGATGGGTGCGGCCAACAAAAATATAGCAGATGGTGCAATTGCAAACATACTGTCCTCAAACAGCAGAGTAAAGTCAAAGCCCCCCTGCATGAAGTAGCACGCACTGTCGGCCCAAAGGTGTCATCAGCGCAGAGAGTGATAGAAGTTTGATTCATTTTCACTTCAGTGTTGGCTTCCCTTTTTGAGCACAATTTGTTGAAGACTTCTGTCAGGGAGTACTTCTAAATTTGCCTGCTAGGGAAAAAAAAAGCGCCACCCTGCTCTGTTTGAGTATAGCAGAATTTCTGTGTTTCATGTGATGAAATATTAGAGAGTGGGGGTAAAAGTGAGATGAAGGCGTGGCGGCAGTCATTTTTGGGGCAATGTTTGCTTATCAGTTTCATTACGTCAGATATAAAGCATGCCAAAAGTACGGGGGTTATCAGTGATTAGAAGTCGCCCTACTGTATTAAAAGGTATTAAAAGATAAGTTAAGGTCACCTCAATGTAACCCTACTCCATATATTAAAGTTTGAACAGCTCTAATAAATGTATTAGTGTCTAGATTAATACAAGCGTACTTACCATAATTACTTATGTGTATAGTTGAATGTTTAACTTATTTAGAGCGTTACTGAGGAAGTACAAATAATCAAAGGTAAGAGTTACAGATATGCATACCTTATAGATTACCTGTAAGTTTATTAAATTTTGACTGTTTTCTCCATAAGTAGCCTATCAGCCAAACTTAAAATAAATCCGTTCCATACATTGTTCGAAGAGTAGCTCAATACTCAATACTCCCTAGTATCCGGGCAGAGCAACGATTGCAGAAAAGATGAGCTTGTCAAGGGATAGCCTAGAGGGATGTATATGTACAGCGTCACAACTTTCGCCGTTGGGGGCTCATCAGGGCTTGGAATGATAGTGTATTTTATAACTATTCGAAGGTTGGGGGTTATCTTGATGGGAAGAGGGGTAGTGAATCCCTCTCCCTTTGTCTGTCAAAGATAAGTGGCGCTAGATTGTTTCCAATCAGCGCGTCGAACGCATTGTTGCCTGATTTGAACCTGAAGCGCAACGTGTGAGTCACATGGGTTGGGCGGCTCCAGCCAATAACTTGTCGCCAGGTAATCACACCGTGACGTAGCCATCTACTTACGTATATAACTCGGAGGATCAATCAATCCATATTCTTATTCCCGATCTAGCTTCCTATACTTATAGGTACTATATAGGGGTTTGCGCCTATACGCACGCTGCCCCAGCTCCCGCCGGACCCCCTACTATACCGTGTGAGTACCCCCCGCGCCTGCGACCGCCGCTCGGGTCGCGACCGGAGAACGCCCGGCGTATTCGTCGCTCTCGACGCTCTCGAATCGTCTATCGGACCGCCCGATCCGCCGCCGGGGGCGGCCGCTAACCCCATTATATCCGTCGGGATCGCCCCCGTCGGCGACCGAGGCTGGGTGTACCGCCGACGACGTTAATCGGAATAGCTTAGTCGAGATCCTTAAGGCGCCTAGACGCCGCTAGATTATATATCCTCCGAGCGTAATCCGTGAACGATCCGCCTTAGATGATTTAGTCTATACCGGAGGATCGTATTTAACTATTATATATAGACTATATCGGGGGAGATATATATCTCTACCTCTCTCGTACTCGATCCCCTCTAAGCCCTACGCTAATCCCCTATCCCTTTTCCTCTATATACTATATTAATCTTTTTATTACAGGGTCTACTTATAGGGTAGAGGGCCTATCGATTAGGTAAGGAGGAACTAGTATAGTCAGATTAAAATAAAGACTGATTCTTAAGGAATTAGAGGAATATAGAAAGATATAGGACTTTTATACTAGAGTAGTTACTCTAGTATAGAGTAGCGGTAGTATCTCGCTATATTATTAGTATATAGTAAGCCGAGGTAGACTACACTAAAAACTGTAATTAGGGGTAAACCTTGCCCCTAAAAACTAAACTGTAATAATTACGGTTTTTAAAACTAAAAACTAAACTAAACTATAAACTATTACGGTTCCCTATTAGGGAACTATTAAAAACTATTTTTATATAAAATCTAGGTCTTAGTATATATAAACCTACTGATTTATACGTTTAAATTACTATTATTAAATATTATTTTAGTTATAACCCTACTTAATCTTATTTTTTAACTATAAGAGCTATATAATAGATAGTAATTAATTTATATAGGAACTTATTAGTAGAAGTAATATAATATTCCTTAGCTTTTAAGTATATAAATTATAGGTAGATAGGTAATATTCGGTATTAGGTATTTAGCTATATTTTATTATAAACGGTAGGCTACGGTCACGTGGTTATACATAGGTACTAGCCTGTTATAAGAAGTCCTAGAGTAGTTAGAAGCCCCTAGCGAATTAAATACATAGGGCCCTAGGCTATTTCTTACTAACTATAGGTAATATAAGCTATAATAGACTACCTAAATAGGTATAAGTACTAATAGAGTAGAATATATCTCTTATCTACTAGAATATAGCTCTAGTTAATTAGCTAAATAAATATAAAAGATAAATAGATATATACTTCTAAATAATCGAGGACCTATCCTTATATATACCTACCTAAATAGCTATATTTATACCTAATCGGATATTTATACTAGTAGGAATAACTACTTAGGAGATAGTAGCCTAGACTCTTCTCCCTAAATCGCTATGGTTAGACCTAATATACTAGCTACGGCTAAGTCTACTAAACCCTCTAATCTTTAAAGGAAGCCGAGTAGACTAGCTAGTCTTTTAATTAGCTATTAAGAATAAATTAGTTATAGACGTAGAAGTAATAAGGGATACTTAGATATACCTCCTCTATATTTACGTACGACTAAAAAGAAATATAAGTAAAAATACTATTATATTTATATAATACCGACGATATAATAGAAAACCCTAAGATTTAATTAAGTATCTAGAAAATATATATAGTAACCTAAACCTAAAAAGAAGAGTAATATAACGCCTTTACGAAATAAAATAAGGACTAAAATAGTCCTTTACTAAGTTTTTATCTATATTTAAGAAAGAGTTTATAGATTTAGGAATAATAATATAGCTAGAGGATATAAAAGTCTTAATTTTAACCGGTTCGCTTAATCTTACTATATATATTATATTAGTATACTAAGAGATCCCCGAAACCTTCCTAGGTCTTATCCTCCTATTATAATAAATCGATACTAACCTTAATCTTTTATTAATAGAGATAAAATATAGATTAAATAATAACTAGGGATAGTTAAATCGCCTACGATTATCCCTAGTTACTAATAATATAGACTAGATACCTATAACTAGAATAAATAAAGTATAGCCTATAGATAAGACTTAAGTAAAATAAGCTAAATAGGCTAATAAAGATAAGCTCGAGAGATACTATAAAGAGGGTCTCTATTTCTACTATAGCTATAAGAGTTATAGGGTTTAGACCTACTTTTACCCCCTAGCTATTAAGCCTAATAATAGGTCCCGAACGGCTAAGTCTATTACTAATAAAGACTAAAAAGGAGTAAAACTACCCGCTAAATCGAAGAAGTCCTATATTATAATATATAGTAAAAATAAATCAAGTAAACTAGAATAATCTAAGGATAGTATATCTTTAGGAAGTAATTCAGAAAAAGAGTAGCTCTTACTCTTAGCTATAAATAAGAGTAAAAAAGAGTTAAGGATCTAGTAAGGAAGGAATTATTACTATTTTATATCGATACTAGAGTAAGCCCTTATCGATAATAGCTATAGTAGCTATATTACTATAAATAGATAGCTTATAAAGACCCTTAATCTCCTATATATCCGCCTAAATACCCCTAGGTAGCTAGATAGTATAATTTATGACCTTAGGAAAATTATATATATTGAGATTACAAGAGTGTAAGAGCATGTTTTATTACTATAGTGAATGAATGTGTCTATATAGACACGAATACGGTAAAACATAGCAGAAATAGCCCGAAAGTAGCCTAAAGCATAAGGTAAAAGTATACCTAGGATTACATCCTCCCCTACTTACTTAAGACTCGACCCGAGTCTATATATAGTTAATAGTGAATATCGGATCCGAGAGTACACTTTTTAGTCCTATAAATATATAAGATAATAAAAGAAACGGGGCTATTTATACGTAAATAGCTATATATATATAGTAGTATCCCTATACCTAGGTTATTTTTAATAAGGGCTAATAACTTTAGAGGATATATTATATATCTCCTAACTGCGTTATATAATACTAAGTCACCTCTAGACGTATTATATAATATATTATTATAAGAAAATACGTTACGTAGGGGGTAAACGCGAATAGTATTAATATTTCTATTTTAGGAATAAAGAGATATATTCTACTAAGAAATATTAATAAAGTAGTAGTATATTAGGTAAATAATAGGTAGCCTAAGGTCGTTAAAGACCTATATTAGGGCTATAAGGATATTTATAGTAAATATCCCTATCTCCCTATAATCCTTTATTAACCTCTTTTCCTCTATTACTATACTATTAAATTTTATTAACCTTCTACTTCTATTTATCTCCTACCTAGCTAGAATTTATCTTTAAATATATTTATAGTACCTTATATTAAAATAGGGCGCTATAGTAGGCGAATAGCTAAGATTTTAGCTAAAAATAGTAATAAGGCCGCTTCTAAGCCTATATCTAAGGCTAAATCTATCGATATAGCTAATCTCTTTAATCTAGAAGCTAGTATAGAGGGTTCTAACCCTAAATCTACCTATAGGCTATCGCCTACTTTATCTTACTATTCCTCAGAGCCTATAGTAATTAGAGATACTCTAAGCAAGCAGTAAGGCTGCGTAGGAAGTTATATTAGGATAGTTGATATAGGTAGGTGTGATATAATAAAGATACTCAGAAGGGGAAGAAAAGATGTGAAGGAAGCTTAGTTCAATTCTTATTTAGTTAGGAATTTTGTGGGTATTTATACCTGAGCTCGGCTAGCTGGCCTTAGGCTATAGTTTATATAATATTGGTTATAATTGCATCATCTCGGCTATAGTTGTATGTAATCGGCTAAGGTTGCCTATGGTTATATCATTATGATGTAGTTATGTTATAGTTATAGTATCATGATAT